TGTAGAAAAATATAGATATCATTAGATATTGATATTATATATATATATATATATATATATATATATATATATATATATATATATATATATATATATATATATATATATATATTAATATATATATATTAAATATATATTATATATATATATATATATATATATATATATATATATATATATATATATATATATATATATATAATATACATATTATATATATATATAATATATACATAATATATATATATAAATATATATATATTTATATTTATATATATATATATATATATCAATATCTAATGATATCTATATTTTTTACATAAACTATATTATATATATATATATTTATATATATATATATATGTATATATATATGTATATGTATTTATTTATTTATTTATATATTATATATATAATTTTTTTTAATGATCAAAATCTTTTTGTTTTAAATATTATGAGCTTGATCCTGTAATTTTCTTAAATTTAAAACACACGTAAATTGTCGAGAAATTTAAGTCATGTGACAGATCTTGTCATTTTGTGAACCGTAGTTTTAGTTTAATGAACGACAACCTTCTTTCCGGGCTTTTAGAGGGAGATCACTCACCAACTTGATAACTGAAAAAGGGTTTTGTGGTAATATTTTTTCTCTCTCGAAACGTCAGTAAAGTTAGTGCTCTAGAGTGATGAGAAAATAGTTCAAGAATCCAGGGGTATACAAAAAAAAAGTCATTCAATTATTTAGTGCTTCAAGTTTTTTTGTGTTCTATTTGAAAAAAAATCAAAACCTTATTTCGGCGTACAAAGGGATTAGTTAATTAATCTATTAAGAAAAATTTTATGTGCTAAAAAAAAAGTAAAATTTAAAATATAAATCTATCACCCACGGTTTCATTTTAAAATAAATTAAGTCTTTCTTTGATTTTAAAATGAGGTTCGTTGATCTCTTTATATTCTACTTCAAAACAGACAGAGTTTTTTCATTAAATGTAATTAAAACAGGATGAAGTTTGTTTTTAATCTTGGTCACGTTAACTCAAACTCAGACACTCAGTAGATTAAAATGTTTTGGACCAGACAAAGCTACAGTAAATACAGTCCACAAAAGTCAGAGAGGTATAGTCAACATATTAGTCGCACGTAGAGGCATACTCAAGGAGAAATACATTAAAAGATAAAGTATTGTAAGATTGTATTGTGTGGATATGAAAGAGTAACTATATATGTGAGGATGACATGAAAGTGTAAGTATGGATGTAAGTGATTAAAGTGTTGCTATGGGTGTAAGCGATTACATGCAAATGTATCTATGGATGTAATTTTGAGTGTAAGAAAGTGTAACTATGGATTTAAAATCGAGTACATAAATGTGTAACTGTGAATATAAATGATAACATAAACATATAAGTAGGAGTGTGAATGTCTACATAGTGTGTAACAAGAAGTGTCAATACATGATAATGTAATTGGAATCCATAGCGAATTAAAAAAATATAGTGTCTAAGCAAAATATAACATATCAATTCCTTTATATACAGTCTTTTAATTTAAATTAACTTAAAATGAATAAAAACACTAATTTTTCCTTTAAAAATAAATAAAAACGTGCGTCGCTGAATTCTATAAACAAGACCTTCAGTGTATGGAATTGACGTATCTTTTTTACATTACACTTAGCTCCAGTAAAAATAGATTGAAGTATATTGCCTTACATTACACTCAGCTCCAGTAAAAATAGATTGGGTTTGATCTTATCTTTAAAAGATTAAAGAGATTAGCGTCCATTTTACGGGGTGTATAAAGGTAACGATAAGATTACAACCGCAACTCTCCTCGTTCCATCCACACATAGAATTTGTAATTAGGAAATTAGGTCTACGCGTACAAAACTAATTTTTTAATGCACGTAAATATGATTTAAGTTCTTTGACCAACCTTGGATCCGTAAGAGAAATACCATTTGAGACCCCCACGCCCCTTCAAAGTAAAAAAAAAAAATTGTTTAGTCCCCCCCCCCCCCCCACATACCACCCCGATCCGCCCTTGTAAAAACTATTTGTTTAATGCCACCCTACCTCCCCAACCTTCACTTTTAATTTTTTTTTAAAATTCCCCCCCCCCCTCATCATCTCCAATCCTCCCCTTGTAAAAAATATTTGAACAAGGTGGCTTATCTACAGAGTTAGAGTGCGTTTCAATTTTCTGATTGCATCTTAAACCCTTTTCTGTCGTCCTTCAATCCTTTGTTGTTTGTCATAAAAAATAGAGAATTAAAGAGAACTATTTCTAACGAAAATAATATCCAATGCGTTAAAATCTTAATGCAAACGATAAGCTTACTTCTTTTGGGATATTACTCCTAAATGTGCCTTATTTTAAGCTAGAACATGATCTTGGAAGATTTACATTCACAGAAAACATTTATTTTAAAAAGTCTATTTTAATCTTTTTTCTAAACATTGTTTTATAATTTAAAAAAAAAACTGTGTTTAAAAGAATTCAAAGTAATTTTAAATCATTTTTTAGAAAAACAAATGCACCGTTATTGTTTTTAAAAGCTAAATTCTTATTTCAAAGCTGTTTTAATAAAGGGGGTGGGGAGTGCAATATGGGTGGTTCGAGTAGTTCTAGGTTGTTCCCACTTCCTCTACTACTTGTTGTTTTAACTGTCATTCAACACCCCCCCCCCCACCCCACAGCCTCTCTGTGTGCTATGTCATTTGGCTAAATACAATAAAAAAATTAATGAAACAACAAAGTATTAATACTTTGATTTGTACTAAAAATGATCTCATTATTTCCGTTTTTATTTTCCGGGTGAGATTTTTTATACCGCAGAAAAAAAACCGAATCTAAATCTCCACAGAAACGATGCCACGATAAGCCACGACAGACAAACACGCGGACGTTGTGGAAAACCACGGTCGAGTTGCAACTAGACTGCAGCGACCGTTCTTTCCCCCACGTGATCGATAAGCTAGATTGACGTTTTGTTGTTGTGTTACCTGTCCAGCGTGTCATTTGGAAAAATATTATTTTCATTCACCTTGTGTTTTTTGTTCAGCGGTCGCAATAACAGCACGCAGAAAAATGTCTCCAAATCCGGTTCATTTTGTTTTTTTAGATATTGAAGAGAAAAAAAAAAGAATATTTTGATTATGAGATCTATTTCAACTGTAAAAATCAAAAGTACTTTAATTTTCGAGATATTATTATTACGTTTTTGAAAAATAATAATTTAATTACTATTTAAATGTCTTAGTTTATACTATACATTAGAAACATTTTATTTCTTTTCAGACTTTGCAACATAATCAAGTCAAGATTCATCTATGTGGGATATCTGCAATAGGAAACTTTCACAAGAATCTTAAACATACGAACTATTTTAAGGATCAAAATAAAAATTAAAAACTTGCTAATTTCGTTTCTCATTCCGGAGAAAAAAAAACAAACTCTAAATGGTATAATGTTATTTATTTACTAGTACAATAAAAAGTTGAAAGAATTGTATCATGGTTTTCGTTGTTGGTTTCTTAACATTTGTTGCTATGAGTATCAGAATTTCAACCCCTTTGGGCGGCAACTTATCCACGTTGTACGTGGGCTCGTTACTTCCCTTGAGTAACTACTGGTGGGCACCCTATGGGGTGTGCTACATACAGTTTCTGAAGCGGGCGTTGGAGGAGATCAACAACTCAACGGATATTTTACCTGGGTACAGGCTGGAACTGGTAGCAGGTGACACACAGGTAAGTGGGCTATATTAGTGGTTTATAGTGTAGAATATGGGATTTGTGTTACACGCAAAAGTGGTTAATAGTGTAAAGCAAAAGTGGTTAATAGTGTGAAGCAAAAGTGGTTACTAGTGTAAAGCAAGAGTGGTTTATAGTGTAGAATATGTGATTTGTGTTGGACAAGAATGGTTTATAGTGTAGTGTAAAGCAAAGAGTTGTTAACAGCGTAATGCATGTGATTTGCGTGATATGGGGTTTACATTAGACGAGAGGTTTATAGGGTAAAACATGTTATTTATGTGGGTTAAGAGAGTGTTTTTATAGTGTAAAACGTGTGATAAGTATTAAAAGGGTGTAAAACATATGATTTATGTTACACATGTTATACATCGTGTGTTTTCTGTGTTCGACATGGTTGCCGTATACAGAGGCATAGCGACCCCCTCCCGGCGCCCGGGGCGAACTATCAGTTTGGCGCCCCTCCCCATATATAAATATAATATATATATATATATATATATATATATATATATATATATATATATATATATATATATATATATATATATATATATATATATGTATGTGTGTGCGACAGTCCGGAAACAAATTAATAATTACGCTGTATGATTGTCGTTCCCTAAAACTTTACTCGGCGCCAATTAAATGCCCCTTAAGATGCATTATCCTTTAAAAAATGATGATTATTAATGTCAGAAAAAAAAATTGTAGCAGATGCTAATTCGTTGATTGTGTATTGAAACAAGCTAGAGGAAGCAAACTGGAATCTAACGAACACAACAGCTCGAAGTCTTGGAATTATCAGATGTGCGCTGCCTTCTCGCACACAATCAACAACAAATTCAGAACTAATCGAACTAGTTGAAGAAGCTATAATATTTTCTCAGTGTTAAAAGAGTGATCTAGTCACCGATCCAATACATATCCCGCGGTTTTCGTTGGTGAAAAAGAGACCACCCCCCACACCTTCTTGGACAAAAATGGTAGAGCGGATTTTAAACGTCACTAACTCTTTCTTTATGTTACACAATCGTAAAATACGCTTTAGTGCAATGGGTTTCTTTTCTGAGTGATATCGGTTACTTATTCCTTATTCCGGTGTGAATTTTTCCGATTTTAGTCTTCGATAAAGCCCCCCCCCACCATCTAGGAAGCTGGAAAGCGGTTTTTACGGTCACTGTTTATTAAGGATATACGTTTTACAGTTACTCAATCAAGGCAGAAAACAGTTAAATCAGTATGCAAAGGCTCTCAGCCGTTAAATTTCTTTACTTTGACTGTTTATAATTCAAAACTGCAGCTTTTAAAATTATTTTCAACCCCTTTTGGCGCCCCCCTAGGGTCGGCGCCCGGGGCGGCCGCCCTCCCCGCCCTCCCCTAGCTACGCCTCTGGCCGTATACAGCGTGTGTTTGCTCTAGTAATACGTGAATTGTATTTTATCGTAAATGGTATGTGATTTATCCAGTAAAGACACGCTTTTCGTCTTGTAAAACACGTGTTTTATAGGATACCTGAGTTCTTGTAAAAATGTGTTTTGTCTTGCATAACGTGTTTCTTGTGAAAAACATAATTTGTCGGGTAAGACACTTTTTCGAAGCAAAGAAAAAAAAACTTTTGGTCGTAGAGAATTGTATCTTGCAGTGAAAATGGTCCATAAATAATTAGTTAAGCATGACTGAAATCGATAAATCAGTCTGACAGGCAAAAATCATTTCTTTAGAAAATCACGATCTGAATCAGCAACATTTGTTTTAAAAAAATTCATTCTCTCAATTTTTGTCTTAGCGAATAAATAATAAGCATTTAAGTTAAGTTGCGTTGATACAATTTTACGAGATTCTGTAGCCTTGTTATTTAAAATAAGCTAGGTTGGGTACTGATTAAAACTGAGTAGGCTCAAAAACAGAAAGTAAAAATGTGATTTATTGTCTTCTTTTTTCTTCTTCTTCTGCGTTCTTGATTGAGTTTATGTCGGAGGAGTTAAACAACAAGTCCAACTTCGTGTATAAACTGGACTGTGGTCTCCAGATCCAAGGGTGCCCCATATAGTTTTTCCTTGTGGGGTGTATAGGGACCAGTGTTTGGTTGCGCCTGTCAAACCCTTGACATAGAAGTTATATTTATTGAAAATTCAACCACAAGGCCCGATCCATTAATCGACACGTTTTTAAAAATCTACCAAAGCGGTCGAGGAACGAATCCTACCCGGACTAATCTGATTTCCTGTTTACCTGTCTAGGGAGTGGCAGGTCTAGGTGTGAAGCGGATGGTCGAGATGCTGGAATCCAACGTGCCAAAAATAGCCCTGATTGGCATTGGTCTGTCAGACGAAATGTCGCTGATTGGTCAGGTTGCACAGTATTTCAACACCCCAGTGGTGAGTGGTTAGAAGTTTTAAAGCTTGGATATATATATATATATATATATATATATATATATATATATATATATATATATATATATATATATATATATATATATATATATATATATATATATATATATATATATACATATACATATATATATATATATATATATATATATATATATATATATATATATATATATATATATATATATATATATATATGTAACTAGGGGAAGTTACCAAGAGACATAACGTGTTACAGTCTGACGTCACAGTGCAGGTGTTGGCTGATGCCAAGGCGTAATATCTCGGGAAGCGATACGAAAGACGGTCTGTCAACTTTGATGTGACAGGATGCAGGTGGCTTATTAAAATCGGACTGTACGACAGAAGCGGCGTAATTAACAGTCTGATGTAACGATTAGAATCGATTACAATTACGATTATGATAGGACCGAATATGAGTACGATTATGAGGGGGATATAAGGAAGGCGACGGCTGAGCTCGAGGTCTCTCGGAAAGTCAGTCTCTCAGAAGGTCTCAGAAGGTCTCTCAGTCTCTCTCAGTCTCTCTCAGTCGGTCTGTCAGTCAGTCCGTCAGTCTCTCTCGGTCAGGCAGTATCAAGTTGGTTATATTGTGTTAAGAAGGACGTTAGACATGTGTATTCAGTTAGATGAAGCCTAGTGAGGACTGTTGGGGGTCCGTTGATTCAGACTATTATTGTGAAACATCTCTCTTGATTCATTATATTATTGTGAAGCATTCTTTGATTCATGTAATAAAAGGATCAATAATGAACCTGCATCTTCGAGTATCTATGCTGTGGTCAATGTTGTGTGGAATGAGTGGTTAGACTCGGGAAGGTCACATTTGGCGTTGTCGGCAGGGTAGCCAGAGACTCGTTACATTTGGCGTTGTCGGCAGGATAGACTCGGGGACTCGTTACATTTGGCGCAGCGAGCAGGGTATGCAACTTGCCTAGGTAACAATTGGCGTCGTCGGACAGGATGAATTCAACGAGACTTGCCGCTTTAGGCACCCATGGTCAACCTAGTTCATAACTGTGTTTAGTGTGTGTGTGAATTCGGATATTCAGGAACAGTGAAAATTGAGGAACGAGGAAAAATTTTTTTCATACACACACGGTAAGAAAGAACTCTTTTTTTTTTACTAAAGGAATAAAATGTCTACTCTGGACGAGAAGCAGACCCATATTGTGGTCCTGCCCAGAGTAAACAAATTTTACGGGGACGGTGATCCAACTTTAACCAACAGGTTCAGTGAGGAGGTCAAAGCGGCCTGGGCCTCGAGAAACATGTCACCAGAGGAAAGATTAAGACTGCTGATGGGCAGTATAGGAGAGACGGTTAGGGCAGAGGTCAAATGCCACGATAAAACCGTCCAATCAGATCCAGATAAGGTGCTGGATCTAATTATGGAGACCTTTGGGGAGAGACGGTCGGGATCGCAACTGCTATCGGGGTTCGTAGGCTTAAAGCAGAGAATGGCGGAGAGTGTGATGGAGTATTCACACCGAATAAACAGGGCCTTTGATTCGGTAAAGGGCAAAACACCTGACATTGATGTACGCCTACTGAGGGACCATTTCATCGAGGGGCTAGCAACCCCGATCTTAAGGAGAGAGTTGAAAGAGGAGGTCCACAAAGACCCGCAGTTGACCTTCCTTCAGGTCAGGAACTCAGCGATCCGCAGGTCCGAGGATGAGGACCAATCGAACTGTTCGGTGGACAAAGTCTCGGTGCCGGAACAGAAACAATCCCCACCCACGGGGACCGGCACGGTGGAAACCATGATGGCTCAACTGTTGGCCCACCTGGATAAGGTTAACCAAAGATTGGAGAGGTTAGAAAGCAGGTCAACAGCTGAGAATCAGGAAAAGAACGGGACAAAACAGAGACAGGTTGGACGGCCGCGACCCGCCGGTCCATCACTCCGGTGGACGGCTGACGGTCGACCAATTTGCTTGTCCTGTTCACAACCCGGACATATGGCACGGTACTGCCAGGGAAACGGTCGTCCTCTGTAAGGCAGGGCCAGGCTACAGAGGGGCGAGGTTATGGCCCAAGAAGCAAAATGATGGGAGTCTGTCCCGAAATGGTGATTACGATTGGGGACATCGCGGTGAAGGCAATTGTGGATACAGGCTCCCAGGTGACGACGATCACGGAAAATTTTTACACCAAATGGATGAAAGGAAAAGACCATAGGTTGAGGTCTGACACATGCATGCGCCTGACGGCAGCTAATGGACTAACCATTCCATACTGTGGTTATTTTCTGGCGGATGTCGTGGTGGCGGGACATAGGTTGAAGCAGGTTGGGGTGTTCGTTACGAAACACAACCTAGAGACAAATGTGTCAAATATACCTTGCCTGTTGGGCATGAATATTCTTGGCCAGTTGCCAGAATTTCTTACAAATATTGTCGGATCGACCACACCAGGTCGGGGATCCAAGTTGGCCAGGTTTGCCAAGACCAGAGGAAGGATATCAGTCCCGGCAAACACGGTCAAGGCAATCACATTACAAATTGGTGATAGAAGCGTGAATGGTGATGTGATGATAGAACCATGTGGCGCCGCACTGAGGGCAGGCGTCGTGTTACTGCGGACATACACATCAGCGGAAAATGGACTAGTTCAAGGATTAGTGGCAAATGTTTTGGATGAGGAAATTTTTATACCGCCTAATACTCTGGTAGGAGTACCACAGAACGTCGAGGTACAAAGGTCGGCACAGTGCATCGAACTGAGCAATACCAGCAGTAATGAAGTAACAATTAGGTCGGTCAATGTGACGGCCGAGGTGAAGAAAGAGGATGGCCGATCATATACATTCCCGGAAACTGAGGACCCAAAACTAAATGAATTGTTGAATAAGTACAGGGATATATTTGCCTCGTACGAGGGTGATTTGGGTTACACGGAAGTAATAAAACACCAGATACCCTTACTACAAGACAAGCCGGTGGCGCAACCTTATCGAAGATTACCACCAAGTCACTACTCTGCGGTGAAAGCTCACCTGAACGATCTACTAAAAAAGGGAATTATTACAACCAGCACGAGCCCGTATGCGGCACCGATAGTAGTGGTAAAAAAGAAGTCAGGGGAGATAAGACTGTGTTGTGATTACCGGAAATTGAACAATATCACAAGAAGGGATGCATTCCCCTTGCCTCGTATTGATGAATGTCTTGATGCGTTGGGGGGAGCAAGATTTTTTTCTACCTTGGATTTGGCTAGTGGCTACCACCAAGTGGCCATGCACCCCAACGATCAACATAAAACTGCATTTATTTCTCCACTGGGACTGTACGAGTGGACCCGTATGCCGTTTGGTCTAACTAATGCACCTGCTACATTCCAGCGAGTAATGCAGAGTGCTATGAGTGACTTTCTATTTCAAATAATGTTGGTGTACTTGGATGATATACTAGTTTATTCAAAAACTTGGGAGGACCATCTAGAAAGATTAGAACAAGTGTTTCTCCGTCTTAGGGAGATAGGAGTAAAGCTGAACCCAGACAAATGCTGCTTCGGTCTGAAATCGGTACATTTTTTGGGTTACGTGATTTCGTCGGATGGCATCGCCACTGACCCAGATAAAATTGCAGCTGTTAAAGAATGGAAACAGCCAACAACTACGGTAGAGGTCAGATCATTCTTGGGCTTTGCTTCCTATTATAGAAAATTTGTGCCTGGTTTTGCAAAAATTGCCGCACCATTGCATGACTTGGTAAACAAAATGACAAAGAAACACAGTAAGGAGAAAAAGAAAGGTAAAACACAACGGATAGGTGAATTATGGACTGATGAATGCCTGAACTCGTTTAAGCTATTGAAAAAGGCTTTGACAGAGGCGCCGATATTAGGATACGCAGACTTTGACAAACCATTTCGGCTAGAAATTGACGCCAGCTCTACAGGTCTGGGAGCTGTGCTATCACAACAACAAAAGCAAGGCTTCAGGGTTATTGCTTATGCCAGTCGAGCTCTGAAGGAATCAGAGAAGAACATGACAAATTACAGCGCCATGAAACTAGAACTTTTGACATTAAAATGGGCTGTGACGGAAAAATTCAGGGACTATCTATTAGGTGCTAAATGTGTGGTATACACTGACAATAACCCCTTGAGTCACCTAAAGACAGCAAAGTTGGGATCCATCGAACAGCGATGGGCAGCAGAATTGGCACTCTTTGACCTGGAGATAAAATATCGCCCGGGGCGGTCCAATGGCAATGCGGACGCCTTATCAAGGAATCCTTACGAGAGACCGGGCGATGAGGAAGAAACGCTGACAGGAATATGTGAGGTCAGAGCGTCAACAGATATCCCTCACGGGGTGCAAGTGAGGCAGAACGGACAGACCGGGGTGGAGCACATTTCCACAGAGCCCGGACATATGGACATTGGTGATTTTAGTTGCCTTAATCACAAAGAGATAAGAGATGCCCAGAGAACGGATAGTGGCTTACAGCCGCTGTTGAAACACGTCCAGGAACAAAAATTCCCAGGAAGAAGGGAAAGAGAACAATTTGGTCGAGAAACAAAGAAAATACTGAGTCAGTGGGACCGTCTCAGTATACAGGATGGTGTTCTCATGCGGAGAATTTATGACCAAATTGATGGGACAATACACCAGGTGGTGGTGCCTGGACAATTACGAGAAGAAGTGCTAAGGTTGGCACATGACAGGGCAGGACACCAGGGTCAGGACAGGACGCACAAAATATTACGACGAAGGTGTTACTGGCCCAATATGGAAATGGAGGTCAAACGCCATTGTGAGGCTTGTGTGAGGTGTCAGCATGCGAAAATGCCAGTTGTCAAAATGAGACAGCCATCGGGACACCTATTAGCGACAAAACCACTAGAGATTGTGGCTATGGACTTTACGTCGTTGGAGCAATCATCGGATGGGACGGAACATGTGTTGGTAATGACTGATGTATTCACCAAATGGACGGTGGCGGTGCCCACACGAGATCAGACTGCCAAAACAGTGGCAAAGGTCTTAATAGAACATTGGTTCATCAAATATGGCATACCAAGACAATTACACTCTGACCAAGGAAGGGCCTTCGAGTCAGAAGTAATTAACCAACTGTGCAGCCACTACGGGATCAACAAATCTAGAACAACCACATTTAATCCGAAAGGAAACGGACAGTGCGAGCGGTTCAACCGCAGCATGCATGATTTGCTGCGTACCCTAGAACCTGAACAGAAAAAACGTTGGCCTGATTTTCTCCCAGAGTTGGTATATCTATACAACTGCACACCCCATGCCACAACCGGCTTTTCGCCACACATGTTGCTGTTCGGACGGGAGGCTCGACTCCCCCTTGACTTGTTCCTAGGAAAAAAGGAGAGTATGACTGGCTCATACACTGCACTGGAATATGTGAATGAACATATGAGACGAATTAGAGAAATGTACAGGGTAGTACAGGAAAGACTAGAACATGAAGCACGGCGAAGGGAACCGCCGGTACAGACAAAGGACCCGCCACTCAAACTGAACGACAGGGTATTACTGCGTAGCCACCCATTAGGCAGAAACAAAATCCACGATCTCTGGGGACAGGAGATATGGCAAGTCGTGGAGATGCCTAAAGTAGCAGGTGGCCCCTTTAAGATAAGACCCATCGATCACACCAAACCGGATCGGTGGGCGAATATTGCTCAATTAAAGAAATATTGTCATAGTCAGGGAGAGCAGTTACACACAAGGAAACCCAAGACAATTAGGGAACCGGAAACTATAACGGAAATTCTCATACCCATCCCGGAACCATGTCACCATCAACAGAACAACAGCGACACACAAGGGGAGGATACCGGCAACAAGGAGGATCCCGGTCCCTCCAAAAGCAGAGAGACAGTAGACCATCAGATAAGTGGTCCGCGGAGAAGTTTGAGAAACAGAAAGAATACGAAATTTTTTGTCAGCAACCATCAATTCTTTCATGGTCGCGCTGGTATGAAAACAGACTGTTCAAAAAGTCATAAAAGTGAACTGGTGAAGGCACCAAACGAAAAAAGGTGGATGTGAATTCTAGAACTGTTTTGTGTCTGAGGAAGATGATGTAGACACATTGGATATGTGAAATAGGGATAACTGTCAATCTTATACGAATGTGACGACATTGACAGTGAGTGGAACAATAAAATTTTTTTTTTACGGCGGTGCGATGGACTTTGAAGGACTGCACCTGCCAAGCGTTGTTTGTGGTTGATAACACACAAAAAAGGCAGGGGTGGATGTAACTAGGGGAAGTTACCAAGAGACATAACGTGTTACAGTCTGACGTCACAGTGCAGGTGTTGGCTGATGCCAAGGCGTAATATCTCGGGAAGCGATACGAAAGACGGTCTGTCAACTTTGATGTGACAGGATGCAGGTGGCTTATTAAAATCGGACTGTACGACAGAAGCGGCGTAATTAACAGTCTGATGTAACGATTAGAATCGATTACAATTACGATTATGATAGGACCGAATATGAGTACGATTATGAGGGGGATATAAGGAAGGCGACGGCTGAGCTCGAGGTCTCTCGGAAAGTCAGTCTCTCAGAAGGTCTCAGAAGGTCTCTCAGTCTCTCTCAGTCTCTCTCAGTCGGTCTGTCAGTCAGTCCGTCAGTCTCTCTCGGTCAGGCAGTATCAAGTTGGTTATATTGTGTTAAGAAGGACGTTAGACATGTGTATTCAGTTAGATGAAGCCTAGTGAGGACTGTTGGGGGTCCGTTGATTCAGACTATTATTGTGAAACATCTCTCTTGATTCATTATATTATTGTGAAGCATTCTTTGATTCATGTAATAAAAGGATCAATAATGAACCTGCATCTTCGAGTATCTATGCTGTGGTCAATGTTGTGTGGAATGAGTGGTTAGACTCGGGAAGGTCACATTTGGCGTTGTCGGCAGGGTAGCCAGAGACTCGTTACATTTGGCGTTGTCGGCAGGATAGACTCGGGGACTCGTTACATATATATATATATATATATATATATATATATATATATATATATATATATATATATATATATATATATATATATATATATATATATATATATATATGTGTGTGTGTGTGTGTGTGTGTGTGTATATGTCTTATAGAAATGTGACTTTAAAAAATTAATTAAGGTTACCGATATTAGGGGGAAAAAAAGACTGACTTGAAGTTACACAGCTATTAACCCCCCCCCCCCACCACCACCACCACCCTCAGCTCTCATTCGCAGCGACGACCTCTCACAGCCTTGACCGTGACCTCTACAAGTCCGTGTACATCACCAACTACCTGGGCGAGTCGGTCAACCCTGCCAGGATAGCCATCATGAAGGCCTTTCATTGGACGCACGTGGCCACACTTGTCTACAAGGACCAGGTCTTTGAAACGGTGAGCACTTATTCACGTGAACAATCCACTTTAAAAAAAATTAAAGTTATTATTATTATTTTAGAAAAAAATATTTTCTATTAACTTTCCTTTTTACTGGTTTATTTAGGAAAAAAAAATTGTAATGAGGTTTTTTTTATAATTGAGTCCATCGTTGATGATGGCCAACTTTGGATTCCTCGCTACATTATTTCATAACTCATAGACAGCGGCGTTGCTAGGTCGGGTGTCACCCGGTGCGGCACATCATGGTGTCATCCCCCCCCCCCACATTTGTTTTCTCTCTGTTCATTTTGTAGTTGGTGTCACACACCCCACACCCCCATCCGGTAAAAGCTTTAATGTTCACATTTAATACTAACGATGTTTATCTATAGTCGGTCGTTAGTACAGCTGGGTGTGACATTGTTTTCTCTATAGTTTGCATGTTTATTTCATGTTGTGCCTCCCCCACCCCTCCTCATCGTCGTCGTCTTACCCCCCACCCCCACCCCACCCTTGTCGCGATTCTCATTATGATCTCAAAATATTTTTTTAACTATAATTAACCATTCATTGATCTAGAAAAAACAACATATTTATTATATCTTACAATTTTTTGTCTTCGTGTCACCCCCTAAATGGTGACCCCAGTGCGGCCCTCACCACCACCCCTTCCTCCGCCCCGCCTCGTGACGCCACTGCTCATACATATAGTAATTTCTAATAGTAAGGTGGTTGGTCTCTCACTACGGTCATCATAGCCACCTACGATACCACATTATGATGACGATTTATAACAGTTTTGAATATTTAGTTGCCTAATCACTTACGATAGTAAACATGGTATATCCAGAAACGTGATTGCCTACAAGGGTTTTTCTCCCTTTGGGAATATGGGGTAGTGGTGGAGTAAGCAGGAATTTTGTGGAGCGGACATGGGCTTCAAACTTTCTCTCCACACACACACACACACACATACCGTGTTTGGAATGTACAGTCCTTTAATCGAGTTGTCCTGTCTAATGTTTTCTAGTAGGGGTTCTAAGCTTAGGATGTATAGTAGGGGAGATAAAGGACAACCTTGTCTAACTGATTTCTGTATGTGAAAAGCGCTTTCTCGGTAGGCAAGAAAATACTTGCATACGCAGACGACACTACTTTCTTAGTACATACAGAAAAAGCAATACAGGCTGTAATAGAAAAATTCAACAACTTTGGGAAAGGGAGCGGGGGAAAAATAAACGCAGAAAAATCAAAAGTAATGGGTATAGGTAAATGGAAAGGTAAAGATAACTATCACATAGACATAACAATAACTGACAAACTCAAAATTTATGGAATAACCTATACTAGCGATCTCACAATAAACGACCAAGAAACTTGGACCACACTGAAAAATAAAATAAATCACAATCTGGAAAAATACCAATACTGCAATACAACCATTTTTGCCAGAGCTGCATTAGTAAACAGATATATCATTCCAAAAATAATTTTCGTAGCGACTATAGGCCTACTTCGTATATACGAGAAAGTTTAAAGGACATGAATTTATTGATAAGTTTTTATTTAATTAAACGTACGTAAAAAAAATAAAAACAGTTTTTGTTTATTGCATAAGCAGCAACCACAATTGTTTTTTAAAACCAAACAGCATTACCAAGGATGCAGGGACGTGGTTTGTGCAACAAAGTTTAAAACATTATTATGTAACCACACTCTCCTGCTCCCCACTCCTCCCCATCCCCAGGCAAAACTTCTGCTAAAAGCATGTTAAGCTTGTTCCCTCCCCTTATTCTAAAACTGGTTGATTCCTCAATAAAAGCATTTAAAAACCCCTCAATGAATCGATAAAGATTCACAATTTATTTGCAAAATTTAACATTTTTTGCATTGTTCTAAAACAGAAACTTAAGTTACATAAATAGACCAAAACTGGATCAAATTAAAGATATAAAAGTATTGATTCGTCTAAACAAAACAAGAGACATTCTTATTTTTGATATTTTTTTTTAATTTAAACGTGTTTGGGTAAAGAGAGCAAGGGGTAGGGCTTATGGTGTTAAGTCATGTATGTTGTGCCTTTGTAATTATAGTTTGGTAAAATTAGTGGTTATTAAAAAAACATACCAGCTTTTATTAAATTCCAAATATTTCATTTCCGAATCAATTATATTAGAAAATATGTACGTATTTTTAAAATTTAAATTTAAAACGTAGGGTATATATCTTTAACGACCATCAAATGCAAACTTAATCAACATATTTGATTACTCTTTGACACGCCGAAATTAAGTATGAAGTATCTTCTGAATTATTTTACCTTTAATATTTATCCAAATACGACCCCTATATTCTAAATTTATTTCTTTTTTATCGGACCGACCATAGCATACAATCGTCATAAACTAGCGGTATATATCTATATAAATCTATATATAAATTAAAAAAAAATAAAAAAAATAAAAAAAATAAAAAAATAAAAAACAAAATAAATAAATAAAAAAAAATATATATACATACATATATATATATATATATATATATATATATATATATATATATATATATATATATATATATATACATATATATATATATATATATATATATATATTAATGTATAGTTCTACATTATACCAAACACAACATGTATAAATGCCAGACCCAATGACTCAGCAACTACGTCATTTTACAAATAATAAATCTTCCGTTATCAAAGATCGACTCTTTACATTAATGAAAAAAAAGTTACACAATTTAAAAAAATTCTAATGAAGCCATTGTGCGAAAACATTAGTTATTGTGCATCCTTTTTCTTTGACCATTTTCTAAAACACTATCGATTTTTCTATACATTTCTACACAATGTCTCATATCCCATCTAAAAAAATGTAATCAAACTTTGCATAATAATGCAGGATGTGTTCGAGAAATTCATAATGAAAAGCAATCTTCAGCTTCATCTGCACGTTGCTGTTGTAAATTGAAATATTTACGCCAGACAAAGGTGGAGTTCTGGTATTTAGACGTTTTATAAGTTAGTTTCGAAAATGCTTACGTTTTATAAAATAACAATTACGTGTGCAATTTTCTCTCGGCCTTTAGAGAATAGATTAGTTTGGATGATTTCAAAATAGTAAACAAAAACAAAATCTATAATGTAAAAGTGGTGTTTATAATGCGCTGTTGATATATTCTAATAAGCATGGGCGTACATAATTGCTTATTTTTTTCCGTTAGCGTTCTTGGAATTAAGTTTTGATGAAAAATGTCGAAAATGTATTTTTGCTTAAATTAAGTTGAAAAAATCGAATGACACAGCCTTATAAAATTTACAATTTATATTATTCACTAGATTTACTGTTTATATTATTCACTAGATTTTCAATTTATATTATTCACTAGATTTACAATGTATATTATTCACTAGATTCACAATTTATATTATTCACTAGGTTTACAATTTATATTACTCACTAGCGATGGGGGTAAATAAAACACGCGCGTGTGGTTTGGGCAAAATTGATGGGGTGACACCAATGAGAAAAGTTATTGTCTTAACAATGTTTTGGACATTTAAAATAATAAAATATTATGGGAGATAGAGAGAGGTGACAACCAAATCGAAAGTACAAAGTTGTTGCAGGGGGATAGGGTGACACCCCCAGTTACCGCACCACGGTCACACCCCCGGTGACACCCGCAGTTACCACACCCCGGCGACACCCCTGGTGACACCCCCGTTACCCCCCTTCACCAAACCGTCATAGAGACGCCACTGCCGGTGGGCACATGCCCCCCAACAACAGTTGCGGTTCAGACACAAAACCAGCCGCCAATTCACATTACACTTTTTTTTTTACTATTTTTCATTTTCGATCATAAAAAACAATGTCTTCCGGTGAGTACCCCCCCCCCCCTCCCCAACACACACTCACGCAGACAAACACACACGCATCCTACTACAGCAAATCGCCAGCGAAGTGGAATAATAACACGGCACGCTAAAGAAAGGAAAAGTGATTTCCTCCCTCGGTGAAAAATTGGAGTTATGCACCAACTTGTTTAAACATCGAGTATAGAAAAAACTGCAATGAGTTTCTATAATGCAAAAGCGCAAAACGCGAGATCGGTATAAAACACGTATTGATTTCTGTTGTTTTCATCTTCTATTTGAAGTAAAAATAAATTATAGTCATTCTTGGTGCCGTAGAACCCTACTAAAACCTAGGGTAGTATTTATTTTTTTTAATTGCACAACAGAGTAAAGTTTAAACTTGATAGACAAAAAAAAATATAATATTAATAAACTGAAGAAAATAGAAATATTTAATGTGTTGCTATTTTTTGCTCGCGTAAGCCTATTTATAGACATCCGGACTCTAACCGTGATCTTTAGGTTATCACGTAACTATTCACACCACTCCATCTGACTGGACATGACAGTCTGTCTATTCAGAGATCGATCGGTCTATTCAGAGATCGTTATAAATAAAAGTAACAATCCAATTAGTGTCAAAAAATCTATAAGTCTTCATCAAACGATCAAACTAACAACAAACATCTAAACTTTCAGAGAGCAAATTTTTTAAATGTCAAACTATTCAAATCTAATTTAGACATTCAACACTAATGGGGAATAATTAGCGTTCAGGCTTGTTTTAAAAAAAATTGATTACTTTAAGATAAATAATTTAAAGTTATTTTTTTCGTCCGCCAACAGACACGCTTGTATCAATTACACGAGTGATTGTGTTTCATAAAGAGGAGAGCTAAGTTTAGAAAAACAATTAAGGTATCGGTTTAGTTGTACTAATTTAGGGTATAGTGTACTTTAAATTTCTGTACTTTTAAGATATTGGGCAATTATTAATAAAAACGAATTTCAAACAGCTAACGTTTTTATAGACAGAATCATAAATTGTTTTAGGTAAGTTAGTAATGATGGGGAAGTGGGATGGTGGGGGGGGGGGGGGGGAAGGGGGAAGGAAGAGGTGCAAAAATACTAGCATTATCTGTCCGAGGAACCTTCCCTTTCCCTCCCCCCACCCCAATCTAATTGATTGCACCTAGTACAACATACGTAGGTTTAAAATATTTTGGTTAGCTGTTATTTGAAACCACATTTGTTTTTTGGTAGAAGACTTGTTGTCTGTGTTTCTTCCAGACTTTTTTCTCCTGGGTGGTGAGGGGGGGGGGGGGCGCTTGAAATTTTCGTGGGGGGGGGGGGCGGACTTAAATTTCCGGGAGGGAAATTATATATTATCTGTTTCCGTTTTTAATTCTAATTTTTAATTTTAAAGACTGAAAGAAGAAAAAAAAACCTCAAAAAATCAAATAATTAAAAAAAAAATACATTGTTTAGACTGTGCGTGAATCGCGAATGAAAAAAAAAATGACAACAATAACTCTGTGATAGAAATTAGAAGTTTCTAAATCTGGTGCCAGTCTGACAGCGTCAGGTTGTTTATGAGGGAATCGATTTATGGGTGATTGATTTCTGGTGGAAGGATCGTGGGCTACAGGTGATGAGATCACGTGAGGTAGGGAGATGAGATATAGTGGGGGAGTGAGGTAATGTGGGGAGTGAGGTAATGTGGGGAGTGAGGTAATGTGAGGAGTGAGGTAATGTGAGGGAGTGAGGTAATGTGAGGGAGTGAGATAATGTGGGGAGTGAGATAATATGGGGAGTGAGATAATGTGGGGAGTGAGATAATGTGAGATAAAGTGGGATGTGAGATGATATGAAGTAACGTGGGGAGTCAGATAATGTGAGATAAAGTGGGATGTAAGATGATATGAAGTAACGTGGGGAGTGAGATAATGTGAGATAACTTGGGGGAGTGAGATAATGTGAGATAACTTGGGGGAGTGAGATAATGTGAGAAAACTTGGGGGAGTGAGATAATATGAGATAACTTGGGGGAGTGAGATAATGTGAGATAACTTGGGGGAGTGAGATAATGTGAGATAATTTGGGGGAGTGAGATAATATGAGATAACGTGGGATGGGAAATGAGATGAGATAACGTGGGATGTAAGAAAATATGAATGAATGTGAGTGATCGAGATATTATGAAATCAGTTGATAAAAGTGAGATGTGAGAAGATACTTTGAAACAAAACAAAAAATAAATGAAAAAAAAAAACAGTGTGACGGCTAGTCACGGCCAAATGATGTTTTAATAGCAAACTGAACTCTCTTCAAGATGTGTAGAAAATAGATGTAAGTTACAAGCGTTGTTAAAAAATTGTGTGGTAAAAAATAGTAAATGTAACTAATTTAGTTAAATAGTAAAACATAGCGTTAAAAAAAACGGAAAATCAATGAGTTAGTTGAAATTCTTTAGATAGGCAAGCCATTCTAATGTTAAAGGAATTATATTGTCCAGTGCTCTATGCTAAACTGTGCCTTTTATTTTGAGGTGGGGGGGGGGGGGTCATAAAAGTTACAAGAAATTATCATAGAAAATATAACCCAGGAGTTGTGTGAGCGCCCGTACAAGTGCTACTGTTACATGTTGTTAGCACTATAACTGACGAGACACAGGAGATCACACGTATGAGAACTGCATCGTGCTGTGCGCACTGGACGAAGAAAAGTCATCGTGAAATCCACTTTATTAGATGTACCAGAACAGTTTGTCATCGAAAACTTTGTTCTTTTTTCAGCAAATCACGAACTTCCACACCTACTTGGCCGTAAACAATTTTACACTGGTGACGTCAGGGATTATCACAGACCCCGACCAGATCTCGGAGCACATGATTAGGCTGAAAGTGAGTAAGAATGGATATATATATATATATATATATATATATATATATATATATATATATATATATATATATATATACACACAAATATTTATATACACACACATATATACACAAATATTTATATACACACACATATATGTATATATATATATATATATATATATATATATATATATATATATATATATATATATATATATATATATATATATATATATAAGAAACATACCTGCACATGCTCACACATATACTTGATCTCTGCAGCAATATGACGCACGGATCATCATGGCGGCGTTTAGAAGTAACTTGGCTCCTTACGTTTTTTGCCAGGTATAAGCATGTGTTTAGTTTCTGTATTGTACACGAGCCTGTAAATGAACCACATTTCTAGATGTATTTTTAACTAAGGGGTCATCCACAAATGACGTCACACTTTTTTGACGATTTTTACCTCCCCCCCTCCCCTCCGTCACACGTCGTCACAAAAAGCCAGACCCCCCCCCCCTAAAATGACGTCACACCTCAACCTACGACCCTCTCAACATTGCAGTTGAAATTTTTTAAAACATCGATATTTTTCCAAAATCTTGTCTAAACTATTACAATTTATTAAAACAGTTATCTAAAACGCGAAATAACGTCTAAAATTCGTTTACTAACATTGCTTTTTTATAATGCAAAAAAAGTGACGTGGCAACATCTGAACCCCCCCCCCTCCCCCTCATCACACATCGTCACAAAATTACGGACCCCCCCCCCTCCCCCTACGAGTGTGACGTCATTTATGGATGACCACCAACCCAATCTGTAGCATTTCTGATTAAATGGCAAGAGGCCTATATTTATGGGAACTTAAAAAACGTTTATATATATATATATATATATATATATATATATATATATATATATATATATATATATATATATATATATATATATCTAAATATATATATATATATATATATATATATATATATATATATCTATCTATATATCTATCTATCTATATATATATATATATATATATATATATATATATATATATATATATATATATATATATATATATATATATATATATATCTATCTATATATATATATATATATATATATATATATATCTATCTATATATATATATATATATATATATATATATATATATATATATATATAAGTATGTGTGTGTTATAATTATTATTCTTTTTCTCCTCCAGGCCTACAAGCACGGCATCTATGGCAAATCCTACCAATGGATCCTGACAGGGGACAGCATGTACGACGGCTGGATTGGTACATTTTTCAAGGGGCAACAACCCCTGCCCTGCTCCAGGGACGAGGTGGTCACAGCCAGTAAAAATTATCTGGTGGTCGATAATGTTTACCTGCGGCGTGACGTCAACACGTCCACCATCTCAGGGAAGGTGAGGTCCCAACATAGTCACAATCTCAGGGAAGGTGAGGTCCCAACATAGTCACCATCTCAATTGTAAGGTCCCAACAAAGTCACCATCTCAATAGTGAGGTCCCAACATAGTCACAATCTCAGGGAAGGTGAGGTCCCAACATAGTCACCATCTCATGGAAGGTGAGGTCCCAACATAGTCACCATCTCAATAGTGAGGTCCCAACATAGTCACCATCTCAATAGTGAGGTCCCAACATAGTCACCATCTCAATAGTGAGGTCCCAACATAGTCACAATCTCAGGAAATCTGAGGTCCCAACATAGTCACCATCTCATGGAAGGTGAGGTCCCAACATAGTCACCATCTCAATAGTGAGGTCCCAACATAGTCACCATCTCAATAGTGAGGTCCCAACATAGTCACCATCTCAATAGTGAGGTCCCAACATAGTCACCATCTCATGGAAGGTGAGGTCCCAACATAGTCACCATCTCAATAGTGAGGTCCCAACATAGTCACAATCTCAGGAAATCTGAGCTCCCAACATGGTCACCATCTCAGGAAATCTGAGGTCCCAACATAGTCACCATCTCAATAGTGAGGTCCCAACATAGTCACCATCTCATGGAAGGTGAGGTCCCAACATAGTCACCATCTCAATAGTGAGGTCCCAACATAGTCACAATCTCAGGAAATCTGAGGTCCCAACATGGTCACCATCTCAATAGTGAGGTCCCAACATAGTCACAATCTCAGGAAATCTGAGGTCCCAACATAGTCACCATCTCAATAGTGAGGTCCCAACATAGTCACCATCTCAGGGAAGGTGAGGTCCCAACATAGTCACCATCTCAATAGTGAGGTCACAACATAGTCACCATCTCATGGAAGGTGAGGTCCCAACATAGTCACCATCTCAATAGTGAGGTCCCAACATAGTCACAATCTCAATAGTGAGGTCCCAACATAGTCACCATCTCAATAGTGAGGTCCCAACATAGTCACCATCTCAATAGTGAGGTCCCAACATAGTCACCATCTCAATAGTGAGGTCCCAACATAGTCACCATCTCAATAGTGAGGTCCCAACATAGTCACCATCTCATGGAAGGTGAGGTCCCAACATAGTCACCATCTCAATAGTGAGGTCCCAACATAGTCACAATCTCAGGAAATCTGAGGTCCCAACATGGTCACCATCTCAGGAAATCTGAGGTCCCAACATAGTCACCATCTCAATAGTGAGGTCCCAACATAGTCACCATCTCATGGAAGGTGAGGTCCCAACATAGTCACCATCTCAATAGTGAGGTCCCAACATAGTCACAATCTCAGGAAATCTGAGGTCCCAACATGGTCACCATCTCAATAGTGAGGTCCCAACATAGTCACAATCTCAGGAAATCTGAGGTCCCAACATAGTCACCATCTCAATAGTGAGGTCCCAACATAGTCACCATCTCAGGGAAGGTGAGGTCCCAACATAGTCACCATCTCAATAGTGAGGTCACAACATAGTCACCATCTCATGGAAGGTGAGGTCCCAACATAGTCACCATCTCAATAGTGAGGTCCCAACATAGTCACAATCTCAGGAAATCTGAGGTCCCAACATAGTCACAATCTCAGGGAAGGTGAGGTCCCAACATAGTCACCATCTCAATAGTGAGGTCCCAACATAGTCACAATCTCAGGAAATCTGAGGTCCCAACATGGTCACCATCTCAGGAAATCTGAGGTCCCAACATAGTCACCATCTCAGTAAATCTGAGGTCCCAACATAGTCATCATCTCAGGAAATCTGAGGTCCCAACATAGTCACCATCTCAGAGAAGGTGAGGTCCCAACATAGTCATCATCTCAGGAAATCTGAGGTCCCAACATAGTCACCATCTCAGGAAATCTGAGGTCCCAACATAGTCACCATCTCAATAGTGAGGTCCCAACATAGTCACCATCTCAATAGTGAGGTCCCAACATAGTCACCATCTCAATAGTGAGGTCCCAACATAGTCATCATCTCAATAGTGAGGTCCCAACATAGTCATCATCTCAATAGTGAGGTCCCAACATAGTCACCATCTCAGGGAAGGTGAGGTCCCAACATAGTCACCATCTCAATAGTGAGGTCCCAACATAGTCATCATCTCAATAGTGAGGTCCCAACATAGTCACAATCTCAGGAAATCTGAGGTCCCAACATAGTCATCATCTCATGGAAGGTGAGGTCCCAACATAGTCACCATCTCAATAGTGAGGTCCCAACATAGTCACTATCTTAGGGAAGGTGAGGTCCCAACATAGACACCATCTCAATAGTGAGGTCCCAACATAGACACCATCTCAATAGTGAGGTCCCAACATAGTCACCATCTCAGGGAAGGTGAGGTCCCAAAATAGTCACCTTCTCAATTGTGAGGTCTCAGCATAGTCACTATCTTAGGGAAAGCAGATGAAGTAGAGTTAACCTGTTTCTGTAACTGCGCTATATGAAGGGACAGTCGCCTTTACTAATGTGATTTAGGTACCAATCAGAGCTTGGTGGACTCTGGGAACGGGTCCGAACTCGAGACATTCAGGCTTTGTAGTCTACTATCCAATTACACCGTCCCATTAAAAAAAATTAAAGCCTACATCAAAATGTAATTATTTTTTGTGTGTTTTCTAAAAATACTAGCCGTAAAACCTATCGTTGCTCTGGACAACGTGTTATAAATAGACTCGTATTGAAGCAGATAAAAGTTTTAAATTAAAAAGTGAAACATCGTTTAGCCCTCGAGCTAGGCCACGGTTGAATTTTAGAATAAATCAATCCATGTCCATTTATAACAAAACAGCAGCGAGAGATGAATTACTCTGTTTAATTAGTAACAAAAAAGCTGGGTATCAAGACAATAGTGAATGCCTTCCTCTTCATTGGAACGAAACAAATATTTGTTTAAAAATGTTTCACAGCTAAGTTTAGAAAACGAGATGAAATAAAGAATTTCAAGAGAGATTTTTTTTTTTAATTAAAAAAAAACTGGGTTATACTGCTAAAACTACGGGATTATTTTAGTAGACTTCGAAATAGAAATCTACGAACAACCACTGCAGGCTAGTTGGCTTTAACAACTTATATTTGTTTGCCTCATTGTGCTGTTTGCCTTTCCGAGACAACCAGTGCCTTTTGCCTCAATGAGACAACCAATGCTGTTTGCCTCAATGAGACAACCAATGCTGTTTGCCTCAATGAGACAACCAATGCTGTTTGCCTCAATGAGACAACCAATGCTGTTTGCCTTTCCGAGACAACCAATGCTGTTTGCATCAATGAGACAACCAAACTAATGCTGTTTGCCTCAATGAGACAACCAAACTAATGCTGTTTACATCAATGAGACAACCAAATCAATACTGTTACAGACAGCGATTGAGTACAGCACAACGATCGAGAAATGGGCGGGCAAGTTGAAACTGTCTAGAACCCATCCCTATGGATACGACGCTGTCTGGGCACTGGCATTAGCCCTCAACCGTACCCAGGTAAATAGGCAACATTCTATAGATAAGGCAACATTCTATATATAAGGCAACATTCTATATATAAGCCAACATTCTATATATAAGGCAACATTCTATAGATAACATAAGGCAACATTCTGTTGATAACATAAGGCAACATTCTATAGACATCATGAGGAAACTTTCTATACATAACATAGGGCAACATTTTATAGATAACATAAGACAACATTCTAATGATATCATAAGGCAGCATTCATTAGATAACATTAAACACTATCCAATTATTTTCTTAAGGCAATATTCAATATTTTACACATACGCATCGTCACAAATTGAGAGGGAAGGAAGTAGATTCAAACTGTGTGACTAGGTGAAGGGTAAATTTAAGCTCAAGAAATGTTACGTAATACACACACACACAAACTGACCCAAGCGCACACACATTTACTCGCACATACACACATATTTATATACATATATAAACATGTTTTAATATATACGTAATAAGACCTATGTATAAAGACGGTCTCGCCAGATTATCTGATTGTTCTCTAATCTGGTGTAGGAGAAACTGACCAGTGGTGTCCTGAACCAAACGGTCAGTTTGTCAGACTTCAACTACACACGATCTGATCTGTTTGACCTCATGATACAGAGCTTACAGGAGATCACATTTGAGGGGGTGTCGGTAGGTTTTACACTTGTAGGTTTTACACTTGTAGGTTTTACACTTGTAGGTTTTACACTTGTAGGTTTTAGACTTGTAGATTTTAGACTTTTACTTCAGTAGGTTTTAGACTTGTACGTCAGTAGGTTTTAGACTTGTACGTCAGTAGGTTTTAGACTTGCACTTTAGTAGGTTTTAGACTTGTATTTCGGTAGGTTTTAGACTTGTACGTCAGTAGGTTTTAGACTTGCAATTTAGTAGGTTTTAGACGTGTATGTCAGTAGGTTTTAGACTTGTATGTCAGTAGGTTTTAGACTTGTATGTTAGTAGGTTTTAGACTTGTATGTTAGTAGGTTTTAGACTTGTATTTCGGTAGGTTTTAGACCTGTATGTCAGTAGGTTTTAGACTTGTATGTTAGTAGGTTTTAGACTTGTACGTCAGTAGGTTTTAGACTTGCACTTTAGTAGGTTTTAGACTTGTAGGTTTTAGACGTGTACTTCAGTAGGTTTTACACTTGTATTTCGGTGGGTTTTAGACTTGTAGGTTTTAGACTTGTACATCAGTAGGTTTTACACTTGTATTTCGGTAGGTTTTAGACTTGCACTTAAGTAGATTTTAGACTTGTATTTCGGTAGGTTTTAGACTTGTAGGTTTTAGACGTGTACTTCAGTAGGTTTTAAACGTATGACTTCCGTTTTGATTTAGGCGAGCAAAATCAGTAGGTTTTAGTTGTGTATAGTGGATGGCGTGGTTGGGCGGAAAACGTATGACTGGTAACACCAAAAGCCACGAGTTAGGACCCCCGGAAACATGGGGCCCATTAGCTAGGAACAGCAACCCATCTAGGAGAGATAACTCCCAAATCAAACAACAACTGCCTCGTAGTTTGTTCTTGGGAGGTCACAGGCTATGTAGGGAAATCCTGAAAGATTAGCAGGCTGAAATCGGAATCAACGGCCTCTATGGCGCATAACAGGCTAACACGTAAAAGTCATTTATAATGGAAGAATTGTCCTTCAATATTTCAATTAAGGACAATTAAGAAGTAGAAGAAGAAGCTGTGTAACAACGTAGAAACCTCAACATGGATGAGTTTTCTCCAAACCCAATGTATAGGATGTAGATCTGATAGGTTGTCATCTGATACAATAGTATGAATCCCCACAGGGCACTGTAGCGTTCAACGAGTATGGCCAGAGGATGGGACCCCACGACATCGTGTTGTTTTACAACGACAGCAAGACGTTGGTAGGAGAGATCAAGGGCGTGGATGGTCTTAATTGGTCGGTGCCGATAGACCAGCTTTTTGAAGGTACGCCTTCATCAACATACCGGAATATATATATATATATATATATATATATATATATATATATATATATATATATATATATATATATATATATATATATATATATATATATATATATATATATATATATATATATATATATATATATATAGTAATTTTCATTGCACCGCGGGTTATGCCGTGTCTACTGTCTAGTATGCACATTTAAATATAGGTACATATTACATATAAATATATGTTTATATATATATATATATATATATATATATATATATATATATATATATATATATATATCTTTATATATGTATATATGTATGTATGTATATATAATGACAGGGCATAGTGCTGACCAAACTATCCCTTTATATGCCGAGGTCTCTGAAACAAATGAGCTTCATTTCATCTGCCCTATGTGTCTTGGGCACGAACAGGAAAAGCTGATGATACATCATTTATATGCCATACGAACAATTAATGCATTAAATATATCAATTATGCCTTGCATATGTGCAGATACTTTGCATATAAAACACTATAGTGTAACTAGGGGATGTCAAGACGTCCATACAGCAAGACTATAACCCTGCAGAAAACTAACCCAGTCTATAAATAAACACCACCCATACAGGGAGACAACCTCCACGCGACAGATTCCATTACGTGATGATGAAGCTACCTCCTAGCGACACAGCTGTTGTCATTGTTCTGTTGATCAACACCTTAGGTTTCCTGGTGGGGGTCGGGTTTCTTGTCTTCAATATCCTCTACAGAAATAACAGGTGAGATACGCTCTACCCTACACGTGCAATTCTCTCTACTGTAAAAACAAAAAGTTTACCAAAACGGTTATGGATCTAATATCAAAATTTTAGAACATATTGTTCTTCTATAAATCGATTCACTTACACGGTATTTAGTTAAGGATCTTAATTGTTGAATTTATTTTATTTTATAAAAACATCTGTATTTTTTTTAACAACATTAGCCAATATTAGAGGTATATCTACCTAAAAAACAATAGTCGACAGCTTATTATTTCAACGACTCCCGGATATAAGCACCCCTCCCGGATATAAATCCTCTACATAAATACCTTTTTTAAAAAAAAAAAGACTATTTTCTTACATAAACCTCGAACGGGGGGAACAGATGTTATGTAAATACCTAAGCAAACATAAGTAAGAAACTAGACATTGTTGTGTGTCGACCATTCCTCAGACAACGATTGGTTTAGCCTGCCTGTATTTGTTCTGTTTAGGGCCTTACACTAATCTATCTATATATATAATTCTCCTCTTCGAGCCGTTAGAAAACAAGCTGCAAACGCTCTCCCTACCTCCCCACCCCTACATGGTTTTAGTGAGCTGTGTTCACTCTAAATGTTTACAAGCAGAGCCAACGATTTTAAACGGAGGGGGGGGGGGGGGAGGAGGGGGGGGGAAGGGGGGGGGGTTATGGTCATTAACGAGCTACTTATAGTGTTTTAAAGAAATATTTTCAGTGTCAGCGTTGGTACTGTCGAATTCACAAATTATGAATTATTGAAAATTAGAAACAACTAAATAGCGGCGTATGTTATGCCGCGGGCCGGCTCGTATATATAATTCTCTTCTGTGAGCCGTTAGAAAACAAGCTGCACGCGCCTCCTTGCAGTCCCCTCTCTTTCTCTCTATCACTATCACTACCACCCCCACCCCACCCCAACATTGTCTGGTGAGCGGTGTTCACTCTAAATTTATACAAAGCCAAATGTTTACAAATCGTAGAGCCGTACAGCGGGGTTTCTATTAGGGGCAGATAATTTTGTTCGATTTTAAACTTAAGGAGGTAACTAAGAAATAACTAAGAGGAGGCTGCTTTCACGGGGTGGTGTAGGGTCGGGGTTAGGGGAAAGGGGGGGGGGGTAGTGTTTTAAAGCAAATATTTTCAGTGGCAGCATTGGTACTGTCGAATTTACAAATTATGAATTACTGAAAAGTAGAAAATAAAACAACTAAATAGCGGCGTATGATACGCTGCGGGTCGGCTCGTCTCAAATATTTTAGTAAAATCCCTCTCTAACCTTACTGTGCAAGCTGCAACATTAGAGTAGATCTGATGAAATTAATGCAGAAGTTTTTTTAATTAGGGGTCATCCATAAATGACGTCACACTCGTAGGGGGGAGGGGGGTGTTATAACTGAGTCCAACCCCCCTCGTCCCACCGCTAGTGGGTATCTACCCCACCCCCCTCCTGCCCCACACCTGAACTGTGACAGCGTGTACCGCCCTCCCCTCCCCCCCCTAAACTGGGACACAATGCATCCCCGTAGCTATGTGCAGGCTAGGGCGCCCACCCCTCCCCCGCGCTGGACTGACAGGGTCAGGCAGGGGTTAAGGAACCCAGGGTCAAGCTTGGGCCAGAAAGATAGGACAGTTGAACGTTAGGCTGGTTAGAATGTAGTCGTGTTTTTTTGTGTTCTTGTAAAGTGTGGTAGGGCTGGCCCCTATTAGGCCAGCCACTATTAATGAACTAGTTCTGCTTCCTTAGACGATAGTAAGACTACCATATAGGGTGTAGTTCCATTATCTATGTTATTAAAGTTGTTCAGCTGAAATTGTGTTGGTGTCTTCTTCAACAATCAAGTAATATACAGTGTCTAATTCGCCACACAACTGTTTAACCTCTCACTGCAGTCATCACCACCATCAAAACAAAGCACACAGATGACTCGTTTCGTAACAGGGGGGGGGGGGTCCGTAATTTTGTGACGATGTGTGATGAGGGGGAGGGGGGGGGGGGGTCAGATGTTGCGACGTCACATTTTTGTATTATAAAAAAGCAATGTTAGAAAACGAATTTTAGACATTATTTTGCGTTTTAGATAACTGTTTTAGTAAATTGTAATAGTTTAGACAAGATTTTGGAAAAATATCGATGTTTAAAAAAAATTCAACTGCAATTTTGAGGGGGGGGGGGGTTGTAGGTTGAGGTGTGACGTCATTTAAGGGGGGGTCTGGCTTTTTGTGACGACGCGTGACGTAGGGGAGGGGTAGGTAAAAATCGTTAAAAAAGCGTGACGTCATTTATGGATGACCCCTTAGAAAATAATTTGTTTAAATTTATTTCTCAACCAGGCACATCAAGATGTCAAGCCCAGCCATCAATAACATCATCGTTATGGGATGTCTGCTCATGTATGTGTTCGTGTATGTGCTGACGTCAGATTACGCCAATTGGTTCTCAGACACCAACAGCGTCATATGCATGGTGAGTTGGGATAACACGAGACCGCTTTAAGTGCGCATTGTGGTGTATGGTGGGGTGGGGTGGGGTGGGGGGGAGGGGCGGAATTGGTCAAAACTTGCATTGTAATTGTTGGTGTTTTTATTTTGTGAGGTTACTAACTTTGTTTTTGCACAAGGCACAAAACAAATGGGCACAAAATACACGGGTACAAAACACATGGGCACAAAAACATTCGGGAAGAAAAACCCACGAGAAAAAAATTCACAAGAAAAAAAAACACAGGAAAAAACACGGGACAAAAACACACAATACACGCGGGCACAAAACACATAGGCACAGAACACACTGACACATCAACACAATCACATGGTGACACGCCCGAAAACCCACAGCCTAAATATAAGTTAGCACACCTAGGTGTAAACAAATACATAACAAGTGATTTCCCTAAAATACGGTAGACAGAACATGTACAGCTATAAATAAACTCCCATGCCCGACTTTTTAAAACACATTAGTCTTCTATTCTACTGAATTCTCTAGGTGAGGCTGTGGCTGGCTTGTATCGGGTTCACGCTATCGTTTGGCGCTCTTTTCTCAAAGACATGGAGAGTTCATGCCCTTTTTCGTAATGATCAAATCAAAAGGAAGGTAAGTCGGATAAAAAATTTAAAAATTGGAAATAATAACACAGTAATTTCATATCTTTGTGTGTACAATGTAGGGAAAGTGGGCGAGGATTAATAAAAATAGATGTGAATTTATCCAACTATTTTTAAAAAGTCACTTAAAAACATAGAGATCTTTGGTTTTAGATTTCGACCAAATTGTATGCCTAGCGAAAAGATATTTAAAGTGAAAAAGATTGCGTAAAGATCAATGTTGTCTGTTGTTGTATTAGTGCTGAGAAAGCAGAAATTAAGATATGTGCGTGTAATGGAGGTTTTTATTTATTCGACGACGTTAAAACGGAAGTAAATCAAAGCTTCTTGCGTGACTGTTCTGTAAATCAGACAGGAAGTCGTGGATTTAGCCATGGCCCAGTTTCACTTTCTTAAACAGAATCGATTCTTTACTGCTGTTGGTTGACAATTTGTTAAAAGATTCCAAAGAACCTTGCAGTAAAAAGAAAATACTAAAGATTTTGTAAAAGATACGCATCAAGAAAAGTCACTATTTAACAGATCTTCGTAGAAAGCGTTGCATCAATAACCCAATGGTTAGGTGTTTGCGAGTTGATACCGCCATTCCTAGTAATTATCCTTTGCATTTAATCGCGTTGAATGTTTGCAAATTCTCGCTTTTCTAGCAGACGTACATTTAAACTCATTCCTCCGTCGAAACTTAAAACCATTATCCTATTATTTATAATCGACATAGATTCTAGTTATGTTGTTCTCACGAGAGAAAGTCGCATAAAACTTGGTTGTGAAAAGGAACGGTGTGGTCGAGTGGCAGAGAGCACAACTACTAACTCGAATGTTTCGGATCCCGGATACGAGTTCATAGAACGTCCCTGAGTCCATCCAGCTCTGATGAGTACCTGGCTCACGTTAAGGAAAGTAAAGGCGGCTGGGTACAGTGCTGGTCACACTATACCTTCATGTGCCGAGATCTACTTCATTTACCCAATGGGCCGCTAAATCGTGAACTATTAATTGACATCATCTAAGGCTTCATTTGAATACATATTTTACTTTATGCTATTTTAAAACATCTTTTACTTTTTGCTATTTTAAAACATCTTTTTTTTTTTTGCGAATACATTTAAAAACACATCACCGGCGGTTCAATTTAAAAACGAGTTTCTGTTAATTTATGCAAAAAAATTAATGACTATTTTAATTTTATTAAAAATTAAATATTTTCTCTAATATTACATTAAAGATGAAAGGAATATATTGACCCAAAAGATGATAGCTAAGGGATGTGTGTTTGCGGTGATTCATCAAAGACCTCTCTTTATTCAGTCGAATGATGTTTGCTTGTTGTAGGTCATCATTGGTTCGTTCAAATGTTGTCTGCTGTAGGTCAACAAACACTTTCACCTGTGTTTTCATATGTCATTTGTCTACTACAGGTCAACAAAGACCATCTGTGATTGCAAATGTCATGTGTCTGTTGCAGGTCAACAAAGACCTTCACCTGTGTTTTAAAATGTCACGTGTCTGTTGCAGGTCATCAAAGACCACCTTTCAAATGCCATGTGTCTGTTGCAGGTCATCAAAGACCTTCATCTTTCAAATGCCATGTGTCTGTTGCAGGTCATCAAAGACCTTCATCTTTCAAATGCCATGTGTCTGTTGCAGGTCATCAAATACCTTCATCTTTCAAATGCCATGTGTCTGTTGCAGGTCATCAAAGACCACCTTTCAAATGCCATGTGTCTGTTGCAGGTCATCAAAGACCTTCACCTGTGTTTTAAAATGTCATTTATCTGTCACATGTCATCAAAGACCTTCACCTTTCCAATCTTATTTATCTGTTGCAGGTTATCAAAGACCTTCACCTTTCAAATGCCATATATCTGTTGCAGGTCATCAAAGACCTTCACCTGTTTAGCCAAGTTCTTGTCCTTGTCCTGGTGGACATGGTCATCCTAGTGCCCTGGTCAACGCTACATGCCCTGGTCAAGACAGTCTACAGACTACAGGTCGAGGTGAGCGTTTGAATATACCCAGAAGCTTATAGCTGTATTTTTACCTGGGCCGCTGAAATATTGAACATCGTAATGATGTCCTGAGGCCATGTGAATGCGTGATGATCTAGTTCAGGGGTCTCCAAACTTTTCAATCCGAGGGCCGCATTAACTATCAAATTTCAGTTCGGGGGCCAGTTTCTTCCAGGCATGTCTTTGATTTTTCTGGGCAAAGTACATCAGCCATCACCAACAAACGTTTTTTTCCTTGGACAAAAAGATCTCCGCGGGCCAGATGAGAGGACTTCGCGGACCGCATCCTGCCCGCGGGCCGTAGTTTGGAGACCCCTGATCTAGTTCATCAATTCATAACGTTAGTAAACTTTTTTGGTACCACAACCTGGTTCTGTCTTTGAGTTACAGACTTTTATTTTGTCTCCCCCAGGGTCAGTCCACAGGAGACGAGCTCGTCACATACACATACACGGGCTGTTCACACGAGTTTGAGGCAGGTCAACTTAATTAACTAATTAATTTTTAATTTACCAATGACGTCATAATCACATGTGTACACTGGCTGTTACGTAACCTTGTTAATGTAATTAGTTAATTAATTCACTAAAATACGTCATGGAGGACCGTCAATTATATTTTTGTGATATTCACCTCGCCATTCTTCTTTATATGTTCTTTTCATATTTTAAAAAAAAATCTTTGAACTCAATTAGTTAATGAAATTCTGTCACTTTTAAAAATAACATATAACGTGTTATACTCGCAGTGAAAAAAAAAGCTATCGATGTATTTAAAAAATGGAGTTTGTTTTTAAATATTGGTCGCGCTGTGACTTCAGAACTCACTCAGTTTAAGTCAGTACCCAGCGCTAGTTGGGATGTAGTGAAATCTCTCCTGATGTTTTGTTCATATACGTATGTTTACACTAGTACACAAAACACACATGGAAGGAAATGCGACATTGTAACTTCAGAGGATTATAGGTAGAGGATTAAAGACTTAGTCTTCTTCTTCGTTCTTTAATTAAGTGTTGGAAGGGATCCCCTCCAACACAATTAAGTATACGTCAACTGGTTATTAGACATTGAGGCCATAGACTCATTTTTCAGTTGTCTCTCATAGAAGAGTAGCTGTCCCCAGCTAACAAGCCTCATCTGCCCGAGGGTTCGAACTCGAGACTTTTCGGTTTAGCAAGCATGAGCTTTACCGACTCGACCACGCCGACCCCAAAGACTTTTGTGTTCTCATCGTTTTAAACTCTAGCTTTGATCTGGTCAGGAAATGAATTGCTAAATCCAAAAGTCCCAAATTCGGACCACCGGACAGATGAGGATCGTTTGTATTGGGACAGCAACCCATCTAGGGGGAAAAAATAAAAATATCAATTAGATGTTGCCTTGTAGTTTGTTCTTGGGTGGACAAAAGAAATGGGGACAGACACTCTTCTAGGTGAGACAAGTCCATAATCAAACAACTGCTGCCTTGTAGTTCTTGGTTGGACAAAGGCTATGGAAGCAAATCCAAAAAGAAAAGCAGGCTGAAATCAGAGTCAATGGCCTCAATGGCGCATAACCAGTTGACACGTATCCTTAATTGGGTTGAATGGGATCCCTTCCAACACTAAAATTGCGAACGAAGAAGAAGAAGAAAGATAAGCATGTTTTAGCCGGACCGAACAGGCTTTATGGTGCATAACATGTTGATATGTAATTGGTAATTATGCTGGAGGAGATCCAATCCAATATAACACTTAAATACAAATAAGGTGAAGAAAAGCTAGGTTTAACTTTAGATTGGAGTGTAGCATAATTATTAAACTGCTTATCTTAGTCTCCAATTCTGCAAAGGAGAATAACGCGATTTTTATCTTTAACAATAAAATACGTGTGTATTTTTAGCATCTTATCCGCCATGTTTGTTATGTACTGAGGTTTCCGTGGTAACAACTGTGTACACACCTGACCTTCTGTACAGGTGTACTGGTACATGGCCGAGTACATCTACAAGGGTCTTCTCCTGGTCTTTGGTGCCTTCCTGGCCTGGGAGACACGCATGGTGACGATTCCAGCATTGAATGATTCTAAGGTAAGCTTGAGACAGGTGAAATTTACAGGTAAGTTGAACTCAGGTGAACTTTGCTGGTAAGTTGAACTAATGTGAACGTTACAGGTAAGTTTAAAACAGGTGAGCTGTAAGCTTTAAGTTTGAACTAGGACATCTGGCAGACAGGTGTATCTGACAGGTGGTACCTGAACCAGATGGACATACGTGGGCTGTTTACGTACTAATTGCATCATTCATCGATTTATGCAAACTACTCCAGACTTCAAAAAGTAATTAGCCAAATTACTTCTGCAACGCATTTCACTATGCATCAACGATACTGCCATGATGATCAGCCATTTAATTTGTGCATGAAAATAGACTAGGCATCAACGATATTGCCCATGCTAATTAGTTAATTTATTTCTGCAGCTAATTGGCTTCTGCATCTACAACATCGCCATCGTCTGCGCCTTTGTAGTTCCGGTGACCTACGTGCTGGGTCAGGAAAGAAAGACCTTGACCTTCATTCTCGTGGCTGTCTTCGTCAGTCTCTGCACATCGCTGGTGCTGTGTATATTGTTTATACCGAAAGTAGGTCAATTTTCATTATCATTTGTTTATTTTTAGAAATTAGTTTAATTTCATACAGAAAGTAGGTCAACTTTCAATATCATTTGTTCATTTTTAGAAATTAGTTTAATTTCATACAGAAAGTAGGTCAACTTTCAATATCATTTGTTCATTTTTTTAAAAATTAGTTTAATTTCATACAAAAAGCAGGTCAATTTTCATTATCATTTGTTCATTCCGAAAATTTGTTCAATTTCAAAGAACAACAATTCACACCAAAAAAAAGGACAATATTAAATCATATTTACTCATACCAAAAAAGTAGGTCAATCACTATATAGTCATACCTAAAGTAGGTCAATTTCCAAAGCACACTTTTTCCTACCACAAGGTAGTTAAATATTAACCAAAAAATTTCCCAGGGTGATCAAAAACAACAGCAACCCGCCTTTGTTTACTGTGTCTTTGACTGCATTGCCAGGTGCGCCTGAGGAATCAGGTCGACGACAGGCGTTTCGTGACGTCACTCAACACCCAACAGCCCGCCCCCGGCTACGGCCAGGGTCGGGCCGAGGTGAAGAAGGACCTGCTCAACGTGCCGAGCAAATCCCGCCCCAGCAACGGTAACTCGCTTGTCAAATCTCGCCACGAGAGCAGCTGCGAGAGTGTGTTCACAGGTCAGGGGCAGGCTATGGCCGGTTATGTTAAAGGTCAAGGTCATGCAATGTCCAGTTGCGTTGAAGGTCAGGCTCAAGCAGTGTCCATTTATGTTAGGGCCAAGGTCATGCATTGTCCGGTAAATTTAAACTTCAAGGTTTATGCCATGTCCAGTTATGCTAAATTCTAGGGGCAAGTTTATCCACTGAGGTTAAAGGTCAAGGACTTTTAATATCGGGTTTACGTTCTGGACATTGGCATGCAACATCCAGTTCATTTTTCCACGTTATATATATATATATATATATATATATATATATATATATATATATATATATATATATATATATATATATATATATATATATATATATATATATATATATATATTATGCCTTGTTATACTTCAGGTTTGTGACGTGGTTTTCCATATTATGTTATTCGTGTTTGGGCTATGGTTAGGTTATCCATACGTCCTGATCGTAACGCTTGTTCATTCTTCGGCTAAAACGAAATGGGACAATATCTGTGCAATACATAGAAATAATGCTTAATAAACCGGGAGTGATCTCCCCTAAACTTTCTCGAATATTCTTATATAAAATAACAGGGGCTGGGGACTCGGGCTATAGACATGATTTTTAATACATTTTAAATACTTAAAGTTTTAAAAATAGAATAAAATCGCGTAGACAAAAGAATTGCACACCAAGTGAACGCCAAATAAAAAAGTGCATAATAGTGCGCAATATTATTAGTACTTTAAAAATTTACATTACTTTTTTGAGAAATCGGAAGCGTGAATTACTACTTCCGATCAACGGTCAAAATTTAACAGAAGGTAGAGAATTAGATCTTTTACTTACATGTAAAATTTCATTTATCTACCTGAAATAGTACTCAAGTTATTCCGGTTATCGGAAATCGCTCAAAAGTTGATACGGATCTACTATTTTGATAAAATACTTATATATGAAATTTCATCAACCTAGCTGTAACGGTACTAAAGTTATCGTGTTTACACACGGACACACACACACACACACAGACACACAGACATACGGACAGAACTGCAAAGCCCAGTTTTTCAGACTGGATTACGCATAAAACCTCTTAATTTTGATAAATCTGGATTGATAATTTTTGCCCGATTAAAATAAGTCCTCAATACTTCGGATGTGATGAAGGACTGAGGTGTAATACGATGAAAATTGTTAAAATTTCAAGTGATTTTTGTGCAGGGATTACAATACTTTCTCTATACTTCGTATATAAATCTACGAGAAAGTAAAAAACGAATTCATTTAATTAAATCATTCATTACATTTGTACTAAACTTTGCACCATCAGTCATGTTGGTTAAGTTGCTTAAGTTTTAGAACAGATCCAAAAGGAGGCCGAGTCATATTTGACTGTTTTTAACTAAAAAATCAATATTTAATTATTTCGTTTAAAAAGGCGGTAACATTTTTTATGTTTTTCAAATAAAAGAACATTGGAAAACCTTTAACTCACATGGAAAATGTGTAGGTTTATGGATGGGGCTGAGAGTGAGGGGTTAGGCTTTTAAATAATTTAACATAACATGCGGCACATATTTAACCACGCTTTTTAAATTCAGCCAATCTAAAATACTAATCGACTTCAATTAACAAGAAGCTATAGGCCTACATTTTCAGTTCCTTTAATCTAATTAGGGTAATTGATGTGTTGCCGTATCTTAATGAAGAGTATTTTCAACAGAAAAAAAAAGCTATTTATGCATAAGAAAATTTCCACAACTTTTACCTTTCAACTTTAAAGGGTATGCAAGCTAAATATAGTATTCATGGCAATTATTATAAATCTGGTTTTAATTTTTGAAGTTGAGTTTTTATGTAACATTATGTTTATATCAATTTTGGTGTTGAGACTAGGTTACGACTAGGATAATATTATGGCTGTGGTTAAGCTGTTAGAGTATGCACAAAATAAATATCACCACCCCCCCTATTCGTTAATTAAATATAATGATATGAACAGAAATCATCGCCTGGCTAAAAAAAAATAGATGTTTTTTTAATTAATCTCTTTCGCCGCAAACCGTCACCACAATATTCCCATTCCTTTTGACAATACGAATATCATTATGAATAAAGCTTGATGTTTTGATCCGAGGTTTTCTTCATTGTGTGTATTTAATTAAAATAACTTAAAAATAAGGTTCATACCACCGGCCAACAGCTTTTACTGTGAGCTAAATTCACTTGCCTGACTGCACATTTCTATTTCGCTTCTCCCCCTCCCCCATATGTGGAAAAACATCCATGAACACCCCCCCCCCCTCCACACACAAACACACAATCTACCACTCCTGAACTCCCCAGACATAGTCTACTGTTAAATGTATGGCTAGTTAACGTGTAATATGTAGTAGTTAGTCTGTAATGTGAAGATCAGTGGCGTAGCCAGGATCGTCTCAAGGGGGGGGGTCCAATTTTTACCCGGGGACAAACTTTCGATTTGCACCCCCCCCCCTCAAACTTTCGATTTGCACACCCCCCTCATACTTTTTCTATATACCGAGGGGTCTATGGGGGGGGGTTATGACCCCCCTAACCCCCCCCCCCCCCCTGCCTACGCCACTGGTGAAGATAGTCTATGATATGTATTTAAACTATGATGTGTAGTTCGTCTACGATGTGTATTTAGCCTGTGATGTGTAGTTAGCTTATGGCATGTATCTAGCTTGAGAAACTATACTTGGGTCATAGAGTTAGATGAATCATTTAAAAGATTTTGTTTTATTTTATTTCAGTGGAAGAAGTCTCCTCGTCCTCCGTCAAAGCTGACGGCGCCAGTAGTGGCGACATCTATGACGGCGGAGACTGCAGGGCCGAGGGTGATCTGAGAGCGGAAGTCAATCGTCTGAACCTCATGCTTGCAGACGTAAGTGGGGGTACCTCCATAGTTAATTTCTGAACAATGCATTTTGTACATTGTCATTGGGTTGGGAATGGGGGGGGGGGGGGGTAATAACGTATAAGGCCTGTGTATACAGTTTCAAGCGCCTCGCCCCCTAGAGAAAAATGTCTGAAAGAAACCTTTAACCGTAGTTTTTATGTCAGGAATCTGTTTGGCTTGTTATATCTGGCAGTTTATCCCCTACGCCCAGCAGCCAAGTAGTGCTGTTTTGTATAAGTCTTCTGATTTTACAACTAAATTTAAGTATATTTTTTTCCGGTTTCTTTAGGAAATTAAGGCAATATCTCGCCTACGGACATCTTTACTGCGAGAAACCAACCAGACGGTCAACTTCCATAAAATAGGTCACGATTACGTCATCTTTAAGGCAAATGCGCAACCGGATGTTGTAGGGACGACAGTGGAAAACATAAAAGAATCTGAAACCTAGTTTAGAAATGTCACTTCTTGTCAGAAAGAAAATAACCTCCGCGACTGGTTCAAATTACAGCAGACATTTTGTAACTACGAAAGATAACTCTTAATCATGAAACATGGAGTAGGGGAGACTATAATTCGTAATCAATTTATTTCCCTTGTCGCAGTATCTAAATACTACTTTACTTTAGTATTATTAATCTGCACTATTGATAGGGAAAAAATTATATAAAGATTCATTTAAAAATGTGGATATTTTCAATAACGACTTGAGATTGAAAACAGCATTTAAAATAAATATTTTTAGTTGCCTCGTTGAAATCATTATAGTTGAACTCTGGGAAGGTCCAGTAGAGTTATGTCCCTTTAAGTGTGACAGTGAAGTTGATTATACGGCACAAGGTTAAAAAACTTGTGGATATTTTAGCAATGATATTGCTAAAACCATAGTCGACAGTAAGCAATTAGAAGTAGGCACACGCGGTCCCTATGGAAACTACATTTTTATTTCCTAACTAGCAGTTTGGCTAGTGACTGCCAAACATGTTCTAGTCTTGTAAAGAGAATCCAAATATTTTAGGTCAAATCTTTCAATGTTTCCAAGAAACAGTTAAAGGACATTATAATCACAATTTCCCTGGGTCTACCTAGCTCTGATGGATACTTGGCTCACGTAAAGTAAAGGTGGCTGGGTACACCATACCTTTATATGCCGAGGTCACAGAAACAGGTAAACTCTAATAACTTGTTCCATAGACTGTTAAGTTTGAAAGGGAACTTAACTGCTTCACTTTAATTTACCTGTAATGGTTGAATAAATAAATTATATGTATGACGTATTTTTAATTATTTCTTTACTACTTCTTTATTGACGCATGCATTTTCAGTTTTAAAAGCCACAATCATTTAGAAAAGCTCAAGACTGGATATTTTTCTATTGCGTATTGAGATAAGCGCTTTCTCTCTCTGAAAGGTATTTAATTAGTTGTGCTTTCTAAACCCGTCTTTAGCTCATACAAACTTGTATTAACCAAATGTTATTTATTTAACTAGAACTTCAAAGAAGGAACAAAGTAACAATTTGTCTAATTACGTAGCATTTTATTTACAAAAAGTTTTATTATTGCCCTTCTAGTTATCTCATGAATGTGAGAAACTTCAACAAGATTATCAATCAACAGTTTTATACTTAGTTTTTACAAAGTAGTAAATCAGCCAATTATAATTAAAACAATTATAAACTGCATTTACATATATTGTACCTACTAAAAAAAATGAAAAAAATTCCTTTCAAAGTTATGTAGATATTGTTTTAGACAAGTGGACTTCAACACTTTTAGAGGTGGTAAGAATATTTTGTGAGCAGAACATGTAATTCCTCGATAAATAAATGCTGGGTACTCATCAAAGGCTGAGTGGACTCCAAAACATAAGATCAACTATGAACATGGTTTGAACTAAAGCTCTTAGAGTTAAGTCAACCAAATGGTAATTTTCTGTGTAGCCTCATTAATATTTAAAGCTCACTAATTGGAAAACTTATGATGGAAAATAATACAATTTAAAAAAAAAATGGCAATTACAGGCAAACAAGTTATATACACATCAAATATAGAATACTACTTTATTACAAATTTTACAAGCATAAGGAACAAGGTTTTAATGATTGTGTTACCAATTTCATGATACAATCATGATACAATCATCAATCCACCATTATCATGAGACCTCTACCAGGACACGTCACCAAATCTAGAAATCAACTTGTCTTGGTCATGCAGATCTTTCTGGATCTTCTTGCGCATGTAAAATATTGGGCAGTCTCGACTGAAAGAAATCCCAAAGTCAAAAATCAGTATTTTCAAAATTAGTACACACAAAACAAACTGTTAATGAATATAAAAAAGCATAATACTAACAGAACAGCACACTTTGTAAACAAACTTGCTATATAAAATAAAAACAAACATATTGTACCATATAAACTAATTAAAAATAACTCTGTATATGCATACAAAACAACAGACAAAAAAAGAAGCTCATCTACTTTGTACAAAAACATTAAAAATACTAATTTTTAAACATCAAAATCCTTCAGAAAATATACTAAATGCTCAAAAAATTATTACGGACGAAACCATTCCAAGAAAGAAGACATACTTTGTGCACAGAACATCTTCATGTAAGCTTCCCTGACACCTTTGGCACTGGGTCCAAAGGCGAGAAAATTTTTCTTCCAAAGCTTGGACCTGGCTGATTTCTTTCTGATACAGTTCGGATTCTTTCGGCTTGCAGTGTTTGCACACAGCTTCACCTGAATAAAAAGATTTCATAAAACACAATGATGTGAATTTTCAGGCTCAGTTCAATATTTATGCAATGAAAATTTCCAAGCCCTACTTTTTTCCTTCAACAAAAATAAAGTGGAAGTGATCTCCAAAATCTTTCTCATATATTCTTATATATCAGCAAGGGGGTTGGCACTTCCAGTGCAATAAGGTTAAAGAATTGTTTATTATTATTTTTTTAGATACTTTTAAAAAAAAAACTCGAATAGAATCGCATAGAAAAAAATAATTACACACTACATGAACACAACTATATAGGAAACATTGATTAAATTTTTTAACGGCAGAGCAATAAAAATGCCCCAAAACAAATATAGTTGCTATAAAAATGTCTAAAAAATATTAAATAAATGTTATAAAAAATATCTTTTTGAAAACTACCTTCATGGTCCAATGGAACCTTACATCCTATACAAGTACTTTTCTTCTTCGTGAAAGCAGCCAAGCCCCCGACCTTTGACATGACCACTGTCCGTGTCCTTGTATGTTCTCCCTCTGTAATACAATTATATGAACTGTTAAGATTACAGACAGACATCAATCTTACAGTGAGAGAATTAAATAAAAGGATCTAAACAGATAGACATATTCTGACCACTGTCCTTGTATGTTCTCCGTCTGTAATACAATTATAAGAACTGTTAAGATTACAGACAGACATCAATCTTACAGTGAGAGAATTAAATAAAAAACTAAACAGACATATTCTGACCACTGTCCTTGTATGTTCTCCCTCTGTAATACAATTATAAGAACTGTTAAGATTACAGACAGACATCAATCTTACAGTGAGAGAATTAAATAAAAGGATCTAAACAGATAGACATATTCTGACCACTGTCCTTGTATGTTCTCCGTCTGTAATACAATTATAAGAACTGTTAAGATTACAGACAGACATCAATCTTACAGTGAGAGAATTAAATAAAAAACTAAACAGACATATTCTGACCACTGTCCTTGTATGTTCTCCCTCTGTAATACAATTATAAGAACTGTTAAGATTACAGACAGACATCAATCTTACAGTGAGAGAATTAAATAAAAAACTAAACAGACATATTCTGACCACTGTCCTTGTATGTTCTCCCTCTGTAATACAATTATAAGAACTGTTAAGATTACAGACAGACATCAATCTTACAGTGAGAGACTTAAATAAAAAACTAAACAGACATATTCTGACCACTGTCCTTGTATGTTCTCCCTCTGTAATACAATTATAAGAACTGTTAAGATTACAGACAGACATCAATCTTACAGTGAGAGAATTAAATAAAAGGATCTAAACAGATAGACATATTCTGACCACTGTCCTTGTATGTTCTCCGTCTGTAATACAATTATAAGAACTGTTAAGATTACAGACAGACATCAATCTTACAGTGAGAGAATTAAATAAAAAACTAAACAGACATATTCTGACCACTGTCCTTGTATGTTCTCCCTCTGTAATACAATTATAAGAACTGTTAAGATTACAGACAGACATCAATCTTACAGTGAGAGAATTAAATAAAAAACTAAACAGACATATTCTGACCACTGTCCTTGTATGTTCTCCCTCTGTAATACAATTATAAGAACTGTTAAGATTACAGACAGACATCAATCTTACAGTGAGAGACTTAAATAAAAAACTAAACAGACATATTCTGACCACTGTCCTTGTATGTTCTCCCTCTGTAATACAATTATAAGAACTGTTAAGATTACAGACAGACATCAATCTTACAGTGAGAGACTTAAATAAAAAACTAAACAGACATATTCTGACCACTGTCCTTGTATGTTCTCCCTCTGTAATACAATTATAAGAACTGTTAAGATTACAGACAGACATCAATTTTACAGTGAGAGAATTAAATAAAAAACTAAACATATTCTGGCCACTGTCCGTGTATGTTCTCCCTCTGTAATACAATTATATGAACTGTTAAGATTACAGACAGACATCAATCTTACAGTGAGAGACTTAAATAAAAAACTAAACAGACATATTCTGACCACTGTCCAAGCTGTTCTCAAAGAAGAAATCCTGCAATAGGCACTTTTATATTTTAATTTCTTTTATTTAAAATAGTATTTTAGAAAACAAGACATTCTAATCCTAAGAATAAAAAATAAAAAAAATTAAAGCATTTCATATCATTTATAAATAGGCACCATAAAGAAAGAAAATGCATTGATAATTTTGAGGCACAGCTCAAACAGCTATGATCTTGAAATACAGAGAAGAAATTTTACAGAGAAACTTATTTTCAAATAATTGACATTTTAACACCAAGTAGTGAATAAAAATATATATTCTTAAGCTAACAGTAAAAATATTTACACAATGAAAGTACAAGATGTATGGATAAATCAACAAACAGTCTCAAGGGTTAAAATCCCCTGCTTCATAAGTGTCACCCTTATTCACTTCATGCATGTGCTCCATTGCTATTTGAGTTTTTTCTGAGAGTTTCCACTTAGACACCAAAAACTTTCCACTTCAAGTCATACATCTTTCACTTTAGAAAATTTGGTGAAAAGTCATTACTTTGTTGTCCCCACACCAGTCCTAACTTGTCAAAAATAAATTTTAGCCCTAAGAGGCTGCAATTGAATGAAAGAATGGCTAATGATATAGAAGTCTCAACAGCACTGCCAGACAACATGTTACTTTTTGGGCATCTATGCCATATCCAGGGACGCCACTCATATTTTGGGTGAATCCTGAAAAACTGTGTAATGGGGGCACTGGTGTACATGTATGTTTCCTTTTCCTGGACAAATTTCTGAATGAGGCAGGCTGACACAGAGATGGTAGATTGTCTTTTTGATGTGGTGGCTGGATTTTATTGGAGTGGCAGTGGATTGTGGAACTGAACTGGTGGGTTCCACAGGTGGATCAATCTCTGGGTTGTGAGTTGATGATGTAGCACAGACTGATGGTGGATTTGACACTGGGTTCCACAGGTGGATCAATCTCTGGGTTGTGAGTTGATGATGTAGCACAGACTGATGGTGGATTTGACACTGGGTTCCACAGGTGGATCAATCTCTGGGTTGAGAGTTGATGATGTAGCACAGACTGATGGTGGATTTGACACTGGGTTTTACAGGTGGATCAATCTCTGGGTTGAGAGTTGATGATGTAGCACAGACTGATGGTGGATTTGACACTGGGTTTCACAGGTGGATCAATCTCTGGGTTGAGAGTTGATGATGTAGCACAGACTGATGGTGGATTTGACACTGGGTTTCACAGATGGATCAATCTCTGGGTTGAGAGTTGATGATGTAGCACAGGCTGATGGTGGATTTGACACTGGGTTTCACAGGTGGATCAATCTCTGGGTTGAGAGTTGATGATGTAGCACAGACTGATGGTGGATTTGACACTGGGTTTCACAGGTGGATCTATCTTTGGGTTGAGAGTTGATGATGAGTTGATGATGTAGCACAGACTGATGGTGGATTTGACACTGGGTTTCACAGGTGGATCTATCTTTGGGTTGAGAGTTGATGATGAGTTGATGATGTAGCACAGACTGATGGTGGATTTGACACTGGGTTTCACAGATGGATCAATCTCTGGGTTGAGAGTTGATGATGTAGCACAGACTGATGGTGGATTTGATTTGGTCTTGTGGGTTTGTTGGCTATTAGCTGTGGCTGCTGAAGGATGAAGCTCTGTAATGGATAAAACTCTTTCAGAGTTCTTGTTTTTCCATTCTATTTGGCGCTGTCTTGCTGATCTAATAGCATGTCTCATTGATTGTGAAATGGAGATAGTTGTGAATGTTTCACCTTTTGACTTAAGGTGGCTTTTTGTAATGGCTATTGCTTTGTAATTTTTGTTCAACATTCTTGTCTGGTTTGATTTAATGATATCGTCCATTATATTGAAAGTGCCCCCCCACCAATGGGCCAGTAAAAATTGACATTACAGCTTTACTAAGGGCACCAAGAACAGGATATTTTACACCTCCATCAGATTTATTCATGACAATTAACCTTCTCGACCAGTCACTGTCAAGCCTAAAATCTGCTGAAGTTTTCATCAGCATCCAGTTGTGTCATTGTGCTTGAATTGCTTCCCTCAAGTGGCACCAAGAGTCCTCCCCATCTGGGCAGAGTCTACGATTTGGGGAGGCTTTCATTGCTCATCATATGACAGAAGCCTCCTAAAACAGCTTTATAAACTTGTTCCACATTCGGGGCACTATCTTTTCCACCAGAGACCTAGTTAATTTTCTGTTTAAAGACTGCTTGTTTGATTTATTAAAATTTTCGAGGCCATTAAACAAGCGTTTTGGCAATATGATTTATACAATCTTCGTTGACAACTGAAGTAGAATAGCATTTCATGGTGGTTTACCTCGTTGAAAGCTTTCGAATTGCTCTCACATTTTTTCAGGGGAGACAGCATCATGCTTGCCGCAACTGTCTCCATTGCATTTTTTGACAGTTACTTTAATGATCTTTAGACCATTTGTAAAATACAAGAGTGCCTGGCTTGGGTCCCCTCTGGCATTGTTGGCAATAGCTGCTTATCAATTGTCCATCCAGCACTAAGCTAGTCTCAACGCCAATGGCTACCCCACACCATTTGAGGAGTGTCCTCTCTGATGCCAGTCTCCATCATATGATACTGTTGTAGATGGACAACCTCACACTGTGTCATGCTGGGCAAACAGCAGCATCCAATCTGCAAGGAGCGACATCAGCTGCTTTCAGCATCAACATCAGCCAAATTAACTTTTTGTGCCATTTTATAAACTGTCATGAACATTGTATTTTTAAGTTCATTGTAGCTCTTTTTTGGTTCATTGTAGCAATTAATTCTTTGAATTAGCTACACTCCACATTCAGTTATTCATTTCATACTCACTCAACAAGACAGCCTCAGCTTTCTTCTCTCCCAGGATGGGTTCAAATATCCTCAAGAGAGGCTTGGACAGCTGGTTCTCGAGGTAGTACTGCGTGTCTATAGGGATGTTGTTCTCCAGGACATAGATGGGGTCCTAATGGCAATGGGATCAAAATCATTGGGGATTTACTTTATGTGATAGGTGACAGATATTATATGATAGGTGACAGATGATTTGTAGTTTACTTAACAACGTGAAGTATGATCAAAATCATTGGAGATTTACTATATATGATACATGACATATATGGTTTGTAGTTTAATTAAGATTGTGAAGTATGATCAAAATAATTGGGGATTTACTTTAAATGATACATGACACATGATTTGTCGTTTAATTAACAATGTGAAGTATGATCAAAATAATTAGGTCACTTTAAATTATTGATTTTTTAAAGCAATGTGAAACATAAGGAAAAATGTGTAGGATAGTAAACAATATGAAATGAGACTAACATAAATTGTGTGGTTTAAAGATTTATTTGTTTTGAATAAAAAATAAATAATTTGTTGTAATGTAGAAAAGGAGTGTTCATTGTTTTCTTTCTAACTGTAATCAAATTTTTAAAGGAATAATAGGGAAAGTTTATTGTTTTTACACCTAATTAATGCTAAAGCTACTACTAGAAAATAAACAAAACATGAAAAAAACTTACGTTGGCTAATTATCATACAAAATATCATAGATAAATGCTATATTTTAATGGTTATTTAATTTAGTTTCAATAACTTGTAATTTTATTTTAAAAAGCTAACAAATTATTGTGCAAGCTCAAGTCAAACCTAAAATAAGTAAATATCAATGCTATTTAATGAATGATAAAGAATGAAAATATTGGTAATAAAAATCTATCCCCAACTACACAGAAGAAAGACAACAGCAGTGTAAGTGAAATAAATAATAAAAGACTTACTTCAGACTTCAGATAGGCAGCAGTGCCTTTAGCGGCAGCCACAATAACATATGGAACACGGTCTCCAAGTTTAGGGGCACTACCTGGGTCTCTCTTCTGCATTCTGAAAAGTGAAAGTCAACTCTTTGTTCATTCCAATCCTATTTTATTGGTATAAATAATGTTACAACAAAAAAGTTTAAACATTCACTTTTGCTTAATAGTGCAGGTGAAGTAGAGTCCATCTGTTTCAGTGACCTTTGCATATGGAAGGTATAGTGTGGTCAGTACTTTGCCTAACTACTTTTACTTTCCCTAATGTGAATCCGCTATCTATCAGAGTTTGGTGGACTCAGGTTCTTATTTTAAATCCCTTCAGTTTTTTAACAAAGAAACAATAATAAATTCCAGTTTTTACAATATTAAAGTTTAGTTCAACAAAGTTGGAATTTTTATTGACATAAGTTGTCAAGCTTTTATACTACACAATATATCTTGTAATTTCTTGTTCTTTCGTGATTTATGCCACAACCTAGTAATTAGTTTCAATAATTGCTTTCGTTTAATATGTAATCAAATGATAAGTTAAAAGTCTACCACCCCCTCCACAAACACAAAAACCCCACACCCAACTTACTTATTAGCAAGCTCAACATGAGCTTGTCTTCCAGCATATTCCTCGTCTGTTTTGGTCAGTTCTTTTGTGATGACCAGCTGTGAGATGTCTATCCTGTTACACAAGAGGTCAGAGATGGTCTGTTGGGTGAACTCTATGGCACCTTGTGGGTTCCTGACAACAAAACAACATGGAGGTGCATCTGGTCAGACATATGTACACTAATGAAAGGGATTGTCTATAAAAACATCACATTCTTGGATTTTAAAAAGTAATTCTTAATAAACCAGGAGTGATCTCCCCTAAACTTTCTCGAATATTCTTCTATAAAACCAAGCGTTTATATCATTTTGCACTATTCTATTTAAAAAAATATATTCTTATATAACACTACGGTGACACGGGATAGAGAAATGATTTTTTTATCCATTTTTAATTTTTCAACTTTTATAAGTAAAATACAAAAAAAGAATTGCGCACCAAGTGAACGCCAAATAAAGATGTTCATAATAGTGCAATATTATTAGTACTATATAAATTTACATGCGTTTTTTGAGAAATCAGAAATAGCGTAAATTAGTACTTCCGGTCAACGGAAATTAGTCAAAATTTGAAAGAAGGTAGAGAATTAGATCTTTTACTTACATGTGAAATTTCATTTATCTATCTGAAATAGTACTCAAGTTATAGGCTTTTGAAAAATTCAAAGTAGAAAAAGTACCACTTCCAGTTATCGGAAATCGCTCAAAAGGTGATACGGATCTACGATTTTGATAAAATACTTATATACGAAATTTCATCAACCTAGCTGTAACGGTACTCAAGTTATTGTGTTTACACACACAGACATACGGACAAGATTGAAAATTATGTTTTTCCATATCAGTGAGGTGTAAAACGGCTAGATTTGTAAAAATCTTTTTTTTTTGCACGATTACAAGACTTTCTCTATACTTCGTATATACGAGAAAGTAAAAATGAAATTTTCACTTTATGTCGAATGTATCTTTTTTTCTAGAATGAACTCATTTTATTGTTAAAAGCTTTAAGTGCTAGCATCAGACATGTAACTTGTAAATTGTTGCCGCAAATTTTTTCTGCCTTAAACCATCATGTGAGAGTTACCAGTTTGAGATGGCAAACCAGTAATGTGTAAGACAATTACCCTGTAGTTAGTTACCTGTCAATGAGAAGAAGCTGTAAGCAGGTGTTAATGAGATGAGCAACTAAAGGTGAGTTGTCTCTCCTAACAGTTTCAATTCCCTTACAGTCCATTTTGTCGTGTTTCTTTGGGTTGGTCCAATACAACCCAGCGTATCTTTTTTTGTTGATCAGGAGGTAGGGGAAGTAAACCTGAGAGAACAAGAACATTAATATTAGAGAATTTAAGCCAAAACGGAATACAACAAATTTATAGTAAATTATATATCATAGAAAGATTATCACAAATTTCCTTCAAGATATGACATTGAACATGGCTGCTGAGTATAAAGAGGTAGGTGAATGAATGCCGAGATTGAAAACTTTACGCTGTTAAAATAAAGTAAATAAAGCGTTACTCCTTTTAATTTATATCTCCTACTGATTACCTTGCATTATTTTCATTATAAATTCTACATTTAAAATAAATATAATAATTATTTTTAACATCTTGGGTTGAATGAAACTAAAGTGTCAAAATACATACATCTGTTTTAATCTCCTTTAAATGTTTAATTAACTGTTTACTTAACAGTTAAAAAGACAGAATACCAGTCAAATTACAAAGCCCACACATACATACAAATATTCAAGATTTGAAATTATTAACTGATTAGAATACCACTGTAATCACAAAAATCCACCCACATATACAAGAAATGAAATACAAACAAATTTACTTTTTCAAATTCAAGCCGGATGGGACTGACAAACTTGGTAGAAATGTACTCTGCTGCATGTTTGCCCAGCTTCATAGCCTCCTCCACTGTGGTCACACCAAATCTGCACATGACTGAGTCAGTATCTCCATAGATTACCTGCAGTAAAAAAATCATAGAGTTCAAAGGAGATAAGCAGTATGAAATAACACAAAGGGAGGCTACTTTCTTAAAACTGAAATAGCTTAATAAATGCAATGAAAAGATAGTATTTTGAAACAATTTTTTCTTATAATAATAAAATGTCAATAGATTTTAAAACAGTAGGTTATATTTATTTTAAAATTGTATTATGTTAACCAGACTACAATATAATTATATTTGTTAAAAAAAATGCAATTTAAAAATTATGTAAACGACAGCTAAATGTTGACATTAGTGTACTGATTTTCCTTACTTTAGCATCATATTCGTATCCATTGGCTTTAGTGTATGTTTCTTCAACATAGTGTTTTGTCATATCAATCATCATACGACCAAATGCAGTGACACTCTGAAATTGGAAACAACTTTAAAATTAGAAACTGTCATAAAAAACCATTGTAATTACTTTTAATAAATAAATCACAATATAAGATAACAGAACAGAAATTGGAAACAACTTTAAAATTAGAAACTGTCATAAAAAACCATTGTAATTACTTTTAATAAATAAATCACAATATAAGATAACAGAACAGAAATTGGAAACAACTTTAAAATTAGAAACCGTCTTTAAAAACCACTGTAATTACTTTTAATAAATAACTCACAATATAAGATACAGAACAGAAATTGGAAACAACTTTAAAATTAGAAACTATCTTGAAAAACAGTGTAATTACTTTTAATAAATAACTCACAATATAAGATACAGAACAGAAATTGGAAACAACTTTAAAATTAGAAACTATCTTGAAAAACCACTGTAATTACTTTTAATAAATAACTCACAATATAAGATACAGAACAGAAATTGGAAACAACTTTAAAATTAGAAACTATCTTGAAAAACAGTGTAATTACTTTTAATAAATAACTCACAATATAAGATACAGAACAGAAATTGGAAACAACTTTAAAATTAGAAACTATCTTGAAAAACCACTGTAATTACTTTTAATAAATAACTCACAATATAAGATACAGAACAGAAATTGGAAACAACTTTAAAATTAGAAACTATCTTGAAAAACAGTGTAATTACTTTCGAAGTGTCTACTCGGAATAAGATTTTTCGGCAAAAGATAGTTCTGCGCATGCACAGTGACCTATGGCTAGGGTTAGAATGAGGGTTAGGGGTAGGATTAGGGATAGGGTTAGGGATAGGATTAGGGCTAGGGTTAGGGTTAGGATTAGGGCTAGGATTAGGGATAGGGTTAAGGATAGGATTAGGGTTGGTATTAGGCTTCTGCGGTTGTAAACACACGCATGCGCAGTACCATCGAAAACATCGCCGCTAAGGCAAGTCGTAGTTTCTCTCCATTGCGCATGCGTATCGCATGCGTATCTTATTCCGACTAGAATCGGCCAATTACTTTTAATAAATAACTCACAATATAAGATACAGAACAGAAATTGGAAACAACTTTAAAATTAGAAACTATCTTGAAAAACCACTGTAATTACTTTTAATAATACAAGATAACAGAACATTCAAGCTTATTAATGTTGAAGCAACTGACCTGTGAGATCTCTAGACAGGGCAACTTGCCAACTTGGGCTCCGGTGAAACCATACACAGAGTTGGCCGTGATTTTTAGGGCGAGCTGTCGGCCATCCAACACTTTCTTTTTAAATGGATCAGTTTCATTTTTTAAATCAGACTTCGCCCTAAAATAAAAGGGGGGGATGAAGCTTGATATAAACATAAAAACAAACATCTACAGTAAAATAAAGATGTATAAAAGTCAAGGGTGTACAAAAATTCAAACTAAATCAAATTTGACTTACTTTTGCCTGGCTGCCAGAAGATGTTCTAAAATCTCTGGCAATAATCCTTTCCTCAAAGTGGCTTTACAGAAGTAGTTGCCAGATGGGGTTTTTATAAACTGGTCAGGTGTCAAGCTGGTAAATAATAAGCCATATAATAACTTTACACTAAAATTATCTGCAACAGTTACAGTATTACTATTACCATACACATGGCATACAAAACAAACTTCAAGATTTTATTGTACTTTATACCTATTTTAAAAAATATTCCAACATGCCTCGACAAATACTGTAAAATCAAACTTTCATCAAATGTTAATTAAACAGAGTTTAAAAATAGCTTTTCCAATGGTTTTTTTTATGTTTATCATTTGTTTTTACAGCTGTGTAATAAAATTATAAATAAAAGATGTTTACGTTTTGGTGGCAGCCTCATTCAACAGAGAAGTGTAACACAAGTTGTGGGCCATCATGATAGACGGGTACAGTGATGCAAAGTCAAGGGTGGCAATGGGTATGTCATAGTAGCTGGAAAAGAAAATAGTGTTCAGTAAATAAACTGCTTCGAATCTGGGTTCAAGTCAGTAGTATGTTCCTGAGTCCACCCATCTCTGATAGGTAACTAACTCATGTTAGGGAAATCAAAGGCGGCTGGGCACAGTGCTGATCCTTTCACATGCCAAGGTCTCTGAAGCAGATGTGTCTTGGGAATGAATGAACTGATGATGATGATATCAACTACTTAAATTATGTTTTTATCTCTCTATATGTATATAAATATAATTATAATAAATTATAAAAATAAAATAAAATAGAACATTGAATATCTTATACCAACCCTTTGACTGGCTCAATGACTGTTGCACCTTCATACTCATCTCCTGTTTCTATTTTGTGGGCAGGTAGAACTAGGTCTTGTTCTTTAGCCTGCAGTTAAAAATTAGAATATACCTCTGGACAATTAAAAATTCCTTCAGACAATAATTGAAAAATTAAATATTATATTTTTATGCTTATTTGTCACAAAAAATAGCAGCAACTTGCTAATAAAACAGTAATCTCATAAACAGTTGTCAAATATTAAGTGTGCTTTGTATTAAAAAGGGAGGCAGACTTCAATATAAAGATATGTAACTGATTTCTCACTAAAATAAAACCAGTACCTTTCTTAAGAGCTGAGACATAACTTTAATCTGCTGGCCCCTGGATAAAAGAAAAGGTAGCGGCACACCTGTGACACGTGCCATTTCCATGTAGTTGATGACACACATCAGCTTTTCTAACAAACGAATTGGCAAAATGGCGTCCTTGAGACAGTAAACTGCTAATCTGCGTCGGGTTTGTTCATTGCCATTCTAATGAAACAAAAACATTACTTGCCATATTGCCTTATTGAATGTTTGCTGGTATTTTATGTCTTATTAAAATGGGATCAAGACCAAAAACAGTTGATTACAAGAGTCAATACCACTTTTAATTAAAAGGGACAAAATTTATAATTAATTCATAATTAATATTTTTTTTTAAGTTGATATCAAACATTAAATTAAATTTTCTAATCAAACCTGTAAATCTGTGATAATGGAATGTTGGACGTCTTCTTTTTGTTCTTGCAGGAAATGGAACGAAACTGCATTAAGTGTATATGATCTGAGCTTGTAGTCCCTCAGTAATATCTGAAACGAAAATCAAGGTAGAAAAATTATAAAAACATGGAATATATAAGCATAAATAAAAGAAGAAATAAATAACATTTATAAACAAAACAAAACCAGAAAATGAATAAACACTGTAATGAATAAGCAAAACCAAACATGTAATATCTACACAAAACTAAATCAACAATCAATTACATAATAATTTGGTAAATGCTGATATATTCCACAGATTACCTTTATAGGATCAACAGTTCTAAGTTACAAAAAGTTGTGACTTAGATAACACTAGCAACTAAGGGCAAATGTAAGTTGTTAAGTTGGTATAAATTATTATGAAACTAATTAAGTAATGACTGTAATAAGTAGGCTTCAGAGTTTACCTGCAAAAGATCAAACTGAACCCTTCCTTCTATATTCACAACTTTATTCTCTCGCTTCCCCATCTGTTTGCTCTGAAAAGTGGCATCCTTTAGGACAGATATGATGTCCTTGATGCGCCCCAGGTAGTTAAAATCTTTCACCTGTGTTATGGAATAAAAAAGGTTATCACTTTAAAAGAAGCAAATATAACAGCTCGAATGTTTAATAAAATTATTTAAAAAAAAAAAGCATCATTGTTTATTTATTACTTATTTTCTTACTGTACCATTACGGTTAGCCCTATTTATAAGATAAGGGTAACTTACCTTTAAATGGTTAGCCCTATTGATAAGATACGGGAAATCAAAATTTTGAATATTGTAGCCAGTCACAATGTCTGGATCTATCTCACGGAAAAATGATGCCCATTTCTGCAATAGAAACATTATCAGTAGGCATAATCAACTGTAACTAAAACATTGTAAATGTAAAGCCAGTACTTGGCAACTAACAAACCTAAAAATGAATACTGTTCAATAGCACCAATATATTTTTCAATTAAAACCCATTTATTGTTTAGTAGCATTATTACTATTGTATTACAAAAAATAACAAATGACAATTTATTATGTATTTTTACTTAAATTAGATGTAACTCAGTAATTGCAAACAACAAACCTGAAGCATCTCAGACTCTGTTTCATATGATAGAACTTGTGATCCGACAACAGGAGCACAGGATTTTAGTGTGAATATATTTCTAATGAAAGGATCTGAGTCCCCTTGCCTGATCACCATGTTGGCTATTTGAATGACAGGGTCTTTATTTGCTTCTGGGAAAATTCCTGTTAGAAAAAGTTAAATTATGCATTAGCCATCAAGACATTCATTAATTTCAGCAATAAAATAATTTAAGAACCTTAATTCAAACTAAAATTTACTGAAATAAGCAGAGTAATAAAAAAAAAATCTTTAAAAAATGTAGACTGTCATAAATTATAAAACAATAAATTATTTTCACAATCTTAGATGGAAAGATTTAAAATTTTTTTTATAGACTGAAATAATTTACCAAAACCAGCAAACATTAAAAAGTACAAAATGCATACAAAATTAGACAGAAAAAACCCAATTTAAAACAAGGTCTTAACCACGACTAATTATACCTTTTCTTCCAGCACACTCAATGTCAAAGCTAAGAATCCTGAAAGGCGCGACCTTGGACCATTCCCCCTCTGGGGAGTGGGAGACAAAGTCTGTCCAAGCAATGTCCACCTCCAGCTGGCACCGCGACGCCAGGTGCACACCTGGTACGTCCTTTTTACGGATGAAATATTTTTTAGCTGGGAGCTCAATCCAGTTACAGCCTACAACATGGGCGTCAACCATGAACCTGCAATCAGAGGAAACATCACACAGTTCATATGGAAACATCACACTGTTCATATGGAAACAGCACACAATTCATATAGAAATATCACAGTTCATATGGAAACAACAGCACACAGTTCATATGGAAACATCACACAGTTCATATGGAAATATCACACAGTTCATTTGGAAACATCACACAGTTCATATGGAAACATCACACAGTTCATATGGAAACATCACACAGTTCATATGGAAACATCAAAGTTCATTTGGAAACAGCACACAGTTCATATGGAAACATCACACAGTTCATATGGAAACATCACACAGTTCATATGGAAACATCAAAGTTCATATGGAAATATCACAGTTCACATGGAAACATCACACAGTTCACATAGAAACAGCACAAAGTTCATATGGAAACAGCACACAGTTCATATGGAAACAACACGCAGTTCATATTATTTACATAGAAAATTCAGTGCTGCTATATTAGCGGATCATGGGATGGCGTGGTCAGATGGTAGAGCCAGCACACAACTGATAACCTGAAAGTCTCAAGGATACAGAGCATGAGACTGTAGAACGTCTGAGCCCACCCAGCTCTGATGGGTACCTGACTAGCATTAGGGAAAGTAAAGGCAGCTGGGTGTAGTGCTTAACAGAATATCTCTTCAAATGCAGAGGTAATTGAAACAGGTGGACTGTACTTCACCTGCCCTAGTGACCATCAGGTCAAAATTAGTAAATTTTATATTGGTGGCTAATCACTGAAACTTGTTTTTACTTTAGTTGTTTTAATCAGCAGTTTATTTTACAGTCAGGAAGGCTTGAATTTATCTCTTTCTGTGACATCTTAAGTGGTCCATGCCCCTATACTTTCCAGGCAAAAGAATTCTCTACAGACAATACTGACAACTAAACTTATAGCTTCCAAGTTAAAATATCAGAGCTATTAATTCTATTATTGAACTTCAGCTATTACCTGATTTCAAAGTCAATGTTGCTCTCATAAGTCTGAAAGCCATACTGTGAATACCCGGGACACTGGAAACCCTGCTCTAACAATCTTTTACAAGGTGCGATCAGTCTTGGCAGTGCCACAGTGATTTGCAGATAAGGAATTTTTTTGTTTCCATGGTAACCATAGATACCTAAAAGAAACAGTAGGATGAAAATACATATATTATAAGCACACATATAACTAATCAGGTGAAACATTAACCATGTCATTAATATGTGTATCTATTTACTAAACACTAATAATAATAAAAGGAATTAAATGCAACTGACTTTCTTTCATAACATAGTCCACAGCAAGGACAGCATGTACGACACTCTCCTTGTTAGAGCGCATGTCTTTTCGCACAACAACGTCAAGAGATTCCTATGATGTTAAGACAGAATTTAATGAAATTGTTTGTTAAAATAAATAAATCAGGCATATCGCAATAGGATATTTATATATATATATATATATATATATATATATATATATATATATATATATATATATATATATATGTTACGGTCAAAGCCCGAAGTCAGCCAATGCTAGGATTGGCCGGCCAATCCGCGCATTGGCCAATATCGCCTCCCATAGGTCGGTCAAAGTCCGAGACTTTGCTTCATTTCGGCCTTTGGCCGGCCAGTCCGCGGACTGGCCATGGTGGACCGGCCAAAGTCTTAATTAGAAGATCATGAGCAGATTTTGGTTTTTTTTATGCCGGTAGGATCATGAAATTAAGTCTTTATTGATTATTAATTAAAGTAAATGACAGAAACATTCAAATTTTTTATTGTACTATAGTCTCAATCAATCAATATTATCATTTGTTACAACAAGTTGAACTTTTATGGCATTTAGAATTACATAGCAGCTTGTTATTTTTACACTTGCAGCGATTTGTTGTACACTTGGTTGTGCAATTGCAGCGAGTGTAGCCTTGGCCCCCAGTCAATGATTGTGAAGATGCGATGAAGATGCGATGGTTCGTAGTGATTTTTCCTCAGTGCCAACTGACGACAATAAGAGCAGTTTTTCGTGAAGAATTGAAAACTCACTTCTAGCATACAGTTGTTTTAGAACACCATGTTCCGTTCCTAATTTGTAGAAACCGCCCTCGACGCTCATGACAACTGCAATCACGCTTTGGGGATCACCGCAAGCTCTGTCAACATCTGGAAAACGGATGCGTACATTGTCACCCACTTCACCATCTTTAAATTTTGTATTTGATGTTTTAAGCATCTTAGCACCTTGATTTAGCAAGTCAGTATGAGCTGCTGACCTGTGTTCCATGATGTCTTGTTTGTTGTGACACAATCTGCAGGTAATGTTCCCTCAGTACCCTTCGTCTGCTTCATTGGGTATTCCACAAATAGCATGCACATCGTTGCCATAGGATCCACAAGAATGAGCTGCACTACAATGTTTTTCACAAACTATATAGAATCTATTGGCCACATTATTGTCACGCAACTGGTCTGGACGTTCCGCCACGGCAGCAGATGTGTTAGCTGAGGATGTCGTTGCATTTATGGCAACCTCCATTTCTTGTTCAATGTTCTCAAGATCTTCCTCAGTAACTATTTTATTGAGAGCCTCTCTTGGTAGATTTGAAGTGCTAAGTCCCACTTTTGCTTTGCATCCAAACAAGGCTTCGTATGGTGATTGTTGGATTCATTGATGAAAAGAACGATTTTTCATAAATTAAATGAATTTGACACTCTCAGCCCAATGAGCTGATTCATTTGTTTGCATCCATGTCATCATCATGTTTTAAACATCTAGGAACGCGGAAAAGTCTTTTGAACGTTCCATCTTGTTGCACGTGGTCGGTGACGCCGACTGTCTTTGATTTTGTTCTTTGATGATTGTCTCACCTCGTCATCATGGAGAAGGCTGTCACATACAGCTGTAGCCCATATATGGAAACTAACATGAATTTACATTTTTTTCTTTTGACAGCCATTTGCTATGTCTGTCTCATGGTCTGACGGCCTTTTTGATCCATGTCACCTTGCATATAGAATGCTATACAAACAAGAGCTAAACAATACGTTACTCACAATGAAACCGCACCCAGAATAATTAAAATGCGATCACAACTTAGTCTAGATAAAACATTGGCCAGGACATCCCGGCCAATGCGCGCATTGGCCGGCCAATGTACAAAATACGGTGTCAAGTTTAAGTACTTCAGACTTTGGCCAGTACGTCCCGGCCAGTGCGCGCATTGGCCGGCCAATGTACGAAATACGATCTTAGTTGTAAGTTCTTCGGGCTTTGGCCAAGAGAGCCGGCCAATCCGGGGTTTGGCCGCACTTCGGGCTTTGACCGTAACATATATATATATATATATATATATATATATATATATATATATATATATATATATATATATATATATATATATATAAAGTACTGAGCTTCACATGTGTGGGTGTTGCCAATGGCTAAATCTGTGGGTTTCTGCTCCCCCTGGGTGCATCACAGCAGCTGGTGTGGATATGGGGGAAGGTGGAAGTTTCCATGGGGGACGGGACATAAGACTGTCTTGAGGCCAGAACAGACTAAAAGATAAGGTAGGGCGATGTTGTCCAATCTTCTTCTTCGTTCTTAATTTTAATGTTGGTAGGGATTCCCTCCAACACAATTAAGCATATGTGTCAACTGGTTCTGCACCATTGAGGCCATTGACTCCGATTTCAGCCTGCTATTCTTTTTGGATTTGCTTCCATAGCCTTTGTTCAACCAAGAACAAACTACAAGGCAGCAGTTGTTTGATTTTGGAGGTCTCTCCTAGAAGAGTGGCTGTCCCCAGCTAATGAGCCGAGGGTTTGAACTCAAGACTTTTCAGTTTAGCAGCCAAGAGCTTTACCGACTTAACCATGCCAACCCCTTTTGTCTAATCAACTAGAGAGAGATAGAGTTAAAGAAAAACCCTTCTCACTTTGAATCTGTCACAATCCTCTTGCTTGAACCCAGGCTGAGCAGGAACAAAAAAGTAGGGGGTGAAGCCATGGACATGAGCCAGAACACTGTTTCCCTCCATTGTAATGCCATACATTCTTATAATTGGTGTTGGACCAACTTTGGCACCAGGCATTCCATTCATGTGAGTTCCTAAAAACAAAAATTTGGTAAAATTTACTAAAACTAAATTTTTAAATTTGATTTTAAATATGAATTCCCCTATTTCTGGATATTCATATAGGCAGATATAAATAAACTCTGTGTCTACTAAAATAATTGTAATGATGCAGCTTGATAGATATTTATCTTTTGAAATGCACTGATAATATCAATGGCAGGAAGAACTCGACTTACATCACTCTAGAAATATATTTAAATAAAACCATACCAATAAAATAATCAATGTCTATCTACTGAAATGTGATGTGTCTTTACTGCTATCAATGGGGGTAGGAATGGCAAGACTAATAAAATTATAAAAATGTATTTAAATGAAACCATACCAATATAATAATCAATATCTATCTGTTGAAATGCGATGATGTCTTTACTACTATCAATGGGAGGTAGGGCAGGACGTGACCACTTGGAAGATGTGGCCTCATATTCAGGTCCATCCCCATCTACATCCATGGTCTCAGAGTCCTTTTCTGCTTCTATAGCATCCATCAGAGCCAGTTCATCTTCAAAACCTGAAGGATCTTCGTCTTCATCATTTCTGGACATCCAGAACAAAGAATGTTTATCAGCTACTACAGTAGGCTACTTACTAAACTATAGCATAATATAGGTCCTACGAAGAAAAAAACTAGGAAAAATATTAAGCTATAACATTGTTTCTGATGGTTGTATTACCATAAAATTATAGGCTACTAGACATATGTTGATAAGACTTGCAGTAAATAAAAATTAACCAAGATAAACACCACTTTGTTACATTGTTTATTAAGCCTACTACTATTGTAGGCCTAATATTTTTTTTTTAAATTATAGGCTGGATAAGCCTATATTAAAAACCTAATTTTTTTCCCTGAAACTTGAAAAAAGACAGCTGAACAAAGTTAAAATCATGCTTGAGTTTTAATGGTCAATTATAAGCTCATAGATTGAATTTTTAAAAAGTACCTGAATTTCTTTGCTGGTGGCTGTCCTGCTTTGCCTCCACGCTTGAACATTTTTTTTTTCTAAGAAAAAAAAAGCAAATCAAGTTTTCATAACACACATCTTTACATCACATACATAGAATCTAGATATCTAGGCCTAATATAATATAATTAGGCCCTATTAAATCACATAGTCACATAGGGCCCAAGCTTTATGTTACAGCAAAATTAAATGGGAAATTCAAACCTAGAAAGACTATGTTATGTACTAGATCTATGTATGTACTATAGTTAACTATAGGCCTACTATACACTATACTAACTAATAACTATAGATCTAGTAATAAGTACTAGTATTACTAGGCCTAATGCTAAGCACTGACTAAGCCTAATGACTAGGCTTTTTGATGAGAATTACAGAATGATTTTTTTTATTAAAAATGTATCAATAATAGCTAGAACACTAGTAAACTAAGCTAATTTAGCATATTTTAACTTTCTGTGTAAAGTCATTATTACTGAAAAAAAATTCCAAAGTCAGGTCAGTCTGTGGCAACCTCCAATGAACTTGACAGAAGGAAAAAAAACTTGACCCGTGACCTTCATTAAAACAGAATTTGCTTTTGTTTTTTTTTTAATTTTCAGTATACATGTGCTTAATCTTACCCAATAAGTGATAAAAATTTGAAAATTAATTTTAATTACTGGTGTAAAGTGACATAAACAGCTTAATAAACACGTGTTTTCTTGAGGGGGTGTGGCCCGGGTGTGGCACATCCTGACATCGCATTGTTTGTAACTTTATATTTCTGTGTTTTATGACTATATTTGTTCACAATCAGCATGCTATGCTTTTAATTTTGATAAAGGGTAAGTATACCAAGTTACAAAACCTGAAATCTAACTAATAATTCATACTTTCAGTTTAAAAAATAATGAAAACGATCATCAATGAAGAAAGCGTAAACATTCTATTTTTAGGTGTGACATAAAAAAACAGTCATAAATCTAGCCAAATGATTGGATTCTTGCGCAGCACACATTTTCCCGCGCCTCGTTTTCACTAAGCAAGATTATAATAAAATGGCATTATTGGGGGGTGATCGTTTTCCCACGCACATATCTCATTAACACGCCAAATTATTACCAGTTAATGGTAATGTGTGTAAAATTAATACTTTAAAGTTTACATCTGACATAAGCTGGTTTGCATCTGGAAGCGATATGTAAGAGTTATTTGATATAAAAGACAAGAATTCATAGAGCTACTTTCACTAAGGCGCCGCTTGCGAGACAAACAAAGGAATTAGGCCAAAAGTAGATCCGACAATTCTTAAATAACAGACTTAAATAGAAACGGATAGTTCCGATTTCTTAAATTAACGATGGCTTCGTAATCATTAGTTTTATCGCTCTACCCATTAGTGAAAGCGAAACTGGTCGCCATTTTTGGTAAGCGCATGAGCCGTGAGATGGCTTCAAAACAACAAACCCGGAAGCTGCGAATTCGAACGGCCTACTAATGACCTAATGTTAAATCTAAATGTATTACTAGATCTAGATTCTAGATCTATTAGTTATTAGATGAGGCCTAATGTATTTGAGTAACAATAATACAATATAAATTAAATACCATTAGGCTTAGGCCTAACATTAACAACATATCAATTTAATATTTTTAATATGAATTAATGACTTTATCATAATCAACCCAGTATTTATTGACTATTGTTTACTGAACTGTGAGTCTTGACAAAGTTCAAGTTGTGTAACACTCACTCAGCTCAAAAAGTAAAGTGTAGACTTCTGTCGAGAAAATATAGATCTAGATCTAGCTAGTCTGACATAGACTGGATCTAGATTTTAGAGCAGAATAATAATTTCTACTAGATTCTAGATTTGTAGATCTAGACTCTAGGCCTAGATTAGATCTCTAAATTTCTAGAATACAGATCAAAATTCCATAAGAATTTGCGGGAATGGTGATAGTTTTACAATTGCCGCCGTATGTAAAAAGATAGAGGAGCATAGCTGGTGAAACGAAAGTAAAAACAGCTGATAGGCTAAGCTAGATGTCAAGTTCATATGTCAAGGGAAAAAGCAAGTTGAACGAATTATCAGTTGGTTAAAAATGCGAACAGCGTAACCTACTTAATTTATTTGTGTTGCCGCTGTGCTTTGTTTTTGAAAAGAAATAAAAGTTTGAGAGATTTTGTATTTACAGCTGAATGTAACCCAAACTGTAACTGTAAGTTACGTGTAAGTCAGTGTTGAGTCAAGTTTATTTATTATTATATTATTTAATATTAATAAATAATATTAGATTATTATTATTAGTTAGCAAGTTATTAATATTAGTATATTTAGTTACAATTTAGTATATTATTAGCCTATAATCTATAAACTATAATATACTAGATCTATATACTAACTATACTATAAAGTATAAAGTATTATAATTATATAATACTAATAGTATAATTAAGTATAATAGTATTATTAATTAATAACTATTATTATAGGCCTAATAATAATTAATAATTATATTAATTTATTATATTAATTAAGTTATGACTAGTAAAAGTCACTAAGACTAAGAGTTGTTTTTTTTTAGTTTAGGTCAGTTGTTTAGGACTAGATCTAGGAGTTTAGACTTAGAGTTTAGGTTAGGCAGTCACAGTTTTGAGTTTTTTTTATTTAGGTCTACTAACTAGATCTAGATCTAGAGAATCTAGATCTAGCTAGAAGTACTAGTCTAGATCTATTCTACACCTCTACACTATCTAGAATCTAGATCTAAATCTAGTTTTGGATTCTAGATCTAGATTACTTAACTTAATTTTAATTAATTATGATTACCAAGAATGAAGGGGTCAGATGAAAGCAAGCACCCCGGCCAGGATGGGGACATTCAACATTGGGGGTTGAGCATCAGGTCAGCAACCTTATGCCTAATATAGTGAAAAACAACTCACTACAGAAACACAGACAAGGAGAAATGGAAAGAATGGATCTCCTTATGGAGAATTTATGAAGTCAAGTGTTGAAAGCCAATATGTAGCCTATGTATTGGAAACTACCAGGTCGACCACCATTACATGACCTAGAAGAAGACACCAAGAAGATTGGATACTCCAGGCTGGGGACAGTTGGAGAGACTTATCCAGGACAGAGACGCCTGGAAAGCTCTTGTTAGCGGCATATGTTCCAGAGGGGCGACAGGCAAACCTAACCTAACATATGCATAATCATATGTATATTCACCGAACCGTTCTGAATAGTTCCATTATCAGCACTGACAAAATCTGATCATGAATCAATCATATAAGCCGAGAGTGTGTCTTGACCTTAGGGTTGCCAGATACCTTTTCCGAAAATACTGGACACCTTTCCATCCTTCCCTTCTCAGGCATGCCGCAAAGCAGAAGAGGGGTAACAGTATTATTCATATACTTGTCCAGTATTTATATTTATTTTATCCTGGACAGTCTGCTCAAATACTGGACTGTCCAGTTCAAAACTGGACACCTGGCAACCCTACTTGACCTCTGTAGAACCCCTGAGACTGATTCACTGAATCCCTAGGGTTCAGTTGAACCCAGGTTAAGAACCACTGTTCTAGTCGCAAGGAGGGAATCTATCGTCTAGATCAGGGGTTCCCAACCCTGTGCCCCCCTGTATGCAATTTGAAAAAAATGCCAAATAATTTTATTATTTTGAAACATTTTTGTTTATTATTTATTAATACATTATGACTATAAGAAAATAAATTATGGGAAAATGACAAGTTATGGAAGGAGTTTGTCGATTTAAAATAGGTGGTGCCCGCCACCCTACCGATATTTTAGAATGTGCTCTAGAGTAAAAAAAAAGGTTGGGAACCCCTGGTCTAGATTGATGGAACAGAATCTAGTCATTCTACTTGGTAGCTTGTGGTGGTGTCATAGCATTCAGTGTGTAGCCTTCTGTGTACAATGTGGTTTGGAGAACCAATGCATTACCAAGAAGGCTCACTAAAGCAAAGACTTCAGGTCCATAAACTCAAGTCTAGAATAGGTCAAGATTTTAGTCTAGTTTCAATATGTATTATTAATGGGACAAATAGTTTTAGCTTTAGCAAAAATGTTTAGATCTTAATACTGTTCACTAAAAAAAATGTATCTTTTTCTGCTTGCTTTTTTTTTCTCAGGGTTACTGTTGAATTGTGACAAAACCAGATCACCAATTACTAAGTCTATAAAAAAAAACTGTATATCTAGCCAACTAACTAGATCTAGTTAGTGGCCAGATAAAGTTTTCTTTAGACAATCACAATGATGGCAAAATTTGATGTTGATGGTTTTAAGAACCATCTAAAAACAGCTAAAATTGGTAGAACAATTCTTTATGAGGAGATTACTGGATCAACTATGGATGATGCTAGACGGCTGGCGCATCAAGGTAAATAATAAAAATATAATTATAGCAGATTAGCTCTTATAAAAACCTGGTTAGTGTTTGTACATGTAATACATTTTATTTTAAGCTATATAAGAGAAAGTTAGTGACAATGAGAAATGTGTTTCAGTATAAAGAATGTGTTAAAGTTAAAAGTATGATTGTGTAGTCTTGAGTTATACCACGTTTACACTTGCGACATGTATACTATACATGTCTAGAAAAAAAAACTTCGCAATAAGTGAGTAGGCTCCCCTATTATCTTAGGCCCTAAAGCGAAGTTTTTTTCCTAGAAATGTATAGTATACATGTCACAAGTGTAAACACGGTATTAGAACTGTGAATTGTTTTAATTGAGGGGGGATAATTATTAATTAATTATTAGTATGATCAAATAGTACAATTTTTTTGAACCCACTCTTTTAGTACATCAGACTATAAGAACGGTTAGTTAGATATTTAAAATGTTATAGTTAGAACTTAATTTTTTACTAGAGTCTGTGTGTACATTTCAAAATTGTAAGACTAAACTTTTTAAACTGGTTGATTAAAGTCTTATTCACACTAGAATATAAGCTTTCTTGGTTTATCAGAGCAGTATTTCTCTACTTTCCTGTTAAAGTTATATAGTCATATACTTACATTATAATTAAATAATTACAAGTCTTAGTATTTCAGAAACCTGCTAACTTTAATTAGCCGGTGTTTGAGTTCTCTATGACAAAACCCAGTTACACCTGTTTCTCCCCATGCTCCCTCAGACCAATCCACCCCTTGTGGTGATCAGTTGCGTAGGTAGGGGGGGGGGTCATAACCCCCCATAGACCCCTCGGTAAATATGTAAAGTATGAGGGGGGGGGGTGCAAATCGAAAGTTTGAGGGGGGGGTGCAAATCGAAAGTTTGAAGGGGGGGGTGCAAATTGAAAGTTTGAGGGGTGTGCTAATCAAAAGTCTAAGGGGAGAGCAAATCGAAAGCTTGTCCCTGGGTAAAAATTGGACCCCCCCCCCCTTGAGACGATCCTGGCTACGCCACTGCTTGTGATATACAGTGTTAACTTATCACAGCATTTAGAAACTCAACCCCAGCTTTGCTGTATTTAGACCAGAGGTTGTGGTCTTTAGTGAGATAACTAGAGACTGGTGTTAGCTCCCTTAGTTGTTTGTCACATTTTCTCTTAATAAATTATATGTGTATTAGAGGAGATGATAATCTCCCCTGGTTGTCAATTTTTCTCTTCATAAATTATGAAATAATAGGAAGGGTTGTCAAATTAAGTACAACTTTAGCAGCAACATTTTTAGTTATTTCCGTTTATTTGGCTAAAATAGACTCTATTTTTAGGCAGTGGAAAACTATTACCCATTGCTCATGTAAAATTGAAAACATTTTTTAAAAAAATGTATGCTAAACAATTTTTGTTTTAAACAGTGAATGACTACCCTCATGGTACAGCTGTTCTATCAGAGAGACAAACCAACGCCCGTGGTGCAAAAGATCACAAATGGGATGCATCCAACACTGGAAACATTTACGTTTCTTTCATCTTACACCTGCCTTCTTGTTTCAAGGTATTTTTTGTGTTACGTAATAATTTAAGTTACACACGTTGGTTGACACAGCAGTATAGTATTGTATTGAACTTTAGCTCTGTTGCTATCACTTTTAGGGACATTAAGGTTGAATGGTATAGCACTTTACTGCTAACCATTAAGTAATGAGCTTATAGTCTGTATGTAAAATAAAAGTAAAGGTACCCTTTTTGATCTGGTGGTCAATATGGCAGGTGAAGTAGAGTTCATCTGTTTCAGTAACCTTTGTCTATGGAGGGATATTGTGGTTAGTTCTTCCCATTTAATCTGTATGAAACCCTGATATTGAGGTCACATAAACAAATGAGCTGCTATTTCACCTGCCATACAAACTGATAGCTCTATTGCAGTACTTTACTTTATTTTTACTAGGAAAGGACCATCAAGCAAACAACAGTGTACTTAATAACTTAATTAGTATACAGCCTATCTCTGTTAAATAGTTAATGGGGTAAGGTGTAATTAAAGGTAGACTTGATAATTTGAAATTGCGTATCATTAACAGATAAACACTGATGAAAGCTGGCCTGTATTTTTGTTTACCAGACTTTACACTGGTTATCTTATCTTGGTTATCATTGTTATTGTTGTTATTGTTTAGTCTCTTCCTTTCAGTCATTTGAGGGTAAATATGACCTTGAGGTGGCCGCGTGCCTGGCTGTCCTACAAGTTGCACGTAAATATGGAGTTGTCCAGGCCATTCCAAAGTGGCCTAATGACATCTGGGTCAAAGGTCACAAGCTGGCCGGGTTTTTAGCAGAAGATGGTCGCTTTGACATACCAGGTAGGGTGGTTCAACAATTGGTTGTTTGTATAAGTGTTGCTGCTTGATAAAAATGTAATAGCTCTTTTTAAATGCCATTGCATTCTTTAATTTTAAAAGTACCTCTTTCAGAGGAAGAGTTTATGCATACGAACAAGAACTAAAATAAACAATCTCTTCATACACTTAAGTCAAATACAGTGTTTCTTTTAGAAATTTTCCTCTGAATGTGCGGGTGGTTAAAGTATATACTTTCTGTTTGAAATTTTATTAAAAATTTTGTTTGGAGAGGTAAACATCACACCCCTTCTCCCCTCCCCCCTCCCTGAAGAAGAGTAGCTTAAAACAAAACACTGGTCAAATAACAGATAAACTCAACATCATATGCTCTATGGACTATCATGTCAGAAAGACAAATGTACAAAAACTTTGCTTTATCTTATAGGGAAAGTTACTTTATCTTAAATGGAACTTCACTTTGTCTGAAGAGAACTTTGCTTTTATTTTGACTGATGACACAGTTGAACTATTATTGTTGCTAGGTTCAGCCAACTCCCTCATCATCCTTGGCATGGGGGTCAATGTTAATGCTGATACGCGTCGTAATGCAGACCTGCACAGTATTGCCACAAGTCTGTTTTGTGAAAGGGGTGGAGTGGCTGTTGACAGGTATATTAACACATTCTTCCCTTATTTCTTTAGATTAATAGAAATAAGTTTTTAGACCAAAATACATAGTTTTATTTAAACCTATATAGTTTTCTTTAAACACTCATTTTACCTAAAGAAATATATTTTATCACACAGATATCTTTTGTTAAATATTTAACAGTCTTGCTCATGGTTATTCTTCAGTTTTTCAACGTTAGCTTATGTTTCAATGTTTGTGTAATAATTGTGCTTTAAAAAACTCATTAATACTCATTAAAAATACTCCACCAATATCTGCGACATCAGTGAATGGTTAAAATAGAAGCTTTTTTTTGTTTTAAACATAAAAATCATGCTTTTTAAAATTTTAAACAAAAATATTATACTTCAGACATAAAATAAAAAACGCTAAATAAAACTTGCATTCTTTTTTACAGAGAGGCATTTTTTGCAGATGTTTGTGCTGCTTTAGAGACTAACTTGGCCCACTCGAGGGAGTACAGCTTAGATATATTCAGGAGAGAAAACCTTTTCCAAGAGCATTGCTCTGTGTCTGTTACTAACCTCTCATTGGGCTGTGTCATTGATGCTGAGTTTGTGGCTATTTGTGGTAACTGGGATATTAAATTCATTGGTAGGTTATTTTGTTGTGATAGAAATACTGCAGTTGAGCACACTTTTATTTTAGTTCTTTGCAAAATTATTTCTTTAAAAATGCAGATTCCACTAACACTGACCGATTCCCTTTTTTTACTTTCTCGTATATACAGAGTATGGAGAAAGTATTGTAATCGTGAAAAAAAAAATCGAGATTTTTGCAAATCTTGATGTTTTATACCTCCCTGAGTTGGAAAAACATAATTTTGCAATCTTGTCCGTATGTCTGTGTGTGTATGTGCGTGTGTATGTGTGTGTATGTATGTACGTGTGTCTGTACTTAAGTACCGTTACAGCTAGGTTGCTGAAATTTCATAAATAAGTATAATATCAAATTTGTAGATCGGTATCAACTTTTCAGCAATTTCCGATAACCCGCACTATTAAGCACAATTTTGTTTCTACAAGATTCTATTCTATTTTAAAAAGTTTAAGTAACTAAAAATGGATTAAAAATCATGTCTATATCCCGAGGTGCCATCCCCCATAGTGTTATGTAAGAATATGCGAGAAAGTTTAGGGGAGATCACTCCCGGTTTATTTAGTGTTGGTTTACAATGCTGACTTAGACAAAAAGCTGACAGACAAAACTGACAGGCTACTGACAAATGGCTAACAGTCAAATGGCTGACAGAACAATTGGCCTACTTATCAATGATCAAACTTGCAAGCTCGCCTTTTGTTCATATTTCTGTTTATCCGGATCTATAAAATGGAAAATTGCTTGCGGCAACATATACTTAAAATTTTAATCAACAGCAGAGTTGTCTGTTACATTTTGGATACCCATCTTATTTTTCTGGGATATAATTAGCTCTAGCTCTTAAGTGGCGGTTAATTTATTTTCCAGTAAAAGCTTTTTTTTTTTAAAGAAATATTTCAATTATCCACTTGAAATTTTAAGAGACATCTGTGGTTTTCAAGTATTCAGAAGTGTCGTCCTACATATCCAAACATGCCAGAACTACAAACTAGACATGTGAAATAGATTGTATAGACATGTTTAATTTAACCACAAATAAATCTTGTTAGAAGCTCAGTGTTATTTCAAATCTATATGAATACAAACGTCATGATCAGGTTTCCAGTATGTCTTTAGTAATTTAAAAAAAATTTTATGTAGGGTTTTTTTTTTTAAATTATTATTTTGATTTAGCTAATACTGTTAGGTAAATTTTATTAGGTTATTTCACATTCATCTGACTTGATGGATAATTGAGGTTTATAATGTCCTTGTTTGTTGTAAGCCAGGTTTTAGCACTTTTCGTTGAGTTGATTTTTCCAAAAAAAAAAAGTATGACATATTTTTTTTGCACCTTTTATAACATGCAAATAGATTTTGAAGTACCTTTACTAATAATAGAGAGAATTTGTTTTTGGATTTTGCTATTTAACAATATTTTTAAAAGTTTTGTTTCAATAGTTCAAATGATAAGCCTCCTACATTTCAATATTCCAGACAAATCAAACAACAAAACTCTACAAGGAAATTCCGAAACATTTTCTGTCAGACCCAAGGCTTTGAGGAAGATTCTAGTTGTTTCTACAGGGATACAAAACAGCAAGTCTGCAGTGCACCTGTTGAACTGGCTGAATTCCCTGGTCGACACCTCAAAGTATGTTGTGTGCATGGTTCCAGAGAACTCTATTATCAGCTCAGGTGAGAACATTACCTGGATTTAATCAATTAAAGGTTTTTTTTAAGTTACAGTCTCGATGGGCGAGATTGGGTTTATGAGTAGATAGGATTATCTAGGTGTAGGTACTTAAATATCTGACCATCGCTGGACATGGTTGTATGCAGATAAAGGTACTTAAAACCCTCGCTGTACTTTGCTTGACTGAGCTTAGTTACTTCAAGTTGACAAAACCTGGACACACCCCTGTATACTCTTATACCTGGACTCCCCCCGCCTTTACATAGACATACCCCATTTACCTGTAAACAACCCTGTATCTGGATAACCTCCCCTGTGATTTTGCAAACCCTCTCTACCTTTAACCAGGGGAGATCACTGTGTTAATCATAGGAAAATCATAATTTTAAATATATTTTGTTATTAAAACTAGTTCTAATAAGCTCATCACAGCGGCTGATTAAAAAGTAGGTGTCAGTTTTTTCTATTAGAAATGAAAAATCTTATAAATAGGTTTTTAATGATTTGACTATTGACGATGGTAATTTCAGATGCTTGGATGACTAGCTGTGCCCTTTTAATCCTAGCTGAGCATGTGTATGAGCCTGATCCTGTCAGCAGTAAACTGTACCTGTTTCTGCAGTCAGGTGGTTCAGTCATGGCCAATGGCATGGCCTCACACTTCCTGGCCAAGCTGCTTGGTAAAGATTCCTTCTCTATGTTTTAAGAATTTAAAAATTTTATCAGACTATTTTGTTGAATTAACTTTTTACAACTTTGATAGCTACCGGCCTGTTTTCAACTTAAAAGCAATTTTATTTTTTTTACTTCTGAATGAAAGAAAATTATTTTTTAAATTTCGTAGTGACCCTCTTTTGAGCACATTTATAATTTTATGATAAATAAACCGGGAGTGATCTCCCCTAAACTTTCTCGAATATTCTTATTAATACTAATAGTTTCGCTGTCTGTCTATCTATCTATCTGACAAGAACGCTCTAGAGAAAACACAAGGAAAATAAAAACATGCACAGTAATTCGAAAAACGAAGTATGACGTCGACACATTTAGCGCACAGAGTAGAAAATAATCTCAAACCCAGAGAGTGCTCAAAGTTATATGAAGTCATTGATTTTCGCGTTAACATTGAATAAAAAGGAAATGTTGTCTAATCTTAATGGTTTGCGTGAAGAGTTTCTTGCATACAATTCTTCGGGTAGGGGCGAAGCCCCACCCCCCCGCGTAAGAATGTCTGAGACCCCCCCCCCCCCCCTCGGGGAGGGGGCGGACACTGGAAAAAGTATATAATTATATTTCGTTGAATGGGACGGTAGACATGTTTTTTTTGGGGGGGGGGGGGGGGGTGGGGGGGGGGGGGGGGTGGGGGGGGTGGGGGGGGTGTGTGTGGGGGGTGGGGGGTGGTGTGTGTGGGGGGTGGGGTGGTTTTAGTTTAGACTTTTTCCTCCCCAGAGAGGGGTGGGGGTACTTGAAATTTTCGGGGGCGGGGGTAGAATTTTCGGGGAAGGGGCGGACACTGGAAAAAGTATATAATTATATTTCGTTGAATGGGACGGTAGGCATGTTTTTTTTTTTGGGGGGGGGGTGGAGGGGTGGGGGGGGGGTTGGTGTGTGTGGGGGGGGGCGGTGTGTGGAGGGGGCGGTGTGTGGGGGGGGGTGGGGGGTGGGGGTGGGGGGTGGTGTGTGGGGGTGGGGTGGGGGTTGTGTGTGTGGGGGGGGTGGGTTGGTTTTAGTTTAGAGAAAAGAGACAGCACTATCAAGCTAGCGCCCGGTGTATCCTTCCTCAACGGGCCATTTTTCTCGTATAAAATAACAGGGGATGGGAACTCGGGCTATAGACATGATTTTTAATCCATTTTAAATACTTAAAGTTTTAAAAATAGAATAAAATCTCGTAGACAAATTAATTGCACACCAAGTGAACGCCAAATAAAAAAGCGCATAATAGTGCGCAATATTATTATTACTTTTAAAATTTACATAAGTTTTTTGAGAAATCGGAAGTAGCGTAAAGTACTACTTCCAGTCAACGGAAATGACTCAAAATTTAATAGAAGGTAGAGAATTAGATCTTTTACTTACGTATGAAATTTCATTTATCTATCTGAAATAGTACTCAAGTTATAGGCTTTTGAAAAATTCAAAGTAGGAAAAGTACCACTTCCGGTTATCAGAAATCGCTCAAAAGTTGATACGGATCTACGATTTTGATTAAATACTTGTATATGAAATTTCATCAACCTAGCTGTAACGGTACTCAAGTTATCGTGTTTACACACGGACTGACAGACAGACACACACACACACACAGACATACGGACAAGATTGCAAAATTATGTTTTTCCGTATCAGTGAGGTGTGAAACGTCGAGATTTGTAAAAATCTCGATTTTTTTTTTTTTGCACGATTACAAGACTTTCTCTATACTTCGTATATACGAGAAAGTAAAAAGTAATCCTATTAAATTTTTATTAGAGGATATTGTTACATGTTTTTGATGAGTATTCAACACATTTATTTTTTTATTGATGACGGTTCATCAGTTATAAAATGTGTATATTTATTAATCAGATGTTCCCCTGAAAGAAATGCTTCTAGAATCTTCCACACTGAACTCTGACCTCGGCCTGGTCCATCTCCAAGTGCAGACTGAAGTCACGTCTGACCAGAGAGGAACCTCACCCCCAGGGGACCCAGACAAACAGTTTTTGTCTGTGATCCCAGCAGCCAATGGGAGAGAATTCACCACCGTGACTGCCAGTCTAGAGCCCCTTATCTTCCCCACCAGTCCTGTCTGCTTTCAGTTCTTCTCCCAGGACAACTGTGACAACATCTCATTGGACTTTGTTGAGGAGAGTCTCAAAGCTTTGAGCATAGACCAGACATTGGTTACTAATGGGGATGCGGATGCCAGCGGTAAAAAAGTTCAGTTGAAAGCTTTTTATAAGAATCAGGATGAGCAAAACAAAACTGTGGCGATTTTTACTGCAAGATTGAACAGGGGAGGTAAAGTGGCATTTTGGGGATTTGATGTTGGAGTGGTCTACCCATTAATTTCAGAGGAAGAGTGGTCCAAGTTAGAGGGTCCCAATGAGCCCAAGAATGTTCACGCAGATAGGTTCAAGCGAGACCAGCTTCTAATGCGTGTTTTAGAAATTTTGCTGCATTAGGAACTTGTACAAATTACAGTGCAATTTTTAGATGTGCTTTCCATTGTCAAGTAGAATACAAGGAGGCTGGAATAGTTTTCTGAGACTTGTTGATTGAGTTTATAATTATATTTTTTGTACAAGTATAACTCAATGAGCTTAGTGGAAAATACAAGAAATCTTTGGATTTTAAAGCAGGATAAGAGATTTTGGGATTATATGTGGTCTAGTTCCTCTTTCTGTTCTATCAAAAGAGATTTCCTGATTATACATGGTCTAGATCCTCTATCTGTTCCAGTTTTATCCTATTCTTATGGTGTTGTTGACCTCCATGCTTTTTATAGGTTGCTTATTTTTTCAAATCAGACATATCTGGACAGTCCACTTGATGTTTTCTGAGATAGAGATGAAACTACTTCCCAGAAAATACTCGTTTATGTTAACCTTTCTGCCCTGGCCGTGTACTTTCCATTTCTCATTCCTCGTACAATATTTTTTTATTCAATGTCCAGTTGCATGATTTTCCATCTAACATGCTTAATGTTCACAAACACAAAAGGATGTATTTGACTTGAATTATTTTTCTTTTCACTAAAATGCCAGACAGAATAATTATTTGAAAGGGTAATGGTCAAACCTACTTCCCCTAAAATTAAATTATAAAAATTTTAGTTTTTTGTCAGAGGGAGTCATGCTGGCTGAACATAACACAGCCATTTTGATTGTCTGACCTAGAATCTAGATACAGAAAACAATACATATTTAATGTGGACAAGTAATGTTAGCTTCCTTCATTTTTTACAGCTTTATTAGTTTTGTTCAAGTAATTCTCTACATGTCATGAGTTATTGTTTTAAATGATAATGTTACATATTTTGTTTTGAACCTAATGAGATGTGTGTACATGGCAATAAATCTCTGGGCAGGAGGGTACTGAATGTAAGGGGCTGAGGGACAAGCACAAATGTAGGTCTGAGTGGTAAGGGTTAACATGTTTTTTATTATGACCTTAAATGTAACCTAATGGCCAGTAACTGGTAATTGCCCAGAATACCACTCATAGTTATATTAAACCTACAAAGTTTATAAAACAATGGGTTTTTTTGGTGAGGAATAGTGGATTAATTGCAGTGATTGTTTCTGCTAATAAAAAGTATTGTTTTTATAAATATAATATGTTAGGTTTTTTTTTTATTCATGTACATCAGTAATATTAAATGTCTGGTGAATGTTTTTTTTTCTTAACTTGAAACCTGTGTTTTTAGTTTTATCTACTAGTTGACATATATTACAAATATTATCTTATACAGTAGAAAAACTGGGAGTTAAAATAATTTGAAGTAATAATGTGTTTTAATTTTTAATTCTGAGGATTTTAAAAAGGCAAATAAAACAAACTTGATGTCTTTTTCAATTCAGACAATTACCCTTTTGTATATATATTTTGTTTTCAAAATTTGATGGTAATTTTGATTGGGTTATTGCTTTGTGAACAATGTAATCGAATACAAATGTAGTTAGTATAACAGAATAACAGTTTACATATATGGGCTTTTAGTCTCATTTTATATTAATTAAATATCAATTCATAGAGTCCTATATTTATATATGTATGATTGTATTTACAATTAAATATTAATGAATTCAATATAATCAGAAGAAACATTGAAAGACATCTGTTTAGATCTCTACCTACTAAGAGCATCAGGTGTTGCTTGTAAGTTGTTCAGTGTTTGTTAGAGGAAATTTAAGCACTAGTTATTTAAAGCTGTTATTGTTAATTATACAACAGTTTTCTGTGCATTTACAATAATGATATTGATTATTAGTCTTTTTTTTTTGTAAAATTATACTTAGTTTTTGTTCAGTTTTTTATTTTTATTTCTCTAAATTTGACTACTTATTTTTAAAATAAAAAGTTATTTCTTTATCTCTTATACTTAAAATCTATAGACATTCTTGCTTATATTTTTAAGAAAGCCGAAACACTATTAAGAATTATGATTAATTAGTTCAATATATGGTTTGCTATCTTTGTTGTTTTTAAAAAAATACTCCTATAAATAAGAGGTAACAAAAAAGCATACTTTGTGTGTTCATATTAATGTCCATTGTTTAGATTCAAGTGAAACAGTTTTGTTCACTTGTTACTTAAGCTGCTTGTGGGTGGGCATGTTATGACAGGAGAGGGGTAATGAACCTGTACACAGTAAAACTCAACTTTTAATACAGTAATCACAATCAGGGAATCAGCTGTAAAAAAATACCTTATTTAATTTTATTTGTTTTAAAAATCTTTAACAGCTTATGTTGTGTGAATATTACTTTATTTCCCCCTTTTAACTTTACCAAAGAGGCTGTATTTAAAACATTGTGCATGTTTTTTTTTTATATTTTTGCTTTGGGTTAATTATTTTTTAAAAATATTTTACTTTAGTGGGCTAACTTTTATAAGGTGCCTTACAATGCATATTTTGTCCTATATTTGTAAATTAGAATTTTAATCCAAACTTAATGCATTTCAACTGCTATTGATTTATAAAAGGTATTTTGATAATACCAACTGCTGAATTAAAAAATAAAAAAGTTCAATTTTTTTTATTTGTGGCTTAGCTGTTTACTTCAACAAATACATTTTTTTTTATGTAGCAGTTTTGGTTAGGTTATATTTGATTCGTTAAAAAATTATATTTTTTTAAAAAGGTTAATTGAAAGTTAGTATTAATCAATGCTTGATTTTTGTGTAAGTATCAATGCATTCACATTTTCTTAATTTTTAAAGTATGTAGAAAAAAATTGTAAGTGTTGAATTGATAATTTGGACCTCTGTAATAGCTAGTTCCAGTCAATTAAAAAATGTAGGTTGTTTGTGTTCTACTCACTCTAATGATTCTAAACCTTGATCTGTAACTTTGTATTTTCAGTATTACATATTTAACTCCTAACAGTGCAAACATTTTTTATACAGTAATTTAATACTTTTAAAGTGGTTTCTTATTTTCTGTACCTTTGTTAATTAAAGGTGCTTATTAATTAAAGTTGCCTGTACCTTTAAATAATTTTTTGATGGTTTGAATGAGATTTCTAAACCTTCAGCAGTGGAGAGTTTTTTGTGTGTGTTTCTACGATGACTGTTTTATTTGTTCACATTCCTAAAGAAAATCTCCACCTTATTTCATCTTTTTGATGCAAACAGCATTGTAATGCTTGTCACATGTACTGCTAAGTTTAAACATGGTATATTAATGGGTTGTTTAAACTGATTTTCATGAAAACCAGATGTGCGTCCTGCAGGAAATATTTGTTTATTTTTTATAATCAAGTCAATATTAATTTAAGTAAATAAAAGGAAGTAAAAAAAAAAATACTTTGTTAAAATTTATGTGGTAATCTATTTGTGATGTCCACAAAAGTTGATTGAGGATGCATGTCTACTGGGGTGGGGGTGGTCGTCCATCTAGAATTCCAAATATTTAATTTACAAGCTATTTGGAAAAAAATCAAGTTTTTTGTGTGTGTTGACAGCTTCAATGACCACTTTGTTAAAAATGACTTCTGTATGTGGGATTGGTGATGGATTCATAGGAGAACTAGCCTACATATCTCTTGCTTCATCCCTTATGTGTGATATTTCTTATTCATTCCTTATCATGGTAATTGTGAATTTTAATTTTTTTTCGCTGCTTTGTTTTAAAAAAAACGTGTGGCACATATCAGGAAGGGACCACTAAATAAACAAAATTTACATTTATTCTAAGTACAAAGAAAATATTTTAACCCTCAACTGTATAAGTCCATTGTAACTGAAGTTATTTTTATTAATTAAAAAATAGTTCTCATAGAAAAGATAAGAAGCATAAAACGTTATTATATAAAAACATCTATGTACAATTAAGGTTTCTGTTATATTAAAAATAAAAGATGCAAGTATTAGCAAAAATGAAAAACATAAAAAATGAGTCTGGTACAGTTACAATTTCAATGAAATCAACAAAAAAGTTAAATAGTTCAATAATTTTGTGCACACCGGTGTTATTCAAAATGGCTGTTAGTCATTTAAATGCCAATTTTAATACACATTTATGTAAACTTTAAAGGCACTGCAAATCATTGTATCTTCTCACTGGAGAAAGCAATTGCTCAACAAAAGCCAAATTTAATTAAAAAAAAAACTTTTTTTATAAAAAGAAGAAAATAAAACCATTCCTTTTATTAATGTATCAAATCAGAATGCAAAACATTTTTCAAAAGAGAAAATATTTTACCTACATCAAAACTGCATGGTGAATTTAATAAAAATTTGATTCTTAAAGAAAAAGCTATTAATTGTCTGTCCTATGTTTTTTAAATATCACCAAAATAAAACAAAATCACATATACGATGATATGAAAGACAAGTTATAAGAAGCTACTTACAATGCATCATTTTAAAACAAAAGGTTTTTAAAAGTATAGTTGTAAATATGATTCATAAAATAATATTTATGAACAAAGTTAGTTTGAAAAAAGTATGCATTCGATTAAACATTTCTTAGAAACAAATTTAGTTTCCTGTTATAATGCATAACTGAATGACTTTTTAAAATATACTGGCCTAGAAAAACTAGATAGAGAGCTTTAATATTTCTTCTTATAAAAATTCAACATGACAGCTAAAATATGCAAGCTATGATGACCTAACAATGAGAAAATCATAATATTCATAAGCTGGTTATAGCTACTGCTAGCAGTTGCCAAATATAAAAACATTATTATATTTTTTATAAAATAAAAAGTAGGCTATACATTTATAAATAATGTTTTACAAAGCTTAAAAAATTGAATGCATATAAGAAATAATTAAATTAGAGTTGGATTAAAGTAAGAAAAAATATTTATCACAGTGTAGAGTATGGAATCTTTTATGTCATATATAGCCACAGAAAAAACAATTTAATTTGGCATTTCTTAAGAATAATTCAGTTTTTTACTTTTGCTGACCATAATTACTACATATTTATTTGTTTGAGATTATTATATCACATCGAATAATTATCACTTTGTCAATCTTACAAGCATTCAATCATTCAATTCATCAACAAAGAGACTTAATAAATTGTATTGATTGGAGTGGTGAGATTTTTCTAAAACTACTAGTCAATATAGTTTTTAAAGAATTTTTACCAGAAACATTAGTTACAAAAGTTAAATTTATGTAAGAATCAATAATCAGATAGCTGTATCTATTACCATGTTAAATGTATTCATGCTTAAAAACACCTTTGTCAACATTTTTTATAAACCACATAACCAGGACTATTAATATACTCATCAGTGTGTAGTAAAACCAACTGGTTCTCCATCAAATAAAAAAATTAAAATCACATTGCAAAAATAACTTCATCAAACATGTTAAATCCTTTCTTTGTTCCATCTTAATAACTCACAGCATTTAACACAAATTTCCATGGCAAAAATAGTTAAATCATTGTAAAATGTTTTCAATGATTCCCCAAATGTATAACATGAACAGGTAACAAAGTATGATCATTTAAAGATATAGATGGAGCATCAAAATCAAATCAGTTACTGCTATTTACAACATTGTGGGTCATCCAACACTAAATGAACTTTTTTAATGATTTAAAATCAGTTTTTTTAATATAGAAAGAATAGGTTTCCATTTAGGTCTATGAAAAGTTTAATCATATCTGGATGAAAATTAGGTAGCAAAAAAAAGTTCAAGTTAAAAAAAGTAGCAAAATATATTAAATATAATTACTCTATAACATGTCAACTGCAAATGTCTTTATTTTTACCCCTTATATACAGTAGCACAGGAAAGATCACATTAATAATATCACATTTTTCACATTAAATTAATATCCATTATATTTGCTGATTTCTCCATATAGATAAAAGTAATGCCTCGTGTATATTATGAAAAATATTTTTTAAGTCTACCTCTTTGTTGGATAACATTTTGCAAATATATATTTCTTGAATGAATTGAATTTCATTTTAGGTAAGTCCAATATATCACTTATTAAACCCTAAACTGTTTAACATTATGCTAATATTTTATGAATCTGTCAGATCTGAAGCAGTGTCTGAAACATTGGATATCACTAACGTAGTCAAATCTCAAAACTTTTATCACACAGTTCCAAGTGGTTGGAGTCAATCACCTTTTCTCTTAAGTTCCCATCAGCAGATTGAGGCTTGCCATGTTGGCTTGTGACTTTCTTCTGGTAGTTTTTGGACTTTTTGTTCATGTCCAAATGAACATCAAATGCTTTGGTGTTGAGTTGACCCTTCTCATTCCAGCTAGGAGAGTTTAACAGTCGAAGTTTTTCTATTGGTTGCAGGCTGTACTTCTCTGCTGGTTTTTTAGTTGGGCTGTGTCGGTTATGAGCATTGGGCGTATGTTTTGAGAACATATCCTTTTTAAGTTTTTGCATTGAGACAATGTTTTTGGCATCATTTTGAGCAGGATTTTTATGTTTTTCAATGAATGAGATTTTCTCACTAGGATCACTCTCATCTTCATCATAGATTGTGACCCCATTGGTTCCATCTGCTCTTGAAGTGTGTGGTTTTTTAAGAGATGGGTCTTTACCAGGATGGTATTTAATGGGGCTCTTCTTAGATGGGCTCGGCCTTGGTGAATAAATTACTGCAGTGCGATCAGATGTATCCTCATCTGAGGAATACTGTGCTAAACTGTCAGTGAAAGATTTAGATCGAGGAGGAGAGTAATCTTTTCCCTTTTCATCCATAAAACCATTTTCACTTGCGCCAAAGGCTGGCACTTTAGAGTGAGATTTTGCTTTGTTTTTTAATGTTGATTTAACATAAAATGGTGAGCCTTCCTTTTCTGTTGCGTTGTGAGGTGTGGGAATGATTGCAGGCAGTGTTGCTATTTTTACCTTATGGGGTGGTGTTGCAAGGGAATTCAGTGATGTGGTTACGCTAATTCTCTGACCAGAGTTACCAGAATTTTCTTTCTTAGTAGCTTGGTCACTTACTACATTAGCAGGAACATGCCCACTTACATGTTTTGAAACTGAATTTAATTCACATTCAGAAACAGAGGATGGCACATACTGAAGGGCATCTTTGAAAATTGTAAATCCATTTTGCTTGCTAAGCACCAAAGTGTGAAAACTCTCATTGCTTCCAAAGCTTCTATCAGAAAAGCTCCGCCCAAAATTATCTCCTGCATAATTGCCATTTTCAGCACTATCACTGGCCAGGTAGGAGTCAGGTCTTGCTTTCAGTTCAGACTGACCTGAAGAATTATTTTGAAATGGCTTGTCTGTTTTGCTACTTAAATTTCGAAAATGATCATCCCAGCATTGATCGGGTGCACAGTTTATTGTGTCTAGTTCATCTACTTTTCTATCTGGAAATCTTGAATACATTAGGTCACACGTGTGCTTCGTGTGGTCAACATCCTTGTTGGAAGTTGGGCTATGTGTGATATCAGAGGTCAACTGAAGATCCACTGTGGTTTGTTGGTTTGTGATTTCTGGAGCTTTTTTTTCTGGGAAAAAGAAAAACTACATATGAATAATCGTTAAACTTTTTTTTTTTCAAACAACATTCTTAATCTGAAATTGACAGTGTTTTCTTCAGCACACCTTAAAATGTACCTACTAAACTCACCGATGGCTTCCTTATTAATGAAGGCATTAGCCTGAACACTGTTAGCAGACCTTGCAAGTTTGTCAGTCTCAAGATGAACCTCCATAGTTGATCTTCTGCCTTTTAGCCAGTATGTGGGCATCATGCCTTTTCCCTGTGAAAACAATAACACCAGATGCAACTGTTGCCATGGATACAATGGAGAATATTTAATGGATTGTCACTATCCTGACAAAAAAAATTGATGAGTCTGAATGAATAGGCCAGTGAAATTAAATCATGTTTAACTACCTCTCACTATTGCCAACTACAGTATATTGTCTTTAGATTATATTTAGACATCCATTTTGCTAGAAACCAACTTAAAGATTAAAATATTTTTAAAAAGGTAAGTAATCTCATTACATTGAACATATGATCAAGCCTAATTTTTTTCATTGTTTGTTTCTAATTTGTAAAAACTAAATACATATTGGTCTGTACAGGGTTAATAGACTTGAAGGGGACTTACTTTTATCTCCACTAGACCTCTGGGCACCATTATAAAATCTGGATCGTTTTTCAGAATTTCATAGGTAAAGTAGCTAAGTTGTATGCGCAGGGCTATAAACATATAAAAAATAATGTTACAAATATATGGCAAATAGACAAAAATTTTAAAACTCTAAAGTCAAATTATGGGAAAATTAGCTAATACTTGACAATAAAAATTATAAATGTATGGATAGTAAAACACAAATAAGACAATATTAACAATATTAATTACAAATGCTTGGAAAATAAAATAAAAATTGGAAATATTAGACCAAACAGAATCAACATAAATTACAAATTTTGTTGTAATGAAAAATAAATAAAACAAAAATTTAAAAAATCTGGTAAGTTTGACAAAAATGAAACAATACATGTTTGATTGCAAGGGTAAAAGAGACAAAGAAATGACAGGTATAATTTCTACTCTTCTTACTTAATGAAATCCTATTTCACTTCATTTTTTAACTACATTCTATTGACACAATTTCACATTAATTTAGTGAGTTGAATTACATGGCTTATATACCAATAACCTGGTAAAATATAAATAAAAGCTACTTACGCATTCCCTGTGACTCCATGCGAGATGCAAGGTTGACTGTGTTACCAAACAGACAGTAGCGAGGCATTGTGTTACCAACTACTCCAGCAACAACTGGGCCTGAGTTCAAACCTACACAAAAAAAAACATCATGCAATTTTAGATTCTTATAGTTTTCTTAAGTACTGCTGTAATATATTAAATGTAAAAAGTTCTTTGAATTGAAATAAACAAAAGTACCTTTCAGACCTAAGACTCAATAGGGCAAAAGAAGTAGAGAAATAAAGGTCATTTATTTATTTTAACCAGGCTTATGAAAAGTTTTGATGGTCACAATGTTACGCCCAGCAGCCTTTAAATTGTCTAATGCTTAGTCAGGTACTCATTAGAGCTGGAAAACTGTAGCCCTGTGTCTTATTTCATTTTCTGGCTCTGTTACAAATGTCTTCCCCAAGTCATCCTAGTTCTAATGGCTATCTACTTGACTTGGCTATCTACATCAGGTAAAGCTATAAGAGCATTGTACTGGGTGGATATTTCTCTATCTGCAGCTGCCATGGATACAGATAAACTCTACTTCACCTCTCTGTGAACCATCAGGTCTCAAATAGCTGTTCTAATTTTATTGTATTTTTGTATTTTAAGACTCTTGGTTCACATCTTATTATTAAATCTCAATACAGAATGCTATAATTAAACAATATTGGCTTAGTTTAATTGCTATAATTAAATTAAGATTTAAAAGCATTTAAATAATAATGGAATATTATGAAATCATTGTCTCACCAATTCTGATGCGGAGTTGATTTTGAGGCCTGTGTGGTATGACAAAATGTATGACAGAATCTAGCAGTGCCAGAGACATGTCAGCCATGACAGGAGCATGGTCAGGGTTGGGTTCTGGACAGCCACAGACAACCATGTAGGCATCCCCAATAGTCTCAACCTGGGGATAAGAGATCAAACAAGTTTGTTTCTTTGTTTTCTAGCTCCATGTTTTTGTCTGATTTAATTTGCATTCTTGCCTAAATGTAGAATCTTTAACTACTTTAAATTGGGCCTGGCTTAAGGCATTGTATTTACATGTAGTTGAATTTTAAAGCTGATATAAAGCTCAATTCAAAATAGTTTGGACACGTTTTATTAATCTTTGGCTTTAAATAACTATTTAGTCTGTTAAGTCAGGGAGTTATTTGCTCTACTTCTTATCAGAAAACTGTCATAACTTAAGAAAATGATTAGCAAAAACTAAGTTCAACAAGAAACTCACTTTATAGACATTAAAGTTTTGAATGATGTTGTCAAACTGGCTGTAAAGTAAGTTCAACATTTCAACAATCTGAAATACATAAAAAAAAAAAATGGTTGCAGTTTATTCAAAGCTGTTCAAGAAGAATTTTTTTTTTGCTGCAGTGTAAATCTGTTGATGAGTTTGACTTAACTGCAAAAATGTAAATGTAAAACATAGAAAGTCAGAATTACTAAGTAGACCAAAATAGCTTGTGTAAACTTCTGATAAAATCTATACAGTATCAGAATTACTAAATAGACCCACACTACTTGTTTTATACATACCTCCATGGGTGTACTTTCCCCAGCCAGTGTAGTGAAGCCGACAATATCAGAAAAATAAATGGTCACGTCCTGAAAAGCTTCAGCTTGCACATGTTGTCCAGCCTTCAGGTCATCAGCCACTTTCCTGTAGATACAATAGTTGTGAAAATAAGAACAAAACTTAAACAATGATTTTCATAGGGGTCGGCGTGGTCGAGTCGGTAAAGTCAAGGCTGCTAAACAGAAAAGTCTCGAGTTCGAACCCTCGGGCAGATGAAGCTCAAAAAGAAAAGCAGGCTGAAATCGGAGTCAATGGCCACAATGACGCATAACCAGTTGACACGTATCCTTAATTGTAATAGAGGCGTGGTTGAGTCGGCAAAGCTAATGGTTGATAAATTTGAAAAAGTCTCAAGTTCAAACCTCTGGCAGATAAGGCTCGACCCCTTCCAATACTAAAATTAAGAACGAAGAAGAAGATTTATTTATATTTAACCTAAAACACATTTCTTGTGTGTCAAGGTGACAGGACCCACAATTGCTAATTCAAAAGTCTCAGGTTCAAATCCAGGCCCAGAGTCTGAAAGATGTACCTGAATCTATCAAACTCTGATGGGTACATGATTCAAATTAAGTAAAGGAAGCTGGGTATAGAACATTCCACACTATCAATGATATATGACAAGGTCACAGAAAAAGGTAAACTCTACTGCACCAGCATCAGGTCAGAAAGAATATCGCTACTTTTTTTCTTTACATTTCACATGACCAGCTTTAACCAGTTGTCTGAGAGCAAATTAACATTGCTGAGATAAAAACTCTGAAAATGGGCAAAGATAAAAGAGATATGTTGAAATTGTTACCTTGGCAGCATCCTGTACAGCAGTGTGTCAGTCTTTCTTTTCTCCTCCTCAAGCTGAAGAGTTCTCTCAGATACTAGATCTTCAAGGCGTGTGGAGTATCTCTCCATCAGAGCCAACATGTTATCAAGCACACCTGTCATTCTGACACAAACAAATGCTAAATATTAATTTCCAAGCTCAAAAGATCTAGCCTTCATTTTATAACAGTATAATTTTAACAGTTTAAAAAAAAATATTTTAAATTGGAAGAGGTTTTCAATGCTTTTCGAATATGATCATAGCATATTTTTTCAAATCTTATGGCAATGGCAGAGGCGTAGCGACCCTTCCCAGCGCCCGGGGACATACTTTCAATTTGGCGCCCCCTTGGGAGCAAATTTTCCATTTGCACCCCCACCCCTCGAACTTTTCATTTGCACCCCCCCCCCCCTCAAACTTTCAATTTGGCGCCCAGGGACATATGTCCCCCCCCGTCCCCCCCCCCCTTGCTACGCTACTGGGCAATGGTTTTGGAAAAATATTAGGCAGAAACTACCTGGATAATTAAAATTGTATTCGAATCATGTATAAATAGATTAAGCAAATCATAAAATAATGAGATAATAGATTTCAGTGTTTCAGAACTATAAACATAATTATATTTTATACATGAAAAACAGATGCTGTAAGTTATACTCACTTCAAAGGGCTCATCCGTTTCATGTTCCTGAGTACTTGCTTTATAGTTGGCCTATGCGTAGGGTCCTCTGACCAACAACTTTTTATTAACTTGACGAATGACATCATCACAACTTGATGTTCTGGGAACTCTTCAATGATGTGAGGTCGCATTTGTATATGTTCAGGTTCCACCTGGGCTATCCTCATAATAATGTCTATAGGAAATAAATATTTCATACTTATAGAGAATGGTTATATAAACATAATAGAAAGTGAGAAACAGCAGAAAAAGAAAAGAATGTAACATTTACGTAACAGTAGGGAACTGTTTATATTTATACATCCTTTTAAGTGATAATCATAATGGAAAAGATAGCCACAGTACTCTTTGAGTGGAAACTTAAATATAAGATTAAAAAATTTGCAAAAAATTATTTTTAACTTTTAAGCTTTAGGAATGCCACCATAACCAAGCAACAAAGTCTAGAATCTATGCCTATAACGAATCGATCTATTTTTCTTTTTTTACCTTTAGCAGACATGTACTGGAGCTCTTCACTGTAAGCAAAGTTCTTACACAGCAGTTGCTTGAGCACGATGCCAAGAGAGTAGACGTCTGCTTCCTTTGTGGACGTGACCTTCTCATTGTTCAGCAGACTTCTCAACACTTCTGGGGCTGTCCATAATAAATCTGATCCACAAAAATAAAAAGCATGAAGAGCTAAAACATTTCACTAATTTTTGTAAAACATATGGCAGCAATATTATGACAGGTTTAAAATATTGTTTAAAATAATTTACATTAATAATTATTTGTAACATTTAAAAAAAAAACAACAGAACAATCAATTATTAGTTTTATTTACAAATTCAGTATTAATTACATATTTTAAATAATCTCATAAGAATGGATTTGCCTTTCATAAAATGTTTAGGCAAAATATAAATTTGCAGAATTTGTATTTAAATTTGCCATTTATCTAAACTCACCTGTATAATATTTATCAGTACTTGTGTCGTCTGCTGGCTTCTCTCCCTTCTTGAATCTCTTAAGGCCAAAGTCTGTTAATTTAGCCACCCACCTGCTGTCTACCACACAGTTGCTGGTCTTTAGTCTTCCATGTACACCCAGCTCACTTGTGTGAAGGTAGTTCAAACCCTGGGCCATAAAAAAATGTTAATGAAATATACTTTTTAACTGTACTGATATTTGAATTTTCCAATTGGTTCAGCCCTGTTCAAAGATCATCATTTGCAACCTAACTCAATTATCTTTTGTTGATGAGTGGGGGTCTAAGGTATATATATATATATATATATATATATATATATATATATATATATATATATATATATATATATATATATATATATATATATATATATATATATATATATATATATATATATATATATATATATATATATATATATATATATATATATATATATATATATATATATATATATATATATATATATATATATATATATATATATATATATATATATATATATATATATATATATATATATATATATATATATATATATATATATATATATATATATATATATATATATATATATATATATATATATATATATTAGTGCTGTCATACCATTGTCAAATAATTTTAGAAATATACAAACACAATTCTACTAACATTAAACACAATTCAAACAAAACATGATCACAGCTACCCACAGTGCAAATGTCCAGTGCTATGGAGAACTGGAACATGGACTCTAGCTTGATGTCCTGGTTGTGAAGGATGTCCTCTAAGCTGCCCTTGCTGCAATACTCCCACAACACACAGATGTTGGGGCTCTCGGTACAGGCTCCATGGAAAGTGGCCAGATTTGTGTGTTTCAGAGACTTCATCTGCAATAAGAAATATACTCTTTTAACATGATTATTATGATAGTTAAGGATGTTAGTATGAGTTGCCAGATACAACAATTCAATTTTTTTTGCAATTATCGCCTAAAAATAAAGTGATATTTTATTTATTCATTTGATTTTTAAAAACTATTATTATAATAGTTTAAGGATGTTAGTTTGAGTTGCCAAAGAAAAAGTTCAAAATTTTGCACTAATTCCCTGTCGTGTGAAATTTTATTTTTTATTCACTTGATTTGTAAAAAAACCAGTATTGAGTGAATATTTACTTTAAAAAATGTATCAGTTAAAAATTTCATTATTAAATAACAGTAAAATCTGAGTAAAGCAATTACTAAACATGGCAGTGATGTTACTGTTTAGTTAGAACAAATGGGGTGAATAGCCATGTTTCTAACAACAATTGGAAATTAGGAATTTACAAAAAGGATCAGTGTAAGCAAAAAGTGAAATGTAAGTTTCTTTAAAAAAAAAAGCCAAAAGCTACATCTCAAACATGTTCATTATAAAATTGCCAGTCAGTTGTGGAATATTTTTTTCTAGTTTCTTTCACAATAAAACAATAAACAGAAGTATTTTTCATAGCATGGAAAAGTAAGAAAGATAACTCACAATTTTCATCTCTTTCAGAAGTAGTTTATCTTCCCTTATTGACTTTTTGCGCACTTTCCTCACTGCAACTTGGTCACCATTTAATTTAGCAACCTGAGGAAACACAACATGATGATGTTTCTTAATTACCTGTGCAAAATTTTGATTTCTCATCACCAAAAAACTTTTACTTACCTGTGTAAATACCTGACTTATCACCATCAAACTTACCAGTGTAAACATCTGACTTATCATCTCCATGAAACTTACCTGTGTAAACATCTGACATCACCATAAAACTTACCTGTGTAAACATCTGACTTATCACCATAAAACTTACCTGTGTAAACATCTGACTTATCACCATAAAACTTACCTGTGTAAACATCTGACTTATCACCATAAAACTTACCTGTGTAAACATCTGACTTATCACCATAAAACTTACCTGTGTAAGGATCTGACGTATCACCATAAAACTTACCTGTGTAAACACCTGGCTTATGTCACTATAAAATGTGTATTTACCTGTGTAAACATCTGACTTATCATCACCATATTGTCATGTCGACAGTTTGAGTAGCTGGATGTGTTTCCTGTAGATGTGTCGGATCTGTTATCTGAGCAATCGTTCAAAGACTGGCGACTGCCTAGGTTTGATACAGCCTAAGTAGAGTAAGATTTTTAAATTAGATCAGAACTTAATTCTTATCATATTTTCTCCCATCGATATCTGGTAAGACATTTTTCAAAACATTTTACCCTAGGCCTAGGTCCTACGGGTAAATTAAAGTAAATTGTTTGTTTTTAGTATAAGTTTCTAGAGTTCTGGTGAAGTATTATTGTAGTATTTGACATTATACGTTTTATAACCTACAAATTTACTATTATCAACCTAACGCCTCATTTTAAAAATACCATAGTAGCCGGACTGTTGAACAAGGTTTTTAAATGTACGAAAATTTGTTTTAATGTTACTTTACCATTTTATTATTATTCAACTATTATTGGGTGATTAAATCTTTACAGAAATTTGAAAGAAGGAAAGCAATTACAACTGTCATTTCTATGTCCACTATCCCTCTAGATATTCAATAAAATGGGCATGATATAGAATGGTATTTCATCTGTAAATGTTTTAATTCCTAAGGAAGGATGGCAATTTTTGTTACTACTTTTTGAAATATGATTTCTAGGGTTAAATAATCAAAAATAAAAGGCTGGCATCAACAATTCTAAAGTAGCATTTCAAAAAACCACGTTGCTATAAAAATGTAATTATATTGTGTAGTGTATAAAGTGGACCTTACCGCTTGTGATATAGGACCTCTAGAGATGTTGAAATTCAGCTCCGAGTACTTGACTTTCCATAATGTCTCGTACAGCTCTCTTTCTTTCTTCCACCACCTGTAACTTTCATAATTAAAATCTAAAGCCTACCATGAACTGAGACAACATATTAATAAATTGTTCTTAAATATCACAATCCAAAGTAAATAAATAAATAATTCATATCTTTATCTTTCATAATTAAAATCTAAAGCCTACCATAAACTGAGACTATACGTTAGTAAATAAAACGAACCACAGTAAAGACAAAGTCTTATCATTAACTTTCATAATTAATGCTTGAGTTCATTTAAAAATATATACATCAAAACTATGTTAAAAGTAAGATAATTCAGGGGAGTGATGGTCGGAGAAGATTTGGGGACATGATGGAGGAAAAATAAATTATGCCTTTTCTCTACAACAAAGTACCCTTAGTAACACATCAGATGTGGCTATGACCAAATTGTATGTCAACAGTTGGCTCGTTCGCTTTTCAGCAAATTTGTGGGAATTTAAGTGCATTAGACCGTACTTAAAAGAAATAGTAGGGAGGACTTGAACATACAACACAATTCTGAGAGGTTAGTCCTGTTGGTAAGCTCGCATATGACATGAACATACAACACAATTCTGAGAGGTTAGTCCTGTTGGTTAAGTCACCTATGTCATGAACATGAACAAAATTCTGAGAGAGGTTAGTCCTGTTGGTTAAGTCACCTATGTCATGAACATGAACAAAATTCTGAGAGAGGTTAGTCCTGTTGGTTAAGTCACATATGTCATGAACATGAACACAATTCTGAGAGAGGTTAGTCCTGTTGGTTAAGTCACATATGTCATGAACATGAACACAATTCTGAGAGGTTAGTCCTGTTGGTTAAATCACCTATAACATAAACATACAACACATAAACATACAACACACATCTGAGACAGGTCAGTCCTATTGGTTAAGTCACCTATGACATAAAAATACAGCACAATTCTGTGAGGACAGTCCTGTTGGTTAAGTCACCTATGACATAAACATACAACACAATTCTGTGAGGACAGTCCTGTTGGTTAAGTCACCTATGACATAAAAATACAGCACAATTCTGTGAGGACAGTCCTGTTGGTTAAGTCACCTATGACATAAACATACAACACAATTCTGTGAGGACAGTCCTGTTGGTTAAGTCACCTATGACATAAACATACAACACAATTCTGTGAGGACAGTCCTGTTGGTTAAGTCACCTATGACAGGAACATACAACAAAATTCTGAGAGGTCAGTCCTGTTAGTTAAGCTCACCTGTAGACAGTAGCGTACGCAGGGGTGGAGCAGGGGGAGCGGCCGCTCCCCCTCTGGCCATTTTTAGCAAAGTGGCGCCTTTTTGGAAACTTTTTAAACTCAAAGTTTTAAACATTGATATTTGTTAAAAACTTATCTTTGGTCGGCACATCTATGCTAATCACAAGATTTATTTCATGCAGCAATTAATTATAACAGTAATAGACTAGTAGAGTCAACGTTTACAACACGTATTAGCAGCTGTATCAGTTTGTCATTCTAAAAATAACCATTACGATGCATTGCACTGTTTAAAAAACCTCTACAGGCAGTACCGCTTGGCAAGAGGGGTGTTAAGTTTAAGGCAACTGTATAATGTATTTGCTTACGAATAATTGAATTAGAAAATGTTACATGTAAAACTTCAATCATAATTACTTTATATATACAGTTTAAATCGTGTAATTTATTTTTTAAAATTACAATGCAGACACAAATACAACTAATGTGGCACCTCTATTTAAATTTACTTATGGTCGAACTGCGTAGCGGTGGGGAAATTTTGACAAGGTCATCGACATCATCACGATGAAGTGGTAGTATTATGACAGTTTGATTACGATTACAAATTAAATGAAACAGTATCAACTTTCTATTAATAATTATTTTAGTTTACTAGATCTAGATTATATTTGAACAATGCTATATTTTATATATATAAAAAAAAAACAACAACTCAATTTTAACTTACACTGATCGCACAGTTAATTATCCGCTACTTATTTAAATCTACTTTTGAATCAGTATACATGCGTAATTGAATATGTATGGGGTCGTCCATAAATGACGTCACACTCGTAGGGGGGTCCGAAATTTTATGACGGTGTGTGATGAGGGGGAGGGGGGTTCAGATGGTGCGACGTCACACTTTTGCATTATAAAAAAGCAATGTTAGAAAACGAAGTTTAGACGTTATTTTGCGTTTTAGAAAACTGTTTCAATAAATTGTAATAACAATTGATTAAAATACTATATTTTGACAGAGTTCAGACAAGATTTTGGGAAAATATAGCTGTTTAAAAAAATTTAACTGCAATTTTGAGGGGGGTTGCAGGCTGAGGTGTGACGTCATTTTAGGGGGGGAGAGGTCTGGCTTTTTGGGACGACGTGTGACGGAGGGGAGGGGGAGGTAAAAATCGTCAAAAAAGCGTGACGTCATTTATGGATGACCCCTATGTTTAGAACAGTCATCTAAAAACTGACGCTATGTTTATTCTGAGTTGGTTATCCACCCCCACCTCACCACCACAATTGTGTAGAGCGACATTAATGTCACACCTTGGTATACGCTGGATTGGATAATTGACCTAAAGTGACCGGACAGTGGTGAACGAACTGATCTGTTAAGTACATTTGGGAAAACGCGTAATGATGTACCAAAGTACCATGCCGCCAGAATCATAGCTATTGAAACGTAAATCTCTGTGAATATTGTTTTTGCAATTATAGTAAAAGGTGTGTGAGCAGTGATCTAACCCATACCTTCTCAAAATGTTAAAAAATATCTTTAAAGAACACATAAAGTCAGTAGCTAATTAAAAAGTGAATGATATGTAATGGAAGACCAATATTTTAGTTGTATGTAGACTATTATTCCGATTGTTTTACTTTTACTTTGTAAAGCTAGTTTTTATACCAACTCTGATTTAAAAAAAAACTTTCATTATGCTGTAATATTTTAGCATTTATGATGACAATATATTTAGATCTGATTGTAGACAAAACACTTTTGTAAAAACAAATAGTGTTAAGTAATTATTGATTTGTTTTGATATTTATAATAAAATGTGTAGAATATACATATTTATATTAAGATATTGATTATTTCCATTTTTCGCTTGTCCCAGGAATTATAATGTAGTTTTTTTTTACAAGGGTTACGAAACAGATTATGCTGCGTTCATTGTTTTTGGTTGTAGTGTGATATATATATATATATATATATATATATATATATATATATATATATATATATATATATATATATATATATATATACTTATATAGAAGATATTACAAATTCGGCGCCTTTTTTTTGCTATTTTCGCTCCCCCTCCACCGAAAACCTGGGTACGCCTCTGCCTGTAGATGACCAGGAACGCGTTAAATGACATAAACATACAACACAATTCTGAGAGGACAGTCCTGTTGGTTAAGCTCACCTGTAGATGACCAGGAATGCGATAAACCCGGCCAACATGAGTGTAACGACGATGGGAGGGGCGACAAGCTCTACTATATTATCTGTGGAAATAAAATAAAATGAGTTACGGGCCTTGAATGAGGATAAACTGCAGTTTCTGTCTTACAGACCGACACGAATGTAAAATATTTTGGTTAAAAATATGCTTTCTGGCAACAAAAATTTGGAACCATTTGGAAACAACTTTTCAAGCCTAATGGACTGGAACACACACCGAAAAAAAAGATTCTATGTTAAAAATAGGTTCAGTTGGAAAATTTCTATAGTTTATTTCACTGTCCTAACTTTTGAGAAGAAATCTGAATTTGGAGTAGGCGTATGTAAGAAATTTCTATCAGGTAAGTAGGCCTATATTGAATTATAACGGTTAAGTCAGAGTTAAGAAAAAACTACTACAAGGGTTTACACTTTACACACTGATGTAACTGTTTCTCCACCAGTTGTGTGGCGTCAAAATAAAAACTGTTACGGGAAAGTGACTGGTAAAAAGCGCCGCCAACCTTTTCAACTATCTGGGTAAAGATTTATAGTTCCCCAGTGCATCGCACCCAGAGGCGTAGCGACCCTTCCCGGCGCCCGGGGACAAACTTTTCGATTTGCACCCCCCCCCCCCCCCTCGAGATTTGATTTGCACCCCCCCCCCCCTCAAACTTTCAATTTGCACCCCCCTCAACCTTTCAATTTATTTTTCCAACCCATTTTGGCGCCCCCTAAGCTTGGCGCCCGGGGACATATGTCCCCCCCCCCGCCCCCCCCCCCCCCCCCTCGCTACGCTACTGATCGCACCCCTAGGTTTAGTAGACATTAGGGACGGTTCGGTTAGGGGACAACTTACAGACTCAAGGTTGGGATCCGAACTCGTGACTTTAGGATCTACCGCTAGACCACGCGGTCCCCGTTCGCTGTAATCGGTCATTGCTAAATTGCTAAACATTTCGAGTTTTTCAGTTTCGTTTTTTTTTGTGTGTTTAAGTTTGAGTTTTTAATTCATGCAATAAAACAACATACGATAACCGATGAAAGGTTATTTAAAGTATTTACCACAATCGCAATCCTATTTCAGTAATAATACACCGTAGGCTCATAACACCAAAAACACCTAATATTTCACGTTGAATTAAGTTATTTCTATAACAAACAGCTTTGTGTAATAGTTTCTAGCAGCGCAACATTAACGTACTCACCAGATTAAAAAAAAAACCGCCACTACAGAAAACAACTCACAATCAACTGCTCTACTCAACTGAATATTCCAGAACTCACCTACGCTAGCTTTACCTGTCCAGACATGCAGACGTGTCCCCCTCGGCCAGGTATTCAATACACAAACACGCAGAAACCGGTTTTAGTGACACAATACCCAGAGCGAGCTATTGGACAAGGGAGGAAATCATTGCTTTTTTCCCCCCACAACCTTTGTTTACTAATAAATGGAATGTGAGGTTATCACCCTTTGTTTCCCTCTTGCTCGACAATAAAAGCTGCTGGCTAAAATAATTTATAATAATTTTTTAGAACTAAGTAAAATGTTCCGGTGGAAATTTTTTTATTTTAAAATCAATAGAACATATTTGTTGCATACCCGGGACGTAACAAACAGTTACAGAAATAATCAATATGCATCCGAACAGATCGATTTGAGTATCGATTTGTATCTATATTTAGCATGCGTGAAAGAGAGTAGTACAGTAAGGTGACCACGTGGGGAAAAAATGCCCCATTTTGAAGATAAATAAATTAATAATACTATGGTGATGGCAAAGTGATAAATGCAGCAAAATTTAGAATGTGTCTTGTTTTCTGACTAAGTATGAACTAAAAAAAAAATAATTGTTATTACAAACTTTTAGTATAACAGCTTGTACTCTTCTAGACAAAATGTGAAATAACGGAAAGAGGTTCAATGTCTAATTGTGAAAACGTGAATGATGAAATACAAAATTCATTGTTAATATTTAAAAAAAAAATAATAATCAAACAATGATTTTTTTTTAAAAATATATAAATTAACCCTAAATCTCACTCTTGGTGTAAATGTTAGGTTTAGGGATAAGATTTGTTATGTTAAAGATTTGTGGTTAGTTTTATGGTTAGGGAAAGACCGCTCTTTATTAGATTAAAGGCAACATTGCTTTACTTTCAATCACTTGAATCGTTGTTACTTTAGTTTTTCTTTTGACTAAATTCTAGTTGATACTTTGAGCCAGCTAACAAAGAGTTAAGCGTCAGTCTATAATTTTAGTATCGTTTTGTCTATATAGGAGGTTTGAAGTATTGCTACACTGGATGGAGCGAATTAACTAAGTATGATCTACTTATTTTTCAGCTTGGCTTTCTATAAAAGGTCATCTGAGAAGTTTTCTGGTGGGATCAGAGGATTATCGTAGTGGTGACATCAGTAGACAGTTGTCCGTTCTGATAAGGTTGTTCAGACAAAATGGTCAGGGTGGTTGTCCTTTTTGACATGATTGTTTGGGAAGTTGATTAGAGTGGTTGTCCGTTCTGATAAGGTTGTTCAGACAAATGGTCAGGGTGGTTGTCCTTTTTGACATGATTGCTTGGAAAGTTGATTAGAGTGGTTGTCCGTTCTGATAAGGTTGTTCAGACAAATGGTCAGGGTGGTTGTCCTTTTTGACATGATTGTTTGGGAAATTGATTAGAGTGGTTGTCCGATGTGATAGGGTTGTTCAGACAATTGATTAGAGTAGTTGTCCCTTCTGACCTGGCTGCTCAGGAAATCAATAGATTTCAGTATGAATTCTAAATACAACCGATCAACGGATTTAGACGAGATTGCCAAATCACCCCATCAACGGCACACGTTGCCCATGGCAACCGTTTGATCAAATGTGGAGTATAATTCAGTGACATGCCTGCTCTCTTAGCAAAGTTCACCTGCTGTGAATCAATCACATCAATTTAAGAATACCGCACTCATGCAAATGCTGCTCTTGTTTATTTTTATTTTCCTGCCCTCGCTCTATGGCTCAAGTATTGATGAACGATTTGATTAGCATCTTCACTTAGCGGACCCACACAAAAAAAATACAAGAAAAAAAAAGACAAAAAAACAACAACACTTGAATGACATCTTTCGTGGAATCAATAAATCAGGGAAAACCCAATGTTCTTGCATGAATGCTATTAGTTGGGAACGTGAATCAACGCCAGTCTTTGCATATCGCCCGTTTAGTTAGCGGGAAGTTCCGCTAAATCAAGTTCGATATCGGGACTTCCAAAAGATCAGTTGAAGAACGTATTTGTTTAGCAATAATTTGCCTGTCTAAAAACTGGACATTCGCCGGTGGGGGTTGGGCGGAGAGGGGGAAGGGGTGACTAGACATTGACATGGATGTTAATGGAGATGAAAAGTTTCTTTACATAACAAGAGTAACTAGACAGTCACAGGAGAAATACTTTAGCAAGCCCAAATTAAATGACGTTAATTATTTTACATTTTTTTCTATCTATAGTCAACAAAGCCAATCAAAAGTATATTTTGATGAGAGCTATAAGACCATTATTTAAAAACAAAAAGGTTTATTTAAATTATAGACAAATTATAGACACATTTATTTTAAAATTTAAAGGTAATTGGATTTGAGCAGGTATTTTTTTTAAAATAAAGGACAATAAAACTCCCTCCTCCACTTAATCTGAATGCACGCAAAAAGAATTACTCAAGTATGTATTGATGTATAGCCTCTAACAAATCTGTTGCCCGAGTTTATCTGTAGGTTAATCTAATAACGGGAACTTGTGTTGATTGATACAATCTCAGTTTGTTTCACATAGAGCAGTCATGGACAAACTGCGCCTTTGCTGTTGTGTACACGGTGCTGTAGGTTAATTTCTCGGCCTCTGTCTAGCCTACAGCACTAAACAGAGCGAGAACCGTCAAGTAATGACAGAAGGATTCACATATCCAGTTGTCAGTTGCGTCTTAAGGGGAGGGTGGAGGAGGGGGGGGGGGTCGCACAGAGTTATGAGAGTGACACCAAGGCAAAAATGTACAAAATGCATGAACAAAATAATTCTTTTTTTTTTTTGTTTCATTAGTTGAGTCACATAAGCTTTTAAGTACAGATTTACAGTAAGAGATTAGCACAATACATTGCGCTTGATTTAGGGTTTGTCTAGTTTAGTATAGTAGATGTGGTCAGGGTTAGTAGATACCTACCTAAAACAGAGAATACATTAGCAAGCTGTTACGCTTCAGCGACCAGATTTGCTCACCTTGGAGACAGTACTCGTTCTGAAATCCGCACGGCGGCTTGTCCGGGGGAATGTAATTGTCCGAGCCGTTGTAAGACTTGCCGTTCCCCCACCGGATGGGGTTTATCAGCTCCCAAGTTTTCTAAACGAAACAAAATATGATAATAAACATCAATGGCTGAACGAAGAAAGGCTTTTCAAGCATAAGGTCATCTGTATATACATATTTTAAAATTAAATATACCATAATAAAAAGAATTGCTGTTTGTTGCTAAGTTTGTTTTCAAAAAAATATATTTTTAAACAAACTTGTAAAAAAAAAGATAATTTTTATATACCGAAGAGGCATGGGGTTATCAAATGATCTAATTATAGAAGGTAAGCTAGAGAGGTGAAAAGTGCTGCTTCACAACACAAACATCACAACAACACAACAGCAAGTTTGGAATATTTTACAACACATCAGTAGGCACGAACTTAAGATGGAGATTAAGCAGTGGAAGGGTGTGAGAGAAGTGAACGGCCGTGGGGGGGGGGGGGGGGGGGGGGTGGAGTGAGAGAGGAGAACAGGGGGGGGGGGGAGTGAGAAAGGTAAGTCGTGGAAATTCATTTTTTATTTAGCTGAATATATATATATATATATATATATATATATATATATATATATATATATATATATATATATATATATATATATTATATAATATATATATGGAAAACTAAACTAAAAAACTTGAGGCTGTACCACGCAGAACAAAATAGGCAATGTAAAGATTATGTTCAGGGTCAGTGGCGTAGCGAGGTCGGGTGTCACCCGGTGCGGCACTTAATGGTGTCACCCCCCCAGAGGCATAGAGACCCTTCCAAGGGACAAACTTTCAAATTTTCGATTTGCACCCCCCCCTCGAGTTTTCGGATTTGCACCCCCCCCCTCAAACTTTCGATTTGCACCCCCCCTCGAGTTTTCGATTTGCACCCCCCGTTCAAACTTTCGATTTGCACCCCCCCCCCCTCGAGTTTTTCTCTATATATTTTGCTATTTTTTGCCTTGGTGTCACCCCCCTAAATGGTGTCACCCGGTGCGGTCCGCACCCCCCGCCTCCCCCTCGCTACGCCCCTGTTCAGGGTTTCTTCCAGACTTTTTTCTCCGGGGGGGGGGGGGGGCTCTTGACGAGAGATACTCGTCTTGAGTGTGACCCACAACAAAAACAAAAGTAACACACAGTATTGTATCAAGGGTGTGAGTAGATTATTTGCTTTGGTGGTGAGGTGCGGGTGAGTTGCGGGTAAAATAAAACGAGGGGTTAAACAACGACAGACAGCATAATCGAATGCGTACAAACTCAAGCATTAAAATAATTTACCATTTTAATAAGAATTTAAGCCATAAAATCTACATGTGAGACCCAGTATTTCTCTCAGACTTTTTTCTTGGGGGAGGGGGGGGGATGCATTTGAATTTTTCAAAAGAGAAGGAGGGGGGGGGGGGCGGACTAAATTTTTCGGGGGGGGGGGGTGGGGGGGGGGGAAACTGTTAAAGTATATATTTTCTATATACATGGAAGACGCTATTCGGGAGGGGGGGGGGTGGTATACACATGTTAAAAAATAACTGGGTATTGTGGTTCTATCAAAGATATTCCAGACAGTCAAACGATCTTTCACAATATTCCAAGCTAGCGCGGTAGGACAGTGTTGTTGAGATGTACATTGAACGAATGCCACCGGTAGGTAGTCGCGGATTCCGAGTCGTGCCCATAAGACGTCATTGACTCCGTGAAGCTGTGGTTTACGTGAGAAAACTAACCGCCTGTTTGTTACCTGTGGTTTGGCCTGTCAGGTCCGAAAAGGGCTGTAACTTTATAGAGAAACCAACAACAATATGAAGAAGGGAATTGGAAGATAATACAAGAAATATATGATACCACTTGCCAATTATAGGATGGCCTAGAAATCTCTTGACGGTGGCCAATGTTCTTGGAGAAAACAAATAAGCTACTATAGATAAAATGGAACAAACTCAATTTAACATAACAAATTCAACAATTTGTCCCGTAAGTATTTTTTAAAGTAATTTGGGAGCAACATTACACCAGAATGTTCGACCGAGCTTCAAACAAGTATAAGGAGAAGTAATGGAAATCAATGCCTGACATTTCCGTGGAGGTCGATTTATTACTTTCGTTATCCGGGTAATGCAATCAAAGGTAGACTAAAGGAATTATATTTTTAAAAAAAACATGTTCGCAAAAAAGTGATGTTTATAAATTTATTTATGTTAGAGTGAGACTCTATTGTAAGGTCGAACAAACAGTAACATCAGCATAACATCTGAACACAACTAAAGGTATTCTTCCGTTATATGGTACCTAGTGCATCTTGCTCAAAATGTAGCAGAAGAAAGTCTACCGCCCTCCCGAACGAAATGAAATTTATATAGAAAATATATACTTTTAACAGTGTCAGCCCCCCCCCCCCCCCCCCGGAAATTTTAGTCCGCCAACCCCCATCCCCCCCCCCCCCCGAAAATTTCAAATCCGCCCCCCCCCCCCCCCCCCCAGGAAAAAGTCTGGAAGAAACACTTGTTCAGAGTATTTTCAGGCATTTCCCCGAAGCACGTCTACAGCCCTCCCCTATAACGAAAAATATTTTATTCAGAAAATATATACTTGAACCAGTGCCCCCTCCCCACGGAAACGTAAGTAATCACCCTCTCCTGAAAGTTTCATGTGCTCCCCCCCCCCCCAACCCCCACCGCAGAAAAATGACTGAAAAAAACACAAAAACACTGATTAAGTTGGGTTTAAGAGTCCGGGTATTTAGCTTAAGTCTGAATTGGGGTTTTGTTGTGGACAGGGCTGGATTGAATGGACGGTTAACGTATAGTGGTACCCTCTAACGGAACAGTCCCTACTTATCTCATGGCATGACAATGTGGTGGTGCATTACGTGGTGCCGCGTGGTGTTCGCGTGGTGCAGTACAAGACGTCGACAACACCAACCAGCCAATCAGAACGACGCTTACATCTAACACGAATCAGCCAATCAGCGTTACGCTTACATCAAAGTACTAACCTTAAACTCAAGCTCAGACTAAAACAAAAGCAACGAATCAAATTAACCAACTATGCTTTTTGTTGTTGATCAACTTCGCACTTAAATCTAAATAACAAAACCTTTACCCGGGGCGACCCCCCCACCCCCTCACCCCACATAGACCTAACCAAAAATACTCCATTGATAATGAAAGCATTTACAAAGCCGGGGGGACACAAAAAACTGAGTAAGGCGACTTTGTGAGCAGTTGCATATAAAACTATTCCGTCGGTGCAAAATAGAATTAAATAACTTTAACTCTTCTCTTAATTAAAGCAACATACTTTAACTAAGAAACTAAATTTTACTGTATATATAGGCTATATATATATATATATATATATATATATATATATATATATATATATAAATAAATATACATGCATTTATCATTTTACGCACGTATGAATCTACATTTGTAGAGTTATTTTGTTGTTTGTTAGTTTGACATACATAGAGCTCCTCTAGAGGCGAGAATACAAACACATTAAACACCACATATGCATGACAGGATACTGGATACTAGCATATTAAACATTGACAACCATCACTGGTGTTAATTCGCGTAGACATTGAGTATATTATATATATATATATATATATATATATACATACATATATATATATATATATATACATATATATATATACATATATATATATATATATATATATATATATATGTATGTATATACATACATATATATATATATACATACATATATATACATACATATATATATATATATATATATATATATATATATATATATATATATATATATATATATATATATATATATATATATATATCACTTCCCCGAAAACAGATTAATCTAACTCTATTTACTAAAGTTTTAACAGCTGCTTTCTAAGGCGGTATGATGAAAAAATACTAGTGTATAATTTTGATATCAATTGATAACTAAAGTAATGAAAACACATATCCCACCGATCACTTTTTAATTTTGATTGACCTACAGAGGTCACGTGAACAAATAAAAAAAGCCCAATGACTTACCTCTCCATTCAAGGCGTACCTAGTTATGACGACCTGATGGAAGATGTTGGATTTGTTCATATCCCAGATCAGGAAACTCGACTGCCTGTCCGCGTTGTCGTTGGTCAGGAATCGACCCGTCATTCCTGAACAAATGTGTTTGAATCCTCATTAAAATTTATTGTAATTGTGGAAAATTAATTAAACTTTAAAGAGTAATTTAAATCCTAGAAACAAAGAATAACAATATGAAGAGAACATGTCTCGCTGAATACTAAATACTAGTCTAAATGCTTGTTGTTAGAAATTCGACGGTGTTTTTTTTTTAAACTTGAATTTTCTAAAATAAATTTTTTGTACTGACCACACCCCTAACAGAAAGTCACCCACCCACAACACTGACAGAAAGTCACTCACAACACTGACAGAAAGTCACTCAGCCATAACAGTGATAGAATGTCACTCACCCATAACACTGACAGAAAGTCACTCAGCCATAACACTGACAGAAGGTCACCCATAACACTGGCAGAAAGTCACCCATAACACTGACAGAAAGTCACTCACCCATAACACTGACAGAAAGTCACTCACCCATAACACTGACAGAAAGTCACCCACCCATAACACTGACAGAAGGTCACACATAACACTGGCAGAAAGTCACCCATAACACTGACAGAAAGTCACCCACCCATAACACTGACAGAAAGTCACCCACCCATAACACTGACAGAAAATCACTCACCCATGACACTGACAAAAAGTCACTCACCAGAGAAGATCTTGTTCTTGCTGGCGTTGAAGATGTTCGCCCCTGTAAGAGGTAGGCCCTTTGTCAAAGTCTCGTTCACGGCGATGGCGTACAGGTAGAAGGCGTCGTAGAGGAACCTGGAGAACTTGTCAGGCTACAGGGGGGGGGTGTTGATAGTGTTAGCACTATAAAAATTTACCTTGCTGTAAATTCAGCATTGGATCAGTGTTTCTTCCAGACTTTTTTTCTCCGGGGGGGGGGGGGGGGAGCACTTGAAATTTTCGGGGGGGGGGGGGGGGGGGGGGGCGGTAGACTTTCTTCGGAGAGGCTCTGCCCCCCGAAGAGATGCCTGGAAGAAACTCTGCTTTAGATTTCCTTACTGTGACCTCGGCCTGTATAGTTCAATACTATACCAAGGTGTCGTTACCGAAACTAAGAAGAATCAGGCACTCGTCACAGTTTTATTTTGAAACGTTATACTTGTCACAGTATTTGTTAAAACTGTAATTTCCTTTTAGAACAGGGTAATTTCAATGAATGGAAACTCAAAGGAAATTTTTCATATAAAATTGTATTAATTGCCTAATTAATTTAAAATAAATAGCAGATTTACTATTTTAGCTGTAATAATAAAAACTACACGTGAACAAACCACAAATGGCCGAGGTACCAGTTGTTTAAAAAAATTACTTATATTACAGTCACGTTATATATTAGTTAATGAATCAATTATTTTACACTCTCGTTAAAAATAAATGATTTAATTAACCACTTATATTACACTCACGTTAAAAATTATTTAATTAACCACTTATGTTACACTCACGTTAAAAATTATTTAATTAACTTCAATTAAAAAAGTAAATATATATTTATTTGCCGTACTAGAAATATTTTTTCAAATTGTTAGTCAACTTAAATTTTTTTTATATTAATTTAAGTCAGTTAAGGTAAAGAGTTTTCTAAGAACAAGAAGAACAAACAGACACACGTACATCAGTGGCGTTGGGCATGGTTGGGTCCTTGGCGAACACTCTCCTGGCGGCTGCTATGGCTTTTTCTGTGTCAATGTGCCACTCCGTCACGTAGTGGTATGTAAACTGTGGAAACACGGACGATAGGGTTAGGTCCCGGGTTCAAATCACGACGTGAAAGTATTTTATTTTACCATCAGATATGATATGGATATCGAATGACCTTGTTTGTCTTCACAACTCATGTGCAAGAACATGGTGGTTGTAGGATCGCATCAAAATCCATTACATATAAGCGGTTAAAAAAAACCAAAAAAAAAAACCCGCAGTCTCATTAGTGTTAAAATATAGCAAACAAGCAGGGAACTAATTTAAAAAAACAACTAGCAAGTAATAAGGAGGATTATTCATGTACATACAAGGACGTGGGTGAGAGAGATAGCCACATATCTCAAGCGTGGTTCCCAAGAATAAGTCTGTAGGATGTCCCCAGTGTACATCCAGCTCTGGCCGGAAAGATGCGCAGCGTAAAATTGCGCCACGGAAAATTGCTCACAAAAAAGTGCGCAATGGCATTTTTGTTTTCTTAAATCGAGAATTATAGGCATTGACAAATAGTGACTAAATTATGTAAACTATAGCATAATAAAACATATTTCCGCGAAATATGATAAAATTAAAGTGTATGTATAATTAGTTTGTATTTGATCATTTTTCTATTTGCGCAAATTTCCATTGCGCAGTTTTCCGATTGCATATTTTTCGGAAACCTCTTATGGAAAACCTGAATCGAGCTGGGGAAGCTAAAGCCAACTGGATATAATTAATAAAACTTAAATTTCTCACTCAAGTAAAGAAGATTGTGGTAGCCTCACCTGACCATATCACCCCCCCCCCCCCCAACAACACAATACTTAAATCTCCCACTCACGTAAAGAACTACACAATACTTAAATCCCCCACTCACGTAAAGAAGATTGTGGTAGCCTCGCCTGGCCATATCAGCCCCCTCCCCCCCCCAACACAATACTTAAATCCCCCACTCACGTAAAGAAGATTGTGGTAGCCACGCCTAGCCTTGTCATCCTCCCCGTCCCCCCACTGCCAGAATGACGGGCTGGTCAGCGATGCCAGGAACTCCTTGTCTGCGACTGTACGTTCTGTATAGAGGAACTGGTACTCGCCGTTGGTCATCCCCATCTCGTCGGCCACGATCAGGTACTTCCGTACCTCAAGCCTCGGCACCACCAGGATGATAACTGGAATAAGGGAAGAAGTGAGGAATGTGAGGGAGTATGTGAAAGAAATGAGTGTGCGAGGGATGTGTGTGTGAGGGACGTGAGTGTGTGAGGGACGTGAGTGTGAGGGACGAGTGGGTGAATGACGTGTGTGTAAGAAATGTGTGTGTGAGAGACGTGTGGGTGTGTGACGTGTTTGTGAGGAACGTGTCTGTGAGGGACGTGTGTTTAAGGCACGTGTGTGTGAGGGACGAGTGTTTAAGGCACGTGTCTGTGAGGGACGTGTGTTTAAGGCACGTGTCTGTGAGGGACGTGTGTTTAAGGCACGTGTGTGTGAGGGACGAGTGTGTGATATGTGCGTGTGACATTTAAGTGATGGACCTGTGTGCGTAACGTGTGTGTGGAGCGTGTGTGTGTGTGTGAATGACTTTTTAAAAAAAAAGTAGCAATTGAATCTTACAGGTGAAGCAGAGTTAATCTGTTTCAGTGACCTCGACATATGAAGGGACGGTTTGGTCAGCACTATGCCCAGCCGCTTTTATTTTCCCTAACGTGTCAGGTATCTACCACAGCTAGGTGGACTTAGGGACGTCGTACGGATTTGAGCCCGGGATCCGAACTCGAAGCTTTCGGGTTGGCAGTCGAACGCTCTACCATTCGACCAATGATATTGGGTGACACGCGTTGGTGTGATGGTTGGTTGTATGGGTTACACGTGTGTGAGGGTGACAGGTGTTGATGTGATAGTTGTGTGGGTTACACGTGTGTGAGGGTGACAGGTGTTGATGTGATAGTTGTGTGGGTTACACGTGTGTGAGGGTGACAGGTGTTGATGTGATAGTTGTGTGGGTTACACGTGTGTGTGTGTGAGGGTGACAGGTGTTGATCTGATAGTTGTGTGGGTTACACGTGTGTGAGGGTGACAGGTGTTGATGTGATAGTTGTGTGGGTTACACGTGTGTGTGTGAGGGTGACAGGTGTTGATGTGATAGTTGTGTGGGTTACACGTGTGTGAGGGTGACAGGTGTTGATGTGATAGTTGTGTGGGTTACACGTGTGTGAGGGTGACAGGTGTTGATGTGATAGTTGTGTGGGTTACACGTGTGTGAGGGTGACAGGTGTTGATGTGATAGTTGTGTGGGTTACACGTGTTTGAGGGTGACAGGTGTTGATCTGATAGTTGTGTGGGTTACACGTGTGTGAGGGTGACAGGCGTTGATGTGATAGTTGTGTGGGTTACACGTGTGTGAGGGTGACAGGTGTTGATGTGATAGTTGTGTGGGTTACACGTGTGTGTGTGTGAGGGTGACAGGTGTTGATCTGATAGTTGTGTGGGTTACACGTGTGTGAGGGTGACAGGTGTTGATGTGATAGTTGTGTGGGTTACACGTGTGTGTGTGAGGGTGACAGGTGTTGATGTGATAGTTGTGTGGGTTACACGTGTGTGAGGGTGACAGGTGTTGATGTGATAGTTGTGTGGGTTACACGTGTGTGAGGGTGACAGGTGTTGATGTGATAGTTGTGTGGGTTACACGTGTGTGAGGGTGACAAGTGTTGATGTGATAGTTGTGTGGGTTACACGTGTGTGAGTGTGAGTGTGAGGGTGACAGGTGTTGATCTGATAGTTGTGTGGGTTACACGTGTGAGTGTGAGGGTGACGGGTGTTGATGTGATAGTTGTGTGGGTTACACATGTGTGAGTGTGAGTGTGATAGGTGTTCGCGTGAGGAGTGAGCACATATGATATTTTCAGACGAGCACGTTGCATAAAATCTGCTTTAGAGATGGGACAAGATTAGATTTTAGGAATTTCAACCAACTTCAACTTGTTTTAAAATACACCCCGTGAATTTAACCACCCCCCCCCCCCTCTTCTCCGTTACTAACCCACTTACTTCTACTTTCAGTTTTAATGACGTTATAAATCTTTTCGATCTGGGTCCGGTTGGCCCCTTCCTTTACACCTGCGTGAAGACGAGTCAGGTAAAAATTGTCGTTCGCCTCCAAAGTTTGCTTGAAAAAACTGGCCATCCCTTCCGTGAGTTCTCCCACAGTGGCGATCATACTTAGGTGGAACCACCGCATTCTCTCGCAGAAGAAGATCAGCAGATCACCTGGCATTGACGAGATTAATGATCATTAACTTGAGTCAATTAATTATCAAAACTCTTAATTTTTGCCGAATATAGACCTATGGAGAAGAACAAGACAGAAGACAATGACAGTACAATTAAGAAAGAGGAAGAGGCGCTGGGTAGGACACAAAAGGCTCACTCTAATGTGACACGAATTGCGCTTGAGTGGAACCCTCGGGGAAAGCGAAAGAGAGGCTATCAAGACAGACCTAGAGCCTAGAGGCGGTCTTCTCTAAGAACTGAAGACAATAGGGATGTCTTGGGAGGCTGCAAAATCAACAGCCGGGGACCGGACAAAATGGAAGGCTATGGTTGAGGCCCTAGGCTCCACAAGGAGTAAAGAGAATTAAGTCAAAGCTTACTTAATTTTAAAAGAAAATATCAACCATGAGCTGATGGGAATTAAAGCTAATCTATTGTTATACATTAATCATGATGAGTTCTACTACACCAATCACTACGCTACTAATAAAACAAACGGGAGATGTTATATAAGAAACGTACGCAATATAAATTCATCACATAAACCTTAAATAAGGTAGAACGATTTTGTAGATGGTAAAAATTGAAGTTCGTTATCAAATACAAATAATTAAACACCCTATTTTAATTTATGTAACTAATCTTGCATTACTCACCTAGAATGGACAGCACACCTCTGACAGTACTCACCTAGAGTGGACAACACACACCTCTGACAGTACTCACCTGGAGTAGACAGCACACACCTAAAGTGGACAACACACACCTCTGACAGTACTCACCTGTAGTGGACTGCACACCTCTAGAAGTACTCACCTGGAGTGGACATCACTCACCTAGAATGGACAGCACACTCCTCTGCTAGTACTCACCTAACGATGACAGCGGCGCTATGGCTCGCATCAAGGTCGACTTCTCTGTTTTGTTGTCCAGTTCGTGCATGTGTGAGACCCAGCTGTAGACGGGGATATCGAAGAACGCAGCCAGGTCGGCCACTGGCACCATAGCTGAAACAGACGTGAGAACCCTGATGTAACGGAACACACACACATACATACACACAAACACGCGCGCGTCTAAAACTGTAACACATCAATATGTATTTATAAAAAAACATGCTATTTTCCTTCAAGGACTTTCTTGTACAATATTATGAAAATTTTAGTGCTTATTTTTTTAGCTGCTATTCTTGTACTTTTTCTTTCAACACTAAACGTTTTACATTCTTTCCTACATTGCCTTTTACCTCTTCTAGTATATTCTAAGAATATCCTGCATAGAAATTCCTTAAAAAGTGTTTCTTGAATATTCTAAAAATTTCTATAGTGTAAGTGCCCTAAAAAACGTTTTCTTTTATATTCTTACAAAACCATTCTTGCCAATTCCCTACAAGTTTTATTTCATATTCTAATGCTACCTCTTGTGCTGATTCCCTTGTACATTCCTTTAAAATTTCGCGTAAATACCCCTATACCCATTGTTTTAAATTTTTATACGAATTCGCACAAAGAGATATTTGTGTGTGTGTGTATATTCTTAGAATACCTTTCGTGCATGGCGGTCCAAAGATGACGTCAGGTCGTGTGGACAGGAAATATCGAACAAAGTTTCCGCTGGCCGCTTTAGGTTGACAAGCCGAGTCGCCCCAGGTGATGCTGAATAGGGCAAAATTTAATTAGAGCTCGACATTAGAGAAATTCTGGAGTTACATTATAAACATCAGTGGCGTCGCTAGGTCGGGTGTCACCCGGTGCGGTAACACATGGTGTCACACCCCCCCCCCAACTTCCAAGGGGAAAAAGTGGTGCGCGGACCTTTGACCACAGGTGCTTTGACCATAGGGGGTTTGACCATAGGGGGTTTGACCACAGCGGAGCTTTGACCATAGGAGCTTTGACCATAGGGGGTTTGACCACAGCGGGCCTTTGACCATAGCGGTGCTTTGACCATAGGGGGTTTGATCATAGGGGGTTTGACCATAGGGGGTTTGACCACATGTGTTTTCTCAGCAGAGGGTCTTTGATCACAGGTGGTCTATCAACTGGTGTTTGATCACAAGCGCTGTGTCCGACTTTGATCATAGGTGTGATACAATTAACACGATTTTATACATGTTTCCTGAGAGGACGTTAATAGAAATTAACAAGTATTTAAAAAAAGCCAAGAACTATATTTTAGTCTCCACATAAAGGCTGGTGCTAGGCCTCATAGATTTATTTTAAATATAAATGAAACACAAATAATGTTACATATAACAAGTTTCACAAATAAATAATGTAGATGTACTTGAAAATACATAGCATATAGAAAGGATAAAAAATGATACAAAACTTGCCAACAATATAGTCAAAGATGTAATACATAAAATGGTTAACTAAATGACACATGTGCTACAGCACGCAAATATGTCAGTACATCTGTTTGACCATATGTCCATGGTTTTGACATAGAGTAGTTTAGATGACGTGTATTAAATACATGATGATTTAACATATTATTACATCATGTCGAAAGTTAAAATATAATTTAGCATCTTTTAATATAAATCCTTACCATATATGGACAGCATTGGACAAAACACCTATGATCAAAGCCGGACGCAGCGCTTGTGATCAAACACCAGTTGCTAGACCACCTGTGATCAAAGACCCTCTGCTGAGAAAACACCTGTGGTCAAACCCCCTATGATCAAACCCCCTATGGTCAAAGCACCGCTATGGTCAAAGCCCCGCTGTGGTCAAACCCCCTATGGTCAAAGCCCCTATGGTCAAAGCTCCGCTGTGGTCAAACCCCCTATGGTCAAACCCCCTATGGTCAAAGCTCCTGTGGTCAAAGGTCCTAGGACCGAAAAAGTATATGATATATATACTCCCCACCCCCTTACTCCGTCTCTTGTCGGGATTGTCAATTTGTACCAACAATACTTTTAAAATATAATTAATCATTTATAGAACTGGCAAAACGCATATTTCTGCTATATATTTTTTTATTTTGCTGTTACCCTCCTAAATGGTGTCAGCCTGTGCGATCCACAGCCCCCCACCCCTCCCCCTGCATCGCGACGCCTCTGATAAACATGCATACATCTCAACGAATTTGTATTAATATTTGGGTTAAGCTCTTGTGTAGTTTTTTTTTTTCAAACTGTTAGGATAAAATAAGCGTGTTTCAGTGTCAATTACGTCTTATAGAATCTGAAGCTTAAAGCTTGACTTAACTACTTGCATGAAGAAATCTGCTTATTAAAGTGTTTTCGTTAAAGGTTAATGACAAATCTTAATTGTGTATCGATTTGAAAGTGTTATATGTGGATATTTTAAATAATTAAAAAAAATGTTTTCTATATTTGCCCTCTTGTAAAAGATTTTGACATAAAATGCGGAGCTATTTATTACAGGCACTATTGACAGTATAGATTGTCCTATGTAACCCACCCCCACTAGTACGATCATGTTTTTAATCATATAAAGAATCAAACCTATTTAAAATAAAAGGAATAAGTCTCCGATTAAAAAAAAACGTTTTACTTTATATCTAAAACGCAATTCGGAAAAATAAAATTAGCTGACATATTTTAATATAACTTTTTATTTAACGAATTTTCATTAAGAATAAAAAAAAAAAAAAAAACTTCAACGCACTTGTGCGCACAAATGAAAAAAAAGCAAAAACATTAAAGAAACCCTAAAATCGATTTCTTAGACCTCTCTTATTAGGGCTATATATGCTCTAACTATAAATAGCTGGAGGTGCAAAAAGCGACAAATCCTGAAGTGGAGGTTCGCATATTTAACAACCGTTTTCAAAATTAAATAAAGAAATACAGACAGGCTTTTTAAGCGTGGCATCTATTTGACATAGTTACAGTTTATTCTTCCAATAAATAATACACAGCTATGTATTGATCTTTTAAAATAACAAAATAGATTTGTATACATAAAAGTTCGTTAGTTTAAAGAAAATATTTGTAAAATATAGTCGGTTAGAATCGTGTTTTCAAAACATGTGTATACACAAAATTGGTTAGAATTATGTTTTGAAAATATGAGTATAAATAAAGTCGGTTAGATTCGTGTTTTAAAACTTTTATTTAAATAAAGATGGGTTGATTTATGTTTAAAACAATATTTGTTTGCGATAAAGCAAACTAGATTCATATTTTAAAATTAAGTGTATACAATAAATATGATTAGATTCGTGTTAAAAATAGATTTGAATAAAAAAAAATGGGTTAAATTAATTGTAAAAATATTGTGTTAGAAAAACGAGTTGTCTTCAATAAAGGTTGTTAGATTCATGCTAAAAATAGATTTATATACAAAAATAGTTCGATTCAAGTTTTTTAAAAACCACTGACTTGACTGTATAGTTGTGTAGTAACGTATCATTCTGCGACTCCTCTACCGCTAGGGCAAATGGCCCCATACTGGAGGCGAGTGTAAAGTCCTCTTGATCTTCTCTGTGGAAGTTACATTTACACAACATTCACAATTTGTGATCAAAAAAACAAAATATATGAAACGGTTTTTGGAGACGAGTTAAGTATGAAACATAAACGATGGACTGGTTTAAAATATGAGACAGAGAAAGGAATAGTGAGAAAGTTACTTTGTGATATAAGGAGAAAACGTTGCGAGAGACAAAGTTACAGAGAGATAATGTGAGAGAACGTTACAGAAAGATAATGGGAGAAAAATTATAGAGATTAAGTGAAAAAAAGTTAGAGAGAGAGGAAGCTTCTTCTCACTCACTATGATACAACACAACTTAAAACTCTCGTACTGAGAGTTTTGATAGACTCCAAGTATGGCTGAAGTCCTTAAACGTCCATAATCCTATTCAACATCTCCCCTTAAGTCCACCCAGCACCTCTGTAAGCCCACACTCATCTTTGTAGGCCCACCCAGCACCTCTGTAAGCCAACCCAGAAACTCTATAAGCCCACATCCATCTCTGTAAGCCTACTCAGCGTCTCTGTAAGCCCACCCAGCACATCTATAAGCCCACCAAGCGTATTTGTCAGCCCACCCAGCATCTCTGTAAGCCCATCTAGCAACTCTGTAAGCCCACCCACCGTCTCTGTAAGCCCACAACCATCTCTGTAAGCCCATCTAGCTGTACCTAAGCCCACCCAGCATCTCTGTAAGCCCACCCAGCACCCATGTAAGCCCACCCAGCTGTACCTAAGCCCACCCAGCGTCTCTGTAAGCCCACCCAGCACCCATGTAAGCCCACACAGCTGTACCTAAGCCCACCCAGCGTCTCTGTAAGCCCACCCAGCACCCATGTAAGCCCACCCAGCTGTACCTAAGCCCACCCAGCGTCTCTGTAAGCCCACCCAGCACCTCTGTAAGCCCACCTAGCACCCATGTAAGCCCACCTAGCACCCATGTAAGCCCACCCAGCTGTACCTAACCCCACCCAGCGTCTCTGTAAGCCCACCCAGCTGTACCTAAGCCCACCCAGCGTCTCTGTAAGCCCACCCAGCACCTCTGTAAGCCCACCCAGCACCTCTGTAAGCCCACCCAGCACCTCTGTAAGCCCACCCAGCACCTCTGTAAGCCCACCTAGCACCCATGTAAGCCCACCTAGCACCCATGTAAGCCCACCCAGCTGTACCTAACCCCACCCAGCGTCTCTGTAAGCCCACCCAGCTGTACCTAACCCACCCAGCGTCTCTGTAAGCCAACCCAGCACCTCTGTAAGCCCACCCAGCTGTACCTAACCCCACCCAGCGTCTCTGTAAGCCCACCCAGCTGTACCTAACCCACCCAGCGTCTCTGTAAGCCAACCCAGCACCTCTGTAAGCCCACCTAGCACCCATGTAAGCCCACCCAGCTGTACCTAACCCACCCAGCGTCTCTGTAAGCCAACCCAGCACCTCTGTAAGCCCACCCAGCACCCATGTAAGCCCACCCAGCTGTACCTAACCCCACCCAGCGTCTCTGTAAGCCCACCCAGCGTCTCTGTAAGCCCATCCAGCACCTCTGTAAGCTCACCCAGCACCCATGTAAGCCCACCCAGCTGTACCTAACCCCACCCAGCGTCTCTGTAAGCCCACCCAGCACCTCTGTAAGCCCATCCAGCACCTCTGTAAGCTCACCCAGCACCCATGTAAGCCCACCCAGCTGTACCTAACCCACCCAGCACCTCTGTAAGCTCACCCAGCACCTCTGTAAGCCCATCCAGCACCTCTGTAAGCCCATCCAGCACCTCTGTAAGCCCATCCAGCACCTCTGTAAACCCACCCAGCACCCATGTAAGCCCACCCAGCTGTACCTAAGCCCACCCAGCGTCTCTCTAAGCCCACCAAAAAACCCTGTCATTTTAAAACGATGACAAAAATGATGATTATACAACTGCCAGTGTTTCTTTCCAACATTTATCTCCGGGATGGGGAGGGGGGGGGGGGTCATTTGAAACTTCTGTTATGTATGTGTGTGGGGGGGGCGCACTTAATATTTCCGTGTAGTGGGGCGGACTTGTTAAAGTATATATTTTCTTTACCAAATAGTTTTTTCTTCCTTTGTCCATGTGTTTGGGGAAGGGGGTGGAGGGGTGGGGGTGGGAAAGGGGATAGAGCATTACCTCAGCCTCCCCTCCACCTCCGAGAAATGTCTGCATGAAACTCTGGTTTTGTTGAAAAAACATACACGACACTTCACGAAGTACTCGATCAGTCACTCAATCAGTGAAATATAGAACTGATATTCATACAATTTTTATGTCCGCGGTTCCAAAATGAAAGCAACAGTATGGGAGGTGTGGAAATATTTACAGCAGTGGTTCTCAATCTTTTGGAGGTACCGAACCCCATGGGTTTCATATGGACATGCACCGAATGCTTTTTAATATTTATATCGTTCGCACTGACAGAATCTGATCGTGAATCCTATGAGGCGGGTGTGTGTCTTAACCTCCGCCGAACCCATGGAACTGACTCACCAAACTACTAGGGTTCGATCGAACGAAGTTTAAGAACCACTGATTTACAAAGATGTGGCAAAAAGTATAGGCCTACATATTACATAAAAGGTAACCAAAGCTTACATTTAAAAGACTAAAATATATAAAACATTTACAGACACTTTAATGTAACGTCCATACACCTAAATATATCTGCTATATTTATAGATAATAAAATGGATTGACATATTGTTACAGTGGTTTCCAAACTTACGACTGAATATTATTATTCATTTGTTTTAGAAACTTATTTAAAACAAACAAGGGGAACAATCTATAACTATGATCCCAAAACTCGTAAAGATATGAAGATATATAGTTATAAAAAATTTAAGTTAAAAATCATTATTTAAATCTTTGTAAAATTTAAGAATTAAATATTTCATTTCATTTTTAGTTAATTTTTATATTTCATAAAATGTGTAATTATTGAATGAATCTATTTAAAATAAACAAACTAGTAGCTAAATTGAATAGTAAATATTTAGACAATAAAAGTTAACGGTCTTAATACCATACTATTACATCCAAATTCTATTGAGACTTAGTGCTTTTCAATTTTATACTGAAAACAACTAATGAATAACAACTCAAACGGAAGTATCCCTTACACCTGCACAGAATCAAGAGGGCTTTGTTTTCTACAACAAACTCTTAAATCACAATTTTCTTGTTATCAGATAAATAAGGTTTCAGTGACAACGCAAGATAAAGTTAATTTTCAATCTGGTCATTACAATTAATTACTACGTTAAAAAAATAAAAAGTAGTTTCCAGAACTAATGATCGGTCAATGAGCATTAGGGGAGATGGGGGCGCTCCGGCTTACAATAAATCTGAGGCCGCACCTGGTGCAGTTTGATAGGCGATTCAAGTGGCACCACTGAACTCTGTGCAGGACACCCAATTAGCGGACACCTGGTGCAAAGATAGCCGCTAGAACTTTTCCCTCCGATATTTATTTTTTGTTTTACTGGCATAAACTTTTCCTGAATGATAGTAAACCTCCCAAAGTTTCATGGCAATCTGTTAAATGGGGTAGTAATACATAAAATACAGACACATAGCTGTATTTATAAATATATATGTTTGTAGCTATACGTCAAATAATATTTTGAAATAGCCGAAGATGTTCGAAAACTAATGGTACAAAGCGCGCAGACAAGCGAACAAAAGAGGTAACAAATAGACAAACAATTCGTCAGTGAAGATCGGAAAACCCGTTCAGCGCAGCGGCGAAGGAAATAATTAAGTTAGAGGGTAATTGTGATTTTTTGTTCTCTTTTTTTATTTCTGCACTTGCCAATTAGGCTGTTAATTGGGGTTAAAGGGAGAGAGAATGGAACAAGTGTGGCGGAGAAAAATATAGAAGCAAAATGGAATGTTGAAGGAGAAATTGTAGGGATTTAAAGAATTAAACTAGAGTGACGGCAAGAATTATAGAACTAAAGCTAAGGAAAGATAAGATCGTATGGAAATAAAAGAATGGTAGAATGCTTATTATTACATATATTTAACACGATAACTGGCCAAATAAAGGGTTTCCTAAATACAGAGATCTCTCGCCGTCATGTTACGCTGTGCACATTCACAAGAATTATACATCTGCTCACAAGTATCATACATACACTCAAAGGTATCATACATACATTCATAAGTATCATACATACACTCAAATGTACCACACATACACTTACACTTATCATACATACACTCACAAGAATCATACACACGCTCAAACTTGTTCATATACTGACATACTGTACGTAAACATACACACTAAGATAGACTGACTTAAAACACACATACAAGTGCACACAACATACGCATACACAACATACGTACACTCATAAACACAGAGAAAGTCATTTATACACACAAACCAAACCAACCCACAGTAAGACAAAGTCGTCTCACAATATGTATAAAATTCTATAGATAATACACACACACACACACACACACATATATATATATATATATATATATATATATATATATATATATATATATATATATATGGCTATTCCTATACATATACATACATAACTGCCAAAAAGAAATGTCATGCTGAAAATGCGTGTAGTCTGAATTTCAACAAACAAAATTCATTGCCCCTCACATTCAACTTACAACAATTTTATTTCATCAACAGATAACAGACAATCGGATCACAGATAATAACCATAAAACGAACGAGCTGACGTGAGTACTCACCTAGGGGCCAGCCACAGCACGTGAATCTCGTGAGCCACCCCCTCGGCGTGGACGTAGACGAGAGGGAAGGCGAAGATAAGACTGTACAGCAGTCGGAGTGAGTACATGTTTCCCTTACAGTGTAGCGCACCAGGAGGCTGTAAAAAAAATGATGGGGTCAAAGCTTTGGTTGAAAAAAAAATCGTAAAATAAAATGGGAGGTTTTTTAAAATTATGGTGTTAGTTTTGATAGCACATGTTAAAGTGTGGCAATGTGTGGTAAAGCGAGGATATGAAGATTTATCTTGCATTATGTGAGGTGGCTGAATGATCATATATATATATATATATATATATATATATATATATATATATATATATATATATATATATATATATATATATATATATATATATATATACATACTAGGCATACTGCCTAGCTTCGCTTAGGTTTTTAAATAACATTTGAGAATTTGAATACTTAATTATTTAGCGATGGATTTGGTGTTGAGTGCTTTAATTTAAACAGTAATGCTAACTTTAGAAAAAAAATGTTTTAGTTTGTCATTTAAATACCGTTCTCAAAAAATTATCGGAAAGTACGCAATGTATAAGTAAAATGGAATTAGAACTACACAGCTTCCATGAACAGTACATCTCATAGTTTTTATTACATTGCCTTTTGAAATTTATTTATTTATTTAATTGGGATACGTAACTAAATTAACAACTTAATTTTGTACTAAAACAAATGCTATACTTCGTCATTTTCTGTTTCTGTTTAAAATAGTATACAATTATTTGAAAAATAATAATTTAAAAAACGTTACCTCCCTTGAAAACTGAACGTATGACGTATGTCTTTGTTTTTTTTTACAAACAGTTGCTATGCTTATATAAGCAATTACGGTATATGAACATATTTAACAACTATAATGGCTGTTTCCGACGGGATTAAAGTTTTTTTGTTAGCCTCCAGGGTCGGTCTACGACGTCACATAATATTAAGGGGATCGTTCGACAATTTATTTATATATATATATATATATCTCATATAAGGAGAATTTCACTCAAGATCATCTTTTAGCCCTCGTCGAGGGCTTTGAGTCTGACCAACAGTTTTTCCATACGGCCTAGTCATTTATAGTAGTGTATGCAAAAAATTAGCCAGATATACTGAGCTTAAGTACCCTAAAGTCTGCGTTGAAATGACCCTCTGTTTTTTCCATAAAATACAAAGATTATATAGGGAAATACAACTGGTCAGTTTTGACCGCTTTACAAAGTTTTCCCAGATATGCCGAGTTTTTTGTGACACCCCAAGGTGTTCTCCTACCACCTCACAAAATTTCAAGGGGGGTCGTCGGAGGAATTTTTTTTTCGTAATAGAGCTCATATAAAGAGAATTTCACTCGCGGTCACTTTTTAGCCCTCGTCGAGGGCTTTGAGTGTAACCGACAGTTTTCCCTAAAGGTCAAGCCATTGACCTAGGAGCGTGCAAAAAATTAGCCAGATATAAAGAGCTTAAGTACCCTAAAGTCTGCGTTGAAATGACCCTCTGTTTTTCCCATAAAATACAAAGATTATATAGGGAAATACAACTGGTCAGTTTTGACCCCTTTACGAAGTTTTCCCAGATATGCCGAGTTTTTTGTGACACCACAAGGTGTTCTCCTACTACCTCACAAAATTTCAAGGGGGGTCGTCGGAGGAATTTTTTTTTTTGTAATATAGCCCATATAAGGCGCCGGTCAGTCGAGGTCAGTTTTGACCCCCTCTCCGTAGACTTTTTGCCAAACCGTCACCGGCCCTCGTGTTCTATCGCCATAAGCAGTAGCGTACGCAGGGGGGGAGCAGGGGGAGCGGCCGCTCCCCCTCTGGCCATTTTTAGCAAAGTGGCGCCTTTTTGGAAACTTTTTAAACTCAAAGTTTTAAACAATGATATTTGTTAAAAAATATTTTTGGTCGGCACAGCTATGTAAATCACATGATTTCTTTTCATGCAGCAATTAAGCATTATTGTACTAGTCTAGTAGTGTCTACGTTTACAACACGTATTAACAGCTGCATCAGTTTGCCATTCTAAAAATAACCATTACGATGCATTGCAATGTTTAAAAAACCTCTACGGGTAGTACCACTTGGCAAGAGGGGTGTTAAGTTTAAGGCAACTGCATAATGTATTTGCTTACGAATAATTGAATTAGAAAATGTTATACATAAAACTTCATACATAATTACTTTATATATACAGTTTGAATAGTGTGATGACTTTTTTAAAAATTACAATACAGAAACAAATACAACTGATGTGGCACCTCTATTTAAATTTACTTATGAGCAAACTGCGTAGTGGTGGGGAAATTTTGACAAGGTCAACAACGTCATCTTGATGAAGTAGTAGTATTCTTACAGTTTGGGCGATAGTGATTACGATTACAAATTATATGAAACAGTTACAACCCCCTCCCCCATGGACCCCTCTATAAAAAAAGTATTGTCATAATACCACTGCTACTTATTTAAATCTATTTCTGTAATATATATTTGTGTAATGTATATTTGTGTAATATATATTTATGTTTAGAACAGTCATCTAAAAACTGACGCTATGTTCACTCTGAGTTGGTTATCTCCCCCCCCCCCCCCCCACACACACACACACCTCACCACCACAATTGTGTAGAGCGACTTTAATGTCACACCTAGGTATACACTGGGTTGGATAATTGACCTAAAGTGACCGGACAGTGGTGAATGAAGATAAACCCCCCCCCCCCAACCCACCCCGACTGATCTGTTTAGTACATGTAGAAAAACACGTAATGATGTACCAAAGAACCATGCCGCCAGAAAATTAGCTTTTTAAACGTAAAACTCTATGAATATTGTTTTTGCAATTACCAGTAAAAAGGTGTGTGATCAATACAGTGATCTAACCCATACCTATCACTATGTTAAAAAATGATCTTTAAACAACACAAATAAGCAGTAGTTAATTAAAAACATATGATCTGAACTAAAAGACCGATATTTAGTTAAATGAAGGCTATTATTCCGAATATATTATATCGAAAAGCGTGTTTTTATACCAATTCTGATTTTAAAAACTTTCATTATGCTGTAATACTTTAGCATTTATGATGACGATATATTAAATTATGATCATAGACAAAAACATTTTGTAAACAAGAATAGTGTTAAACAATTTCATTATATTCTAAAGTAATTATTTATTTGTTTTGACATTTATAATTAAATGTGTAGATATATACATATTTATATATATATATATATATATATATATATATATATATATATATATATATATATATATATATATATGTCAGTGTACCTATAATTGCCGTACTTTAATGTTTAATTCATCTCGATGCACTACTCAATGATGTATTAACAAAGTTTCTCCCTTCCTTTTGTTATGTGGAAACGTATTTTCCCATTCATAAATCACGACTTTTTGACTCTCGCATTATTCCAACGCAAATACAAGGACGCCTTATAAACGTGTTCGATTATTTTTTTCCCCTTCATCTAGCTTTACGGCCAGACAACACCGGAGCCTTGTCTCTATTTTCAAGGTTGACATCACTTCCGCTTTCACATTTTTAGAAGAAGTTAAAAATTTTTTCCATATGTACAGCTTGATATCTGAGAGTACAAAGTATTTTTAAGTATATTGATCTAATAAGATCCTAGCAAATGCTGGAAAGATGGTTTTGTATTTAGTTTTACTGTGAGTATTTAATGTACAATCAATGATGATTTTAAAAGTATCAGTGAAAATGTCAAAAGAAATAAACCGGGAGTGATCTCCCCTAAACTTTCTCGAATATTCTAATATAACACTACAGGGGATGGCAACTCGGGATATAGACTTCTAGACATGATTTTTAATCCATTTTAAATACTCACATTTCTTAAAATAGAATATAATCTCGTAGAAAAAAGAAATGCACACCAAGTGAACGCTAAATAAAAAAGCGCATAATAAATTTACATGCGTTTTTTTGAGAAATTGGAAATAGCGTAAATAAGTACTTCCGGTCAACGGAAATTACTCAAAATTTGACGGAAGGTAGAGAATTAGCTCTTTTACTTACATATCAAATTTCATTTATCTATCTGAAATAGTACTCAAGTTATCGGAATTCGCTCAAAAGTTGATACGGATCTACGATTTTGATAAAATACTTATATATGAAATTTCATCAACCTAGCTGCAACGGTACTCAAGTAATCGTGTTTACACACGGACACACAGACACACAGACACACACACACAGAAATACGGACAAGATTGCAAAATTATGTTTTTCCGTATCAGTGAGGTGTAAAACGTTGAGATTTGTAAAAATCTCGATTTTTTTTTTTGCACGTTTACAATACTTTCTCTATACTACGCATATACGAAAAAGTAAAAAGTGCTAAACAAAAAAAAAACAGGCATGAAAAATGTCTGAAAAAACGTGTTTTGTGTGATAAAATTGAGTGTTACAAAGCCTTTCTTGTTATTTTGTATGTGTTCTGTTAATTATCACAAAAGGCTTCCCATAAAATAAAAAAGGCGAATGATATGGTATATGAAGGTTTCCCGTCATTTATCAATCCAGCCTACATATTTAGCTTATTCCTGGTGTTCATAATTGTTTTTCTGTGACCATTTTTCTTTATTATTTTAATGCGATTATATTTATGCGAATACCTTCGGCTTACCAAGCTAGAAATAAAGCGCTCTACAATTTTAACACGTGCTAAATAATATTACATCGCCGGTAACTCTGTATCATAGCCATTACAAGTAAAAAATAAAGTATTTTTAAAATTAATTATCGATTAGGTCCTATCATTTTTTTTAGCCATTTTCGATGTTTAATGTACCATCAAACGTTAACACACAACTACTTAAAAACTGGTTATTTTTTTCGGTAAGGTTTTTGTTTAAAAAAAATCTTTTGTATGCTTAAAAAGAATCACGGGTTGTGACAACTGAGTCAACTACAGGGCGTCCTGTTAATTAAACCATTTAAAAAATTGAACGCCTCAATACTGAAAATTGATCCCCAATTTCCCAGTAGGTTTCCAGTTCAATCACCAAAACACGGGATAGAAAAACCCACGGGGTAGTTTGTTGTTT